CTGGATTCAGGAAAGGCAAATCATGTACTGACCAAATTGCAACTCTACGCATCATCATCACAGAACAAAGCATGGAATGGCAATCAAACCTCTACCTCAACTTTATAGACTTTGAGAAGGCCTTCGACAGCGTTGATCGTGAAGTAATTTGGAAATTACTCGAGTACTATGGCGTACCCCAAATATTCATCAACCTTATTCAACAGCTGTACGACAACGGCACATGTCAAGTGATCCACAACGGAAAACTCAGCGAGGCGTTTGGAGTAAACACAGGAGTCAGACAAGGGTGCTTATTATCACCAATGATATTCCTAATTGTGGTGGACTGGATTATGCGTCAGACAGTGGGAAACGAGAAGACAGGAATATCCTGGACCGACGTGAAGAACCTAGAAGACCTGGATTTCGCGGATGATTAATGTTTGATGTCACACACAATCGAAGACTTACAAGCGAAAACCGACAAACTGGTCGAAGAAGCAGCAAAGACAGGACTCCAGGTAAACATAGACAAGACGGAGGTTATGAAAATAACCAACCAACAACAGCAACAACATCCAACGTCAATCACCATCAACGGGAGGGATTTGAAAGAGGTTACTTCATTCACTTATCTAGGGAGCATTGTCTCAACTACAGGAGGAGCGGACGAGGATGTCAAATCGAGAATCGGGAAACACATTCATCAGCCTGAAATCAATCTGGAAATCTTCGTCACTCAGCATCACCAACAAAATTCGGATTTTCAATACAAACGTAAAGTCAGTTCTTCTATACGGATCAGAAACTTGGCGGGTCACAAAGAATATTTCCAAAAGCCTGTTGCAGACCTTTATTAACAACTGTCTTCGCTCAATACTGAAGATCAGATGGCCGGAAAGAATCACCAACAAGGAATTATGGGAACAAACAAAGCAAGAACCAATCGCCCAACAAATATGCAGGAGAAAGTGGAGATGGATCGGACACTCGCTGAGGAGACCGCTGGGTGACATCGCGCGCCAAGCCCTCGAGTGGAACCCGAAAGGGAAGCGGCGTGTGGGACGTCCAAGGGTGACATGGAGGAGATCGTGTGAAGAGGAGTTGAAACAGTATGGAATAACATGGATGCAGGCGAAAAGTACAGCAGAAGACAGAAGAAAGTGGAGACGTGCAGTTGAAGCCCTATGTTCCACTAGGAACCCAAGGGAGCAATAATAAAAATAATAATAATGATACTACTGGACTGGACTACAGTTACTCTTTGCTTAGAAATAGGGAGTGAATTGGTACAGCACGTTGACCGCTTCACTCATTTGAGAAGTTGCATCAGCCAACACCTACTGGTTGGTCGCTGACGTCATCTCACTACGGACATAGATGGTTCGTTTAGAATATGCTATAACTGACCCCATCTCTGGATTAGAGGTGATATCCGGCAGTCCACTCCGTCCTCGTTCACGGGTGTGAGGGAGACATGGCCATTGAAAGTGTAAGACACCAAAAGTCTAGCTAACCGTCTTTGATCATTGGTGCCTGCGTTCTATCTTCCGTGTGAAGTGATATATAACAAGGTGAGCAATATTGAGGTTAAGTGTCGAGTTCTAAGTAAGGAGGGGAAAGTGATCGAAGAAGCTGTGAAGTTACATCGATTGAGATGGTCAGGACATGTGTTACGTACGGTGTGGACATCATCACCTTCCTCGACAAGCAATGTCAGCTGACTTGGGATGGAGCAGGTTGGAAAGGAGCTTGGTCAGTCAATGAAATACACAAGTTAGTTTGAGCCACGTAGAGAGGTTCACACCTCCTGTGATGGTAAAAGCCAATAGCTGGAGAAAACTGGTAATGTGGCTCAAAATCCTCGTTCTCAACGGTTAGCGCAGATACACTCATACTATTTGTGACTTATGATATTCAGTATAGCTATATTCTTCTTCGATATTACTATTCATTTTGCCTCATATTTCTGTCTCTATTTTGCATTTCCTTTTACTTTCTCCTCTTGCTTCAAGGAGTGTGGCGACTCGAACTGTTGCACACATCTATTCAGAGTCATATGCCGAAACCAGCCAGACAAACTGAAAGTGCGATAAAGTATCTCTGTCATAAGATCTTCGAAACGACGAGGTGGTGTCCTGTCCATAAAATTTACTAATTTAGCAGGTGAACCGACAGCTGCTTTATGCCTAACACATGTTACTAAGCCTGTTTATGGCAATGAAATCAAGCGTCTAAAATGTGTGTAGAACTGATTTTTGAACCTTCACATATGATCCACGTTTATTCGGAAAGCTGTAATCACATTTCACCCAGAAGCTAATACCTCACTCGGTGTTAATGAACAGTTGTAACCGCTTTACCTCTGTGACAGCATACTATCGGAACTGACTGACTGCTAAGCCAATAAGGTCAGACTAGAATGGGTAAAAATAGATAAGCTTGGTAGATAATTGACTTCGTGATGCAGAGAGCACAAATTCCAGTTCAACTTAAACGGTCAGATCTCTTGGATATGCGCTTCCAGTAGTGTTTTAGAGTGCCCGTCACATAGGAATAGTTGAAAATCCAATACAAGGTGTGCTAACCGGTTTCATTTTTTTAAACTCGCGTTTGTATAACGAATATTGCTTTAAACATAAATTACTATGTCACTTTACTCTCATCAGTGGGTGCATAAGTTCCAAACTTTCGTCAGTGTGTGGAGAATTGTTCAATTCTTTATTAATTCACTCACTAATTTCAACAAAGTACCCCAATGAGGCTTTCAGAAAAGTGACAGCATTTCACAAGAAACAAAATTAAAAGCTAGTGTAAGCGATCATCTTATAGGGAACTTCAAACTGAGGTTCAGTGGGTGTTCGAAAGATACACCTCTGCATCTTTTAGAGATATGTAATAATGTTGTAACAACAGAAGACAAGGGCCAGACAACAGATTGTTTTATTACGAAAATCAACACGTATTTATATATATTTCCTATACATTATTATAGCTTATGGAAGTAGACAAGCGCAGTCTTCTGATTGGTTGTTTATCAGAAGTCAATCAGACAAACGCAGGCTTCTTATTAGTTGTTTCGAGATTCCTTGAAAAATAGAGTTCTCTATCTGCGAATCATATTTTGCCACGTTGAGTCTGCTGTGATTGGTTGTTGAATTAGCCTTGTACATATTTTCTCACGGCCCATATTAGTGACCTAGACATTGACGTAGACTAATGTCAACCAATCGGCTAGCAGCCTGCTCTCACTCCAATGTCACCAAAGGATTGGTGGTTCAATAGCAGGGAATGCTTGATCAACCACACATATGGTCCGGATTCGGCTGGCTCCTAGGGGACACACTCTTAAACACCTTACCTAACCTAATGAATCCGGAAAATAAAGGGGGGGTTGTTGGGTGTGAAGTTAGCCACTCCACCTCGAGAAAACAACAACAACACCAACAGTGTCACTGAAAATTCAACACGCTTGAAGAAGTCCTATATGTCCCACTCGGATCACATTGGAAGTGTCAAGAATTTTATTTATTCAGAGAGGGAGTTAGTTCCGTATTCTCTCTCAGACACTGTTCAATGTTGTGGAGACGAGTCCTTTCTTAACCTTCCCCAAAGAAAACACAAGTAGCCAAAAATCAACAGGCACTACGACAACGCGTCCTATGTGGCGGGAATTCCATTCAGTAACAAAGACACCCCCGCCCCGGCGTCCTATCCAATGACCCCCCCAAAGGAGGTTGACAGTATCATCATCATCAGAAGAAGGAACCACAATTTTTTAGATGCAAAAAAATTTACTACACATTACCAACTGTTTTTTTGTGTTTGTTTGTTTTGAATATGAACGAAATAGTGATTTAAAATGGAAGGGAAAAAACAAAAAAAACAAGACAATCGAAACCCGATAAGAGAAAGAGGTGAAAACCGATTGGAGGTGGAGTAGAGTGGAGTGGGGCGCGCACAGTACACAGATACATCCGGGAAATATGTGGTAAAAACAAAGCAACAACAAGAGAAATGTGTATTTGTGGTATATGGAAGAGACAGAGAGTTCGAGAAATAGGCAGTAAGTAGCCTGGAAAACAAGCGGAGGAGTACAGACGGAGTGGAACATGTGAAGATGAAATTTAAAAAAAAATTGACCTATATAATTTATAAAACACAAAATAGAGGCCATTTCTGAGCAGCGCGATATTTCTTCCCTCCCTTCCTATGAACACACAGATTCATTCGCAGTTAGCCGCCATCCAATGAAAAAGGTTAATGGGGGGAAAAGACTTTACATATACGAAAGAATAGACACACATCAATTGGTGGATGGTAGTTGAATTTCAGGTACTTGTAACAACTTAGAGTAATAGAAATAGGAATAATAATCATAATAATAGTAATGATAGTAACAACGAGAAATTTATACGTCCTGTTGTTTTGAATTTATTGAAAATTGAACCTTGTTTTAATGTGTATGTGTGTTTGAGTATACAAAAAAAAGCGCTTCAAACGAATTGTTTATATATATATGTATAATATAAATGTTTGAAATGGAAAACAATCTAAGAGAAGTGTGTATGTAGAAACAGATAGATGGGTGGATGGATATACGTATATGTGTATGTGTAGAGAGAAAGTGAAATACAACAAATGAAACCCTTTTGCCTGTTTTTTTCTTCAGTATAAGACACCTTTTCTTTCGTGTGTGTGCATAAAACAACAACAGCCTTCTCGTAACCCACACACACACACACACGCACACATACACACACATCACAGTAAATCCGTGCAGCTGCCGGTTTTTATTCTATTTTGTTTTATTGTATTTTCATGAACATTATTCTCCAGGAGTAGAAAAAACGAAACAAAACAAAACCAAAAATAACAGAAGAACAAGGCAGGCAAGGGGTAGTAGTGGTTATGTAATCGGTGATGGTAGTGATGATGGTGACAAAAACACACACACATGAGAAGAATGGATTTTTAAAAAAGGGTTGTATTCCTTTTAATGATAAGAGCAGGCGAATTTACGCCATCCCATAGCCTTCACTACATTCACGTATAGCCATTAAAAGTCTTGATCGCAGTTGTTCATAGTTTTCGTAGGCCGGTAATACAAGTGTATTAAAGCTATAAATAAATAGAAGATATTTAAAAAAAAATCTAAAAATCTGATTAATTTTCTGATATGTAACCACATGATGTGTTTTGTTTTTGACAGTCTGTTATATTTTGCTGTGTATATGGATCGATATTTCACTACAACCGACAATATGCTTTTGTCTGCCCACTAACTAAATAAACATATATGACCTTGTCACATGACATTACAACCAATCATGTTAAGACTGGCTATTTATTGGTTCATGTGTATTAGTCATTTCCATATGTACTTTTGTACTGTATACTTGTTGTTCATTCTGGTTCACACACTTTTTCGTACACTCGTACCATTTCACTCACACTCTTGTGTGACATTTATTTTCCTTGTCTGGAAAATACAAGTACCAACGTAAACCTCCTGCTCTTCTGATTTCCCTGTTTCCGCGTCAGAACTATTAACTACTCGACGAGTACATAACATAATTGGCGACGGGGAAAGATCTAATAACTCACTCAGTAGCAGTACATAACATTTTCAATCAGAGAAAAATTGCAACAGCATAATAGGATGATGATGATGATGAAAGTAACGGAGATGAAGGTGGATGTGTAATTATGCAAGTGTGTAGATGGTTATTACATCCCACCTGAACACACCGACAAATATGGGCCATGGCTATGTAAGTTGAGATCCATAATACCAGGGGCGTAGACCTTTTATTAAACACTTCCCTTCCCTTACCAGAGTGCAGAGACAGCTTAGATGCCTCTAGCTTGCTGATCATTTACGGTGAAACATCTTGCTACTATTACATCCCTTTTCACATTAACTGTACCTCCTAACAGGGGTATACTGCAGCATTATATCGCTTCAGTGCAGAAAACAGTATGGGACCAGGGGCACAGACGCACGCATTGGTTGATATGTAAGTAATCTAATCGACACTAATTGCACAATCAGCCATCCGAATATGGTGGTACACACAGATCACAGATTAACTGTCTTTGATCACAGGTGCCTGTGCTCTATCTCCCGTGTGAAGTGCTATAATAAGGTGAGCGATATTGAGGTTAGGCGTCAGTCGAGTGCTAGGTAAGGAGGGGAAATCAATCGATGAGGCTGTGAAATTACATAGACTGAGATAGTTAGGACATGTGCTACGTATGTCTAGTCATCGCCTTCCTCGAAAACGGGCAATGTTAGCTGATATAGGGTTAGGCTGGAAAAGAGCTAGTGGTGGTCAAACCAAAACATGGGACCAGTCAATGAAATCTAGAACAGTTAGTTTAAGTCAGCCACATGGGAAGGTGGAGATTGCCTGACTGTTTGGGGTCCTCGGGAGGGTAAAAACCAATGACAGCTGGAAACAATTGGTGATATGGCTCAAAGTGATCGTTCTCAATGCCTGGCGCAGATGCACCCACACCTTGTGACTTGTGATTTCCAATGAAACTATATTGTTCTTCGTTATCACTATTCCTTTGTCATACACCTCTGTTTACTGTCTCTATTATGCATTTATTTTACTTTCTTCTCTTGCTTTGTGTGCTACATGGAGTGTAGCGACTTGAACTACTGCACATCGGTGCAAAGTTCTATGTCGAAAACAGACAGACAGATAGACACACAGATCATGGCATTTTCTCAGGGGGCACTTTTTCAAGTCAACCAAAATAAGACTCGATGAGTATTATTGCCATTAGCAGATTTATTATAGCGAATACATGTTAGTAAAGTATTCTTCAAGTGTGTCTCTGTCGACTTTCATACTCCATACTAAAGATCAGATGGCTCTAGTCAGAAAGGATTAAAAAACCAAAGAAATTTAGCAACTAACCACCACCAACCAAGATTGTTCAGTAAGATCAGACGCCATACGCTGTCAAGTAGAACACCATCGGCAGGAAACAATCAGTTCTGACGACTACATTGAGTAGTGTGGCTGAGATGAAAGCTTATGGGTAATATAATTGTGGAGTCAGATAAAGAAGACCGAACACACAACGCAGTGAGAAATGGCGATATGCTTCTGAAGCCTAATGTTCCACTCAGAATTCAAGGGAATAATAATTATTGTAACAATCTGAGCAACTATTCCAGGCTGCCAAAATCATGGAGAAACCCTGCTCAACGTCTGTTTTATTCTTTTCGGCATTCATTAGCAAGACATACCGCGCCAACAACCTTGGGAAAAGTCATGTTTTGCTATGTTGCTGTCACACACACCTACTAGACTATTTAGTTCACGACTCAATATTCATGTACACAAATTAGTCATCAGCGGGGATCTAATCCATATCCGATCAGAGAACCGACGCCAGCTTTAGAGAGTCAGACAAAAACTAAAGAGCACTTAGTACTTCAGCCTTATTTGAGGGCTTCTAAACGGTAGAACATCAGTCAAATACTGGGGGTGAGGGGTTCAATCCCCACTCAAGATCGTCATTTTTACTTTATCGTTAACAGCTTCAGAGTTTTATGCTCTGTCTAGAGAAAAGCTTGGTTCCTATGATGTATGTTATCCCGTGACCAAAAGTAAAACAACGAGTAACACTCACCAAGTATGCGCAGACGGTAAATGACTAGTACTTGATATAGCTGCTCGACTTATCTGAAATTTAGTCGCTCCATGCATTCCTTCCAAGTTTGTAAATCCACCCAGTGGGACTTTACTAGTACCAGTAACAAATTGAAGAAAACGTGCTAAATCCTCTTGATCGAATGATTCCAATGCTTGCCAAAACCATTCAATCTGTGGTGAATTCGGTTGATACTTTGAATAAACTGTATTCGCCTTTAGATCAGATATGTCGATATTAGGCAGACCACTGATCAACAATTCTAATTCCTGTTCATTGAAGATACTAATCATACGTTTTGGAATGATATCATAGAAACCGCTTAAGAAAGCATCCAACTGTTGACGTATAGCCCCAGTCATACGTTCTTGACACACAAGACGAACATACTCTTTTTTGTTACTTTCAGTAACTGGTACATTTCGACCATTTTCAATAAGATCTCGAGTGTCCGTCTTGCCGAATTCATTTATCTGTGAAAGGAAACAAGAAGAATTTGAAGGTAAAATTAGGAGCCATACACAAAACTGTATTGTAACATTGGAAAAATAGAGGTGAGGTAGACACACATTTTTCGTCACTTTTTTGTGTTCCGAGTGACACATAGGGTTTCGGGCCTTTTCTCCTTTTTCCAGACTTGCTAGGTGAGCTTTAAGGAGTCCGTTGGTAGCAAGAAATCGAACCTCGAATCACCTGAATGCTTGGCGAGCATCCTAACCCTGAACTGAATCGACGCTAGACTAGATCTTTTTATTAAAGCGTTTTTCATCTTTTAAAACAAAAATTCACTGATCGAAAGTTAGTGTGAATAACTAAAAACCCGGCTAAGCCATAAGAAAGTGATGCAAATCAACGTGTTTGACCAGACTGAGCGATTCTTTTTTTTTCTAGACGACCACACAGGTCACCTACCTAACTGACAAGTCAGTCAGTAATTCAGTGCTTCAGCACTCTCATAAATTATTGACTACTGCTTAGAAAAGGAAAATGAAGACAAAAACATACGACTCTAGGAGGTTCAGGACGGAAGGCCAATGGCGATGAAAGTTTCTACTCATTGGTGACATGTGCGTAGAATTAATAATACTAAAGACGTTTTCACTGCTATCTACCATTGTCTCTATGAAAAGATTGAATGATGATGGCAAACCTGGACAATTGTTATGTGATTCGACTACGTGAAAACACCTAACTCGTGAAGCAAAATATAAAAAAAACAAAAAACAACTACTAGGATAATTCTAAGAAAATATTTATCAGGTCACCCATTTACTTGCTGATATGATTTATTTGGAACCTTTTGTTGTTTATTCATTAGACTGTGTTTTCTAGTCCGACGTGCTAGAAAACTTGAACAGACACCTTCAAAATAAAGACGACATGTAGGTGTTGAATTCCCCCCCCCCCTATTGATCTGATATCTAAGTATTCTCACACATTCATGTTCACTGGCCAACTTGCCACTAGAGATAAGATAGAGTAGGTCACAGAAAGGATTGCCAACAAGGAACTATTCAGAGCACAGCACAGTGTGAAGAACCCACCAACCAACCAGCCAATCAAGGACCGATTGCCCAACAGATACGCAAAAGGAAATGGATCGATCATCACATATATTGAGGAAACCATCGAGTGACAGACATCCCACGCAAGGTAGATGATCTTCGTGTGAAAGCCTAGTGGGAAACGATGAGTTGGGGGCGTCTAAAGGTATGTGTGTGTGTGTGTGTGCAGGTAATGAAGGCTTATAAGCAACTATGCAAACACCTAAGAAGGACTTAGAGAGCAGGAAAAAAATGGAGATGCACTGTTGACCCCGTATACTCCACTCAGAGCCCAAAAGAAATACTAGATAGTTTGGTTCATGTCAGTAAAATGTGTAGGAATTGTGGAACAGAGGAAATAAATTTGGTTCAGCAAAACTTAATAAACAATTTACATAGATCGACTAATATAGGGGATAACAACAGGAGACGATCACACAAATAACAAGTGATGCGCTTAATTCTTGAAGTACAAAAATTTAAGAAAAACAACTGATATTTTGTTTTTGTATTTACTAACCAACATGAAAAATACAACAAACTGACTGAAATATTAAAAACAAACCACCGTGCGACTACTGTCTTCGCTTTTATTTACTGTGTCAAAGCACCCGATGAAAAAGAAACAAGAGACCACAAACGACAGTTGAATACAATGCAACAAGTTAGTGCATCAATGTACAGTTCAGGAACATGATGCGCGCATCATCATCATCATTAAAAGCACTACCAACAGACTACTGGAGACTTGCATCATTATTCGCCTTAGCCGCGAGTCATTGACTTGAAAGTTCGATCCATAAGCCAGGCAGTGGGACAGCGTCGTAAGCTACGTTGCTATGAATTATAGTGACCCAAACAAATTCTGCAGTCCATGTATACTATCACAGGTTTAGAATCAAAGTTTGCCAGTTCTCCTAGGCGTAGACCTGCATATCCATCCATCAGTCTGGTTGTAAGCACCCAGAGATGTTAACATTCACCCTCTCTCTCTCTCTCTTTGTCTCACTTTGGTAACGAACATCTCACCCAGCATTCACCAGGTCTTCTCACACAATAAGCGTTATTCAAGTCGAGCACATATATTTCAACCAACATACATATCAAAGTGATACAAACAATCCGACAAATGAAGCTAAGGAGATTAGACGCCCACCCGTGCGCACACATACATACATAGCCAAAGGAACCTGACACTTTTAAAAAAAAACCTGTTTAATGAACAATCTACACAAAAAAGAATATTTTAAATTAATTATCATACATAAATCAATAAAAAAACAGGTGGTGACAATGCACACACACACATACACACAAACACATACCTCAGTACTAAAGGTTAGTTCATAACCCAGATCAGATACATTGTGACTTAGGAGAAATTCTAAACCTTTGAAGAATTCATAATCTTCACTTTCTAGATCAGAACACCTATACGGGAGGGAGGAAGAGAGAATAAAGACCAAACGTGAATAACAATAATATATTCTCTGAGTACAAAATCATTTAACGAAAATCCGATACTACAAACTACTTGCTTTTTAGGAAACATATATGGGATATGAATTACACAGTTATTTGATGCGTCAAGTCAGTTCTAGTATACGGATCAGAAACTTGGCCGGCGGGTCACAAAGAATATTTCCAACAGCCTGATGCACACCTTTATCAACCAAACAACTGTCTTCGCTGATTCTATACTGAAGATCAGATGGCCGAGCCGGAAAGAATCACCAACAAGAAATTATGGGAACAAACAAAACAAGAACCAATCACCAACCAACATATATGCAGGAGAAAGTGGATTGTGATGGATTAGACACTGGCTGAGGTGAGGCTACCGCTGGGTGACATCGCACGCGCGTCAGGCCATTGCTCAAGTGGAACCAGGGAGGGAAGTGGTGAGTGGGACGTCAGTGCAAGGGTGATATGGAGGAGATGGTGTGAAGAGGAGTTGAAACAGTCAGTATGGACTAACATGGATGCTGGTGAAAAGTACAGCAGAACGAAGACAGAAGCAAGTGGAGACGTGCAGTTGAAGCCCTATGTCCCACCAGGAACCCAAGGGAACAATAATAATATAAGCTATTTGACGACCTAATCTACTACCAATTGAAAAGAAGCAACGCTTATATCTACGACTTATTTTGTTAAAAGTCCATTACTTGAGTGGATCAGTCATCCCTTGAGCACTTCATAGAAGTAGCCTTAAGCTTAGAAGTTTTAATAGCGACAGTGTTGTTCTTAGCTCCCTCCTTTTTTTCCAGAGCTTTCTTTATTGATTGATAAACTAGACGAGGTTTTGGAGTGTATCAAACGGGAACAGAACCGCAGACCAAGTGTGTGTGTGTGTATGTGTCTAGTTGGCAAGTATACAACTACAATGGGACCACAGACGCGCTAGTCTCGGGTCAAGTGGATAACGGCTTAGGCATATAAAATGTTTTAGTGGAAACACCATCACTCGTTGAGAATGCTCGAAACAGGACCAAATGCGGATTGTGCAGCATTACTCCATTAGCCAAGATTAACAAAAATAACAACAGGTGTCAATACTGCCTACTTCATACTCATGTATTGAACATAAAGATTAGACTAATCGATGGTTATGCCAATTAGTCATTAGCTTTAAATTTTATTTTCAAGTGTGACGCCCATCTAGAACAAGTATGAGTATTTTTCACTAACCCAACAAAGATATAATAAATAATGAGTAAGACAATAACAACACCGTCAAAATTTTTTACACTTAGCTATTTGAAGTTAATAAATAAAAAGTCGTACAGTAGCGTGTTGCATTATTAGGCATCTCACGTTAGGTGGTTTAACAAGGTAAGTAATGTTGACGTTAGGCGTAGAGTGTTGGTCAGGCAAACAGGGAAAATCAATCGACGAGGCTATAAAGTTACATAGATTGAGATGGCTAGGTCACGTGCTGCTCATGCCTAACCACTGCCTCCCCCGACGGGCATTACTAGCTGATATAGGTGCGTGCAGGTTGGAAAAGAGTAAGTGGTGGTGGCCAAACAAAAACATGGCCGTCAATCCATGAAATCCTTGACAGTTAAACTGAGTCTGGTAGGGAGATGCAGACTTCCGGGTTGGGGCCCTCGGGACTGACTCTAGGAATCAATGGCTGGAGACAATAGGTGAAATGGCTCAAAATCGTTGTCAATGGCCAGCGCAGATGTATTCAGTCTCTGTAATCTTTCATATTCCTTTCTACCATTACCCATTCTGTTTGACTCTTATACTTGTCAGACTGTATTGATTCTCTTCACTCATCTTGTCTGCCTCTGTGTGCTATTTGGAACATGGCAACTGGAACTGCTGCACTTCGGTGCCATGTTCTATGTTGAATCCAGACAGACAGACAATAGACTTCACCATCGCTACAGACAAAAAGCAACCAGATTGAAGTCTAATTAAGTTAGGAGTATAGTGTAGCTCAGTTTCTCGTAACAAATTGCCCAATATACCAGTTTATGAGCCATAATTATTGTGTAAGGGCTGTGTGATGCTACCCGGTCGCCCAAAGGATATTGAGCACGACGAGACTCGAACCCAAGACTCCCTATCTGAAGGTTAAGTACTTACGCCAATGACGCACTCATTGGTCGATCATGACCCGACACACTTCAGTGGCAACGTCTCTGAGTGGCAGAGTTAGATGGAAATTAGCTCATTCCAGGTCATAGATACATACAGTCTGTTGACGAATCCGAAATCATTTGGATAATTGACGGCTTCTTACCGACTAGTCTTGAAACACAGAACATCAATTCGGATCAAAAAATCTAGATGTTAATCTTCAAATCTGTGAAACATAAGTTGATGTGCAATTTCTACATTTTACACAAAACCAAATTTATGTGATAGAATAAACTAAAACTAAAAAACTTACTTAACAGGTACACCTAAAATATGCTTATAAAATGCTCGTGTAAAGTAGCACTCCAATAATTTATTATCGTATATTGCTTTAGCAATAAAACGTCCAACAAATTTGAAATATGATAAATGATTACTATTTATATATGAACTTGGATTAATTGTATACGTGACACGATCAGCTGGTGAAACACGGAATAGACAATAGTTTGGATTGAATATCTCTCGACTCATTAATAAAAACCATTCACGCAATGGACCACCAGCATCTTGACCTTCTTCATCTAAACATTTAAAAAATAGTGACATGCCAATCGTTTAATCATTAAATTCTTTGGAAATTGAACAAGAAGAAAAAAGGTGGACTCAATCATCCAAAATCTACTTTTTTGTGGTATCTGGCCTGTTATCATTCCCTTAGGGTTCCACCAAAAATGGAACATAAGGGGGGCCTCCAAAAGTATGTTGCTATTTCACGCAGTTATCTGTAGTCTCTTTATTGCTGGTCCCAAGACTGTTCGTGAGGACTTATTTCCTTTTCACACACACTATCTTCTCCAGATCGTCCTAAACCATACGCCAAACTCGTCGTCCCTCACAATCGAGGGTATGTCCCATGTGTGATGTCATTCAACGGTCCTCCTACAGAGTGTGTCCAAGCAATCACTATTTTCTACGGTATATGTGTCAGACAGTAAATTATTGATCGGTTTCAATGAATTTTAAGAGTTCTTTCAGGCCATTTGATCTTCAGAAACAAGAGAGGGTAGTTCCTTATGTGCATCTATATCTTGAAGCATACAGAATTACTACCTTGGAATCGATGTTGAAAATCCCCATCTTGTTTTTTATGCTGACTGAAGCAGATTTCCACACTTCAGATTAATAAAGATCTGTCCAGCTGGTTTTGACATCATCATCATCCGTGCAACCTGTAGTTGAAACCACGCTGCGCAAATGAGTAAAAGAAGCGCCGTCCTATAAAGTGCTAAAGGTGATGATAGTGATTGTTGCTTGTTGTTGTTAGTTGTTAAGTTCCTTCATCGCTCCTCTCTTATCTGTATTCACTAGAAGTCTAGTCTTCGCTGCTACTTCTAACACTTCATCTGTTTTTCTCCCTTGGATCTTCAACTTTGTGTGACATTGGACATAAATCATCCGCGAAGTTTGAATTTTCTAGAGTCTCCTTCTTGGCTCGGCTTGTTCCTGTCTAATTGCTCCTCAAGGCCTGCTGCATGACCCAGTCCACCACAATCAAGAATATCATAGGCGTTAGTAGGCTGACACATAATTATTGTGTATGTGTGTGAGGGCCGGCTATAGTACACAGTTGTTCGGGTACCTCTGAGCTCAAACACCACAGAAAAGGAAACAAATCACACACCTACGGACCAACTTTTGAAATTATTCTAATCCGTGCCAGTGATCACCTGTAGGACAAGGTTGCCTGGAGTTTTAGTGACCAGTTGTAACCAGTGGAGTCCACTCGGTTGGGAGTGAGGAGAAATACTCGCAAGCAGTGAAAACGACCGGTGGTCACATTAAAATCACGAATAGGTAGAGGTTGAAATTCACAGGTCATTGAGTTGGGTCGCAGTGTCTGGCAGGTCTACGAACCTGCGCTGTGACCCATTAAGACCCTGAGTTTCAACCCCAGCGGGTGCATACCGCAGATGAAACCCAAAAACAAGGACGAAACACCTGTGCAGTGTACTCCCTCATTTTCAATGGTTCTGTAACTGATATCAGTCAGTCCGTGGTGAAACTTGAAGCAAATCACATCCCTACAAAGTAACTCTTGAAAGAAATAGATACACATATATAATAGTCAAAAATGGGTTACTTACTTAGGAAACGAATAACAAATTTATGCTTCCATTCATTTACAGATTTTCTATGAAGTCTAGCATAACTATCTTCAAATATGCGTTCCCGCGATACTGTTATCGGTTCATCATCAAGACGACTACTAGCTGATGAACGATTTGATAGTGATTGAAGTTGTTGCCGGAAGAAACGACGTTTCACATCAAAATCAAGTACACGAGGATAAGCTAAAAATACAGAGAATGGTGACTCGCCAATATTTGCTCCATACTGACGAAGTACTTGACTTAATCCACGACGATACTTGTCTGCAAATTGTATAATAGGATTACGCGATTGTGAATTTTGAGATGTAAGTGTACAACAACTGGTTGCAGAGCCTTCGATTGTTAACTCTTCATCCTCTCCTGCAGTTGTACCACTCGGTGACAGAGGACCACCTAAATCGAAATACAAATGTCCAAGATGATCAGTAGTTGATGATCGATTTGAGTCAAATTCTGATTGAGATGACGACTCAACACATATATGCAATAAAGGTACCAAGTCAATATAACTTGATGCACCAGTGGAACACGAATTGCTTCGATTCGATCGAGTATTTGTTGGACGTTGACGTAGAAGGATAGAATCTTTCAGCAAGTGTACATGAGCTAAACAAAATACTTCCAGTAAAGGCTGTAATAAGAGAACAGCATTTTGATCATTTAAAGCTTGTAGTCGTTCAAAAGCTTGACACATATAATTCCAGAATTCATTGACCCCAGGTACAGTGCTTAGAAGATCATTTGATGACACAGAGATTGACTTTGTTCCAACCAATGAACTATCACCAGCTGAAATGCGTAACATTAAACCTAATACACCACGAAGACGACATTGATCATTGTTAGGATATGTGAACGGCTCTGATGAAGTTAACTGGAGATCGGTGAACTTAGCAGCAGCCGCTTGTTGACGAGAATCACCTGATACGACAACCATTTGACCCGGAGTACCAAAACGATCAGGCAATGTGTCAAAGGAAGAAATACGACTTATGTCCGGTGGATAACGAGATGTAGACGGTTTACTTTGATACTGCTTTGATGTTGATTGTACAGGTAGTTCGTCTTTCAAGCGATTATCAACTTCAAGAATAAGACTCTACAAAAATAAATGACAAACGGTAGCGGTAGAAGGGAAAAGAAACCAAAAAGGAGGAATCAATAATCTAGAGCACAACATAACATCCTAGTGCATCAGTACTACTACTACTACTCTAAAAGTGGAAAATCCACTCAATCGACGAAATAAATAATAACAGATTTCCTGTCGTAATCTATTTTACAAGACTGATTTCATGACCTACTCTCCCCACCCCACCAAAAGCCTTAAACTTGTAAATCGAAATTCTCTAGCGAAATACACGCGGTGAACCTGCGTGTGGCGTTTGCCAACTTTAGTGCAGACGTGGCATCTCACTATCCATATCAAAAGACGCACATAACACGGTGAACAACGTTGAGGTTATGCATGGAGTGCTAGGTGGTACAGAAAAGAAGTCAATTGATCAGGAGGGGTTATGAAGCTCCACTAACTGTCTGTCTGGATTCAACATAGAACATGGCACCGAAGTGCAGCAGTTCCAGTTGCCATGTTCCAAATAGCACACAGAGGCAGACAAGATGAGTGAAGAGAATCAATACAGTCTGACAAGTATAAGAGTCAAACAGAATGGGTAATGGTAGAAAGGAATATGAAAGATTACAGAGACTGAATACATCTGCGCTGGCCATTGACAACGATTTTGAGCCATTTCACCTATTGTCTCCAGCCATTGATTCCTAGAGTCAGTCCCGAGGGCCCCAACCCGGAAGTCTGCATCTCCCTACCAGACTCAGTTTAACTGTCAAGGATTTCATGGATTGACGGCCATGTTTTTGTTTGGCCACCACCACTTACTCTTTTCCAACCTGCACGCACCTATATCAGCTAGTAATGCCCGTCGGGGAGGCAGTGGTTAGGCATGAGCAGCACGTGACCTAGCCATCTCAATCTATGTAACTTTATAGCCTCGTCGATTGATTTTCCCTGTTTGCCTGACCAACACTCTACGCCTAACGTCAACATTACTTACCTTGTTAAACCACCTAACGTGAGAAAGAGATCGCACACATCTATGATCGAAAGCAGTCAACCTTTTCATGTCTTCAACTCGTATTGGCCATGTTTCAGAGCCATAGAGAAGGACGGAGCGAACTGCTGAGCAGTACATACGTCGCTTGGTTGATAGCCAGATGTCACGCCTACGCCAGAGATGCTGTAAGTCAGCGAAAGCAGCTCGAGCTTTTTGGATCCTTGCTGAGATTTCGTCGCCAATCAGTTCGTTGGTTCTGATACTACTTCCCAAATAGGTGAAGTGGTCAACATGTTCTATCACTTCACTCCCTTTCACTAAGCTAGTAGCTAGACGTAGTCCAGCCCTGTAGCAGCATCTTACATTTTGCAAGGGCGAATCGCATGCCAAACATACGAATATTGGTGCTCAAGGTGTTCAGAAGACTCTGCATTTTGTCACCATCCTCCCCTAACAGGACTATGTCATCTGCATATTCTAAGTCCTTAAGACTATTCCCTGGTAACAAGTTGATTCTAAGTGGTTACGTTCAGTTAAGGATACTTCCATCAGCATATCTATGATAAAGTTAAACAGAAATGGGGAAAGTGGACATCCCTGTCGGACACCACTGGTTGTTACCAATTCAGATGACAGTTCCCCATAAGCCCTTACACGGCTACATGAGTTTGAAGAGAGTGCCTTGATTAGTGCAGTGAACTTTCTTGGCACTCTTACTTACTTTACTTACTTCGGCTATCTCCTACGGGAGGATGAGCCGGCTTCATGAACCATGAAGTTTCATGGGAATTGGGTACGAGTGATGTCCCCAGCATCGCTCGGGGACACTCCACAGTCAGACATTGCCATAGTACCTTTCGATCCATGAAGTTGAAGGCCGCCTTCAAGTCAAGAAATATGGCAATTGTTGCACGTCGAAAAGTGTCTATGTTCTAGAATCTGTCGAAGAGTGAAGATATGATCTATGCACCCTCTACCTGGTCTAAAGCCTGCTTGATTTTCCCTCGTCTGTTCCTCCCGAGTTCTGCTTAGTCTGTGCATGATTACTGAGCCTAGGATTTTAGAGACTATGTTCGTTAGGCTGATCCCCTATGATTATCACACGAGGACTTGTTTCCCTTTTGAATATCGGTATAATAAGTGACTTACCCCAGTCTGATGGCACTGTCTCTGATTCCCAGACTTTGCCTAGTACCTCAGTTAATCTACAAACTAGTATGTCACATCCATTTTTAAACACCTCCGGAATAATTCCGTCGGGTCCTACCGCTTTGTCTCGTTTCAAAATATTGATAGCTTTTGTGACCTCACTTACAGACGGCGGACCAGTGTCTATATCCCATTTGGGTGTGTTCTGGATGTTGGGGATGAGATGGCCAGCGCATTTCATTTGCATGCTGAGTCATCTCTTTCCGCAGAAAACAATGTTAAGTGATTCTATTATGGATAAAGTTGTATGTGTGTGAGTGCCTTGATATGATTATGAGCAATAATTTGTGATGAAAACGCCATCATTAAATATTATTGTATAACACTGATTTTATCAAAATAAAATTTTAACCATAGTGGGGGTTACACTCTACCACAGCGCCAAAGTTTTATCCTTATATTCATGTTAAGTGATGCAGAATAAGGTTAGAAAGAGACAGTGGTTGCCAAACGAAAGCCTAGCATCAAACTATCAAGCTTTTGAGAGCTCTTTTTAGCCGCATATAGGGGGGAGGTCTACAGTAGTGATAAGTAGTCACATGATGCCTGCATTGTTTTGACAGTCTAGTATATATTTCACTATGTGTATATTGATCGATATATTTTACATTATAACTCACTATATATCTTGTCTGTCCATTAACTAAGTAAACAATGTGTGTGACCTTTGTTACATGAACATTACAACCAATCAGAATCCAGTGGGGGGAAGAAAACCAACTACCCATCTTATTGGTTCGTGTGTGTGTCAATTATTTCCCATATACTCTTGTATTGTACAGTTAATTCAGCCTTTCTCACGCTTTCGTACTCTTTAGTGCCTTACAACTCACACACACTTGTGTGACAGTTAATCTTCCCCTAAGCAGTAACCAGTCTGCACGTTATATATCTCACATTAGCACATATTTACACTCGATCACACGATAATATTGGCAACGAACCCCAGATAAACAATATTCCATATTCTTTTGATGTATGCACTCTTAATAAATCTTTTATTTACTCTCCCTCAAATGCCATGCATCCTAGCATCACTAGTGTTAATAATAGCCCATTTCCAGGTTTTAACACAAATGTTGTTCAAAAGTGCCTCAAGTCTCTAAACCCATCCCAGAGCTTAGGTCCAAATTATGTACCTAGTATTATTTTTTAAAATGTTCTGATATTCTGTGTCACCCTCTCACTGACCTGTTTAACAAATCTTTTTCCAGTAATATTGTGTCTGCCGTTTGGAAGGACATCAAAGTTCTACCTTATACCCAAATTATCTACTTCAGCATGTGTCAAATTTAGACCCGTCTTATATCATAACATTGCTTCCAGTCTAAACAAGGGGGCTAAATTTGTTGTGGCGTCCTACACTATGCATCTGCTTTTGACTCGGTCCCTAGGGACATCTTATTAAATAAACTTGCTGCAAGTCAAACAGAATGTTGGTCTGTTAACTGGTTACATTCCTATTTTTCAGAAAGAAAGCAGTACACCGTGTATAAAGGGAAGTCTTCCAGTTCATTGCCTACTGAAGCCTCAAGGCGCTGTCCTTTCTTCCTTTCTTTTTCTTTCTTCTTACATGACTTGCCTCACTCTGACGAAACAAACTTTGTGAAGTACGCTGAAGACTTAACAGTTTCAATAGCTGTTAACTCCCAGCTAGATTGTACCAAAATAAATAGCCTTCTGTCGGGAGTCAGTAAGTGGTCTGAGTCTAACGGTCTTAAACTGAATCCTCCTAAATATCATACTGTTAATTTCAGCTTAAGATGTAAAAGACAGTTAAACGAAGTCATCGATTCTCATGACAATCGTAAGATTGACGACAGTGATATAGGGAATTACGAAAGAAATTAGGCATCTTGGACTTATTCTCTCTTCTGATCTCTCCTGGACTTTCCATGTCTTAGCAATCTCCAGTAAAATATTCCGCCTGATATTTTACATTAAGAAGTTAAGACATTCGGGTATAACTCAACCCCTCCTCTTACAGTTCATAAACTCTTGCATCCTACCTATTCTTCTTCATTGTTCACCCTCATTCTTTCCTGGTTTGCTTAGAAAGGACTATGTCACAATTCGTAGAATGCTGAAGAGTGTCAGTAGGGTGAGAGTGGTATCCCAGTGGACCACATAGTTAATGTTGTTATCGATAGGCGATTGACTTCGTGCAATAAATTTGCTAGAGGGATTTTGTCTGACTTGGATCATCCACTTTACTCTCAGCTTACACCTTGCATCTCCTCAGCTAGAACAAGGAGTAACTTCAGAAAACTGTATGCTTGCACGTCTAAGTGTAGAAATTCTATGATACCATACTTGGCGCGTATTTAATGTGATGAAAATAGTGTCAGACAAGAATTAACTAACCTTTTTTCATCTAGTAAATAAACAATTTCCTTTATCCATCCATATATACTTTGAAGTTTTACTTTTATTATTTCTATGATATTTATGGTCCTGTTACCTCTTTGTTTTACTTTTATAATTGCAAACACCCAACTTATCTCTATGACTGCTGTAATCTTTGTTTTTCCCCTCACCATATTCAATATTTTTAAACATGCTAGGATTTCTATACCGAGTCGACAATACTGTGTGAAACAAGCCCACGGCAATTTTCACTTGTATTATTATTGTCGTTACCTTAGCTGTTATCATTATTATTTCCATTTTATATGCTGCATGTTTTTGACATTACCTCTATTGTAAATGTGGACAATTTTCTGTGTGATTAATTATATTTATAATTTGAGGAAATTAGATGCAATATTGTGATTAATGCTGAAAATTCCATTCTGTATCACAAGTACTGTTTTTGGAATAAAGTAAATTATTATTATTATTATAACATATTGGTGACAAGTTCATAACAAGTGATTTGGTTGGTTGGTGTGCTAAGAACCAAGGACTCAAGATTACTGGCTAAAATGGCTCCAAATCTCCCTCAATGGCACAGATACACATTCACTTTCTGATCGCCAAAACCAAATTTAAAGAAGACCCTTATGTCTTCTCATGTTACTACGATTCTTCATCCCTTGTGATCCTGGTGAATGCAGTTCTTTTGAATTTCTACTTTTTTTCTTAACTTTGTGCTACAGGGGAGTTTGGCAACTTGAAGTACTGTAATTTTGAGCAGCGTAGTACAAAAACCAAAGGGAAATTCTATCTATCAAGGCAAAAGAATTAACCAGAATAACAAATGAACTTAATGCAATGATGACAATACACACAAAATAATTAATACCTGTAGCTGAATAGATATTTTTGAGATCAACTGACCAGCTGTATCACATAACAAACGTAGAATTGTCTCCTTCATAAGGTGATTTGCATGAGCAAGATCAGTTAATAATTGTGAGGTTATAGCACGTGCACTTTCAGTGAACTTTGGAGCTAACACCAACTGGCATGTAGCTTCAATAACATGTGATCTTAGAGGATCCATAAGATCATTCGGTCGACTTGGAATAGTTGAAGTAGTCGAAAGTGTTGACACAACAGATGATGACTGAGTCTCTGGGACAGGTGTAGTTGGCGAGGTGTTTGTGACAGATGATGAAGTTGCCGGTCGATCCACGGGATTGTAAGTAGGGGCCTAGGTTTTGAAAAGAGAGAAGACAATTATTACACTATGTGCATTTAGATACTGTTTAATCTAATGCGGATAATAACAAAGTTTTGAATGTGCGTTCCATATTGTTTATATTTATCCAATGAATATTCGTTAATACAATTTGATCGACTGGATTTTGTTGTGAATATCATCATCATCACCGTCATCATTATTATTTTTTTTGAATGCAGCTTGATTCAACTCCGTATTTTTCGTACAGGTATGGAATTTTCAGCCCGAATTTCGCAGGCCGACCATAGATATCTGGTGTGCGCCGGCAGCGGACCGAACCCCGGACCATGTGCATGGTCGGCGAGAGTCCTAACCAATGTGCCACCGACACACACTGTGATGCATATATGTCACTTCTATGTTTGTATTTCGAATGGAAGAGAGAACTTTCAGTTAGAGCTCTGAAGCTTTACTAGCTACACTTCCTATCTTACCTCTTTATCGGGCATATTAACGGCTAAGCTTGGTATGGGCGTAAGCTGGTGGGGCCGGGGATTCAATGTGGACACCGATGCGCGTGATTGGTGGGATTCACGTGAATAGATCAATGAATCTCAACCCCACTCCAAATCTACTAAGAAACCTGTTATATTATCCAACAGAGATTCTTTATCTAAAAAAATGAAGCAAGTTAGTAAAAGCCAGTTGCAGAACTTAGGTTTGTAAGGGAATCGGAAACTCCTGGTTATTTTGTGGATACGAATGTTATGTTATAGTTTACATGATGTTACACAGATTTGCATGACAAGCCACGAAGGACACCACCACAAAAGAGAGGAGAGAAAAAAATTAGATTACTGAGTAATATTGCTCATCGAAAGCTTTCGAGAATCCTGCTTTGTCCCTAATTTCAGTTGACGCCATCTGATAATGCAAAATTGTTTTCCTTCACATCCCCAGTGGGACACAGGGCTCCAAGCCTGAGGCTTGAATTTTCGGTAGCAATGCTTATTTTTACAGGATGGGGTTGCTAGTCTCATGCCCAACCTTTCTTCTTTACCAGTTTCACTACTGGATTGGCGAGGTAAAGGAGTTCGCCGGCCGGAGATCGAAGCCCCGGACCATGTGCATAGTCGGCGAGCGTCCTAACCGCTGTCCCACCGACACACCAAATCATTACTTATGAATACAATCATAAAAAGTTCAGCCAAAAAGCAATTATTCGTGTACAGTAGGCATTAGATGACCGGCGACCATACAACGTTGAATAAAGTAGTTCTTGTCCGAACACAACTGGGCTCGGTTGATATATATGCATTAGTGACCGGTAGGGAATATACACGGTGTTGTCGGCTTCATCTGGCAGAATGTTCACCAACCACGCACATAGTCGAGGTCCAATTGCCTGCATGGGCACTCGTTTAGGGCAACTAGCCCAGGAGACATAGGACACTTCATTGGGAAGCTAAAAACCAATGTTGGAATAGCACCACAGATACTAAAACTTCAAACTTGAAGCAGCCCTATGTAATTAAAATAATGCACCTTGTTAACCAAACGTAATAATTTACGGATCACTTTTGTATGAATTTAGCGGACTTAACATAAAAACCAAGTAACGACATTGTTTGGGACTAATAATAATAATAATAATAATAATAATAATAATATATAGTCAATACTCGTTGTGTGAAAGACATTTATTAACAACCTAGTGGATAACACTTCGATGTCTAAAACGACAGATGATGGGTTGAAGTGTCACTGGAAAACGAATACTTAATGCTGATGCAGGTGAATCCTGCCGACAACTTCTAAACAGGGCGAGAAGAGCATCCTAGATCCCACCACCATTAAACAGCCAACACTAGTGATGAAAAAAGCTGGTGAGTACGCAAAGAAAAACTACTCAAGCAAAATATACAAATTTGCATACCTGTTGATTTGAACTGCCAGTCAGTGTGTTGACAGTTGTGGTAGGCGTGATTAAATTATTTGGATGCGTTGAAGCCTGTGCAACAGATATATCGGAATGTGATCGGCTAAGCAGGAAATCTTTAACAATACCAGCAATAATTATGACCAGGCGTTCTTGATTCACTGGACGATCGTGTAACATTTGATGACAGAGTAATTCAGATAGTGCAATGAAACAATTTGGCGTAGACTTCGAGCTGTTTTGCTGTTTAGCAGCAGCATCGTGTATTTCTTTGACAGACTCATTTTCAGTATTCTCTGTTAAAACAAATAGGATTTTTTTTAAAGTAAATAAAAGAGAACAGACATATGAGAGGATATTGCAGTGTTACATGAATCTGTTAGCAATTCAGCAATACAATACTCATTTAGCATTCACACGTGGTAGTCCATGAGGACTAGATCGCCCTACTACTGTTTAACCTCTCTCGTCTGGTAGTAAAACCTGTAAGAGGAAGATTAGGTGGCAAGACTGGCGGTTGGTCACAATTTTCAACTAGAATTTCAGGTAATGCTATATGCTACAAGGGAATTTCAGGTTATTCAGAATCTTGATTCAGGGCTCCATACTACACCTAACTGTGAGGAAAATGAATCACTCTTATATATAGTGCAAACAGGGTTCTACCGATCTGAACAGCTAAAACGTGATACCATCAATATCATTTGCACTAATATGTAAAGAAAATAATAATCTGTACTGTACGCTAAACCACTTGTGAGAAAATTGAAAGACTGAAGCACTGTCATGTAACTGACAGTTTAGTCTTTTCGAGTGCCTTTATTTCTAGATTTTTCATATTGCATTATTTGATGGTAATCAACTATCTCTTCGGTCTCGGTGGATCAGAGGCAGAACACTCACCAACGACGTAGCGGTCTACTATTCAATTTCCTGCCATTGACCTATCCCAAGAAACTCGCTTAGCTGGTGTTAAGGTCGGTGAAGTGGGAGGGTTGGCTGTAAGACTAGCAAGCAACCGTATCCTGTGAAAAAGAAACAGCATTGTGCGTTGGCCGGAGAGTGGTTAGGGTTCGATTCCTTGCCGACGCACACCTGATATCTATAGTCAGCCTGCAAAATTTGGGTTACTGATATTACATACTGAAAATTCCATACTTGTACCAAAATACGGTGGGGAACCAAGCTATAATCAAAAATATCTATATTTAAAAAATAAACATCAAAACTCTCGCTTGAAGGTCAATGTTTCATTCGGAAGCCAAACGGGATAAAAAGGCTATTTCGTTGATACTGATACGTCAACTAATAATATGTCTCAAAAACCCAAACAGGTCAAGTTAGACTTCAAACAACCACCGACAACAACTACCAGTAAAGTGCATCCTCATCAATGATCTTGAATGAGCCAATGGATTTTATTCACGCGAGTTGAAGCCTTTATTCCGATTGAAATTTGGTGAAGACTAATGAAGTCTTCCAGTATTGCTTCGATGTGGGATGGATGAACACAAATTCTATCGAAGACTTTTGAGGAAGATTGAAAATTCGGATTAGAGCCATTAATGCATCACAATAGGATGTGTTATTTATAGTCATTTAGATGAATGTATGTATAGGATGCGGTGTAACTTTTCTATTGATACTCCTATGATTGACTGGAAGTTGTTTTTATTACATGTGAGAGAAAGGTATCCTCTGTAATACCTTTATATAGTTTTGATGCATTTTTTCATCAATACATGTGTTTTGTGCGTTGAAGTTTTATTTATCGATTTGGTTAAGTTTTCGGGGTGGAGTCGCTAGCACCACGCCCCAACAACAAAATTTGGATTTTCAATAAAAACATGTCAAGTCAGTTCTTCTTTTTATACGGATCAGAAACTTGGCCGACGGGTCACAAAGAATATGTCCAACAGCCTGTTGCAGCCACAGCTTATCAACAACTGTCTTCGCTGGTTCTATACTGAAGATCAGATGACCGGGCCTGAAAGAATCACCAACAAGAAATTATGGGAACAAACAAACAAAACAAGAACCAATCACCAACCAACATATATGCAGGAGAAAGTGGATTGTGATGGATTAGACACTGGCTGAGGTGAGGAAGTCGCTGGGTGACATCGCGCTTGCGTCAGGCCACTGCTCGAGTGGAACCTGACAGAATGGGAAGCGGCGAGTGGGACGTCAGTGCAAGGGTGATATGGAGGAGATGGTGTGAAGAGGAGTTGAAACAGTCAGTATGAACTAACATGCATGCAGGTGAAAAGTACAGCAGAAGACAGAAGCAAGTGGAGACGTGCAATTGAAGCCCATATGTTCCACTAGGAACCCAAGGGTACAATACTGATGATAATAATAATACATGTGTTTGATATCCGGAAAAGCATCTTTCATGTGATTGGTGCGTTCACAAGGTCATTCGCTGATTGACGCTTGAAGTTTAACTTTACAATTAATTATAAGCCAAATAAACAAGAGGAACACCACAAAATATCACTTACCAGCGGGAAACGATGTATCAGCCGAGGTGGTGGTGTTTAACTGAGATGATGAATTATACGGATTCACACATACTTTTACTGAAGATGTCGACTCTAGAAGTGAATCATTCGATTGTTTATCAGAAATTGACAGAGGTCGTTTCCGTGATGATATTCGTGTTCGACGGATTGAAGGACGTGTAGTTGTTGTTGTAGACCCAGTAGTGGTACTGCTAGCAGGAGATGTTGGTTGAGAAAGCCGACTGAATATTTCCCAGAAAGATGTAGTAGGAACTAAAAAGTGTTTTTTTATTTCAAGAGAAAATTTGGAAAGGAAAAAATATTTGCATTAGTGACAGGAAAAACCCAATAAAAACAGAAGACTCGTTGAATAAGGTACTGAAACGATATATATATATATATATATATATATATATATATATATATATCGGTGTCACCAGATGGGAGAACCAGAAACCAAATTGACTTCAACTCAATGCTGCTCAAGGAAGTGGGGGCGCAGCCTACTGGGCACAAAAGTAAGAGGAGGAGCAGACGTTGGCTCAGACCACTATCTAGTGCAATCAACAATCCAAATCAAACTTAAAGCTTTCAGAGAAGGAGGAGCTGCAGACAGACCACAAGCCAAAATCAACACTCAAAAACTGAAGGACCAGGATACAAAGGACATCTTCATTGCAAGCGTAAAGGACAAAGCCGAGACACAAATCAACACCAGCAAAGAGGTCGGCATCGAAAAGCACTGGAACAACTTGAAACGGTGTGTAGTCAAACCTGCATGGAAGTTCTCGACAGAAAGAAGAGCCAGGACAAATAGAGGCTCACTATGGACACTTGGAGACTAATAGAAGAAAGAAGGACAGTGAAACAAAAGATTATCCAGTGCACTGACGAGCAACAAAAACAGGAGTTGAATTCAAGCTACCATACACTGAACAAAAGAGTGAAGAAGAGTGCCACGGAAGACAAAAGAAAATATTATGAAACCATGACAAGTGAAGCAGAACAAGCCGCAGGCAAAGGAGACCTCGCCACACTCTACCAAACAACTAGGCACCTATCGGGCAAAAGTTCGACACAGATTAAGCCAGTAAAGGATGACAATGGAAAGTCAATCACCAAAGAGGTGGAACAAAGAAATCACTGGGCTGAACACTCCAAAAGACTTCTAAATCGACCGCCACCTACAACGCGCCCAACAATACCAACAACGGAAGCAGAACTACCAGTGAACATCGACCCTCCGACGAAATCACAGGTCCTGAATGCAATCGAGATGCTAAAAACCGGAAAAGCAGCAGGACAAGATGGAATTCCAACAGAAGCATTGAAAATGGACCCAGAGACAACAGCGGACTTGATGACACCACTACTGGAGAAGGTGTGGGAAGAGGGCAAAGTACTCGAGGATTGGCAGAAAGGCTACTTATTCAAACTGCCAGAGAAAGGAGATTTAAGTCAATGTAAAAACTGGCGCGGAATTATGCTCCTGTCCATTCCAAGGAAAATATTAAGCCGCATCATCCTGGAGAGAATCAAACAAGCCCTGGATGAAAAACTTCGACTGGAACAAGCTGGATTCAGGAGAAACTAGTCATGTATTCATCATATCGCCACACTACGGATCGTCATTGAACAAAGCTTGGAATGGCAGTCACCTCTCTATCTCAACTTCTTCGACTTTGAAAAGGCCTTCGATAGCGCAGCGTCGATCGAGAGGTGATTTGGCAACTACTTCGCTACTACGGGGTCCCATCGACAATTATACATCCCATCCAACAGTTATACGACAATGATGCATGCCAAGTAATCCACAACGGGAAACTTACGGAAGCCTTCGAAGTAAGGACGGGAGTGAGACAAGGCTGTCTACTATCACCAATGATCTTCCTGATTGCAATTGATTGGATAATGCGACAGACAACGGCAACCAACGAGGGAACAGGCATAAAATGGACTGACACAAAAGACTTGGAGGATCTGGATTTCGCCGATGATATATGTCTGATTTCCCACAAACTGGAAGATATGCAAGTGAAAAGCAACAAGTTGGCAGAAGAAGCATCAAAGATAGGACTTCAAGTGAACATAGATAAAACAGAGGTGATGAAGATTTCTGGATAACACCAACAACAGACAACAATCAGCAGCATGAATGGGAGGAACCTGAAAGGAACAACCTCCTTCACCTACCTGAGAAGCATTGTTTCAACTACAGGCGGGCGGAACTGACAAGGATATCAAAGACAGAATCGGAAAAGCAAGGCAGGCTTTCATTACTCTTAAGTCTGTGTGGAAGTCAACAGCACTCAGAATCAAAAATAAGGTCAGGATTTTCAACTCCAATGTAAAATCAGTGCTTCTATACGGATCAGAGACTTGGCGAGTCATAAGGAGCATCTCAAACAAACTTCTGACCTTCATCAACAGCTGTCTTCGCTCAATACTCAAGATCAGATGGCCAGAAAAGATCAGCAACAGGGATCTCTGGGAGCGAACAAACCAGGAACCGATTGTGCAACAAATAGGCAGGAAGAAATGGAGATGGATTGACCATACGCTGAGGAAACCATCAAGTGACATCACTAGACAAGCAATCGCTCGAGCGAAACCCGAAAAGGAAGCGGCGAGTTGGTCGTCCAAGGGTGACTTGGAGGAGGTCATGTGAAGAGGAGGTGAAAGCATGTGGGCAGACTTGGAGCGGAGTGAAAATGTTAGCAGAAAACCGGCAGGTGCGCAGCTGAAGCCCTATATTCCTCTAGGAACTAAAGGATAAAATAATAATAATAAAATTATATATATATATATATAGTTTTTATACGACCGATTTTGCAACAATTACGAACACGACATTCACAAATGCCGTATGGTTGAGAAGAAAACACAGTACCCAGGGAATGCAAAGAAAACTGAATGAATCTCTTAAAATGGAATGCAATGTTATTAAAAAACCATGAACCAGGTCTGATTTTCATCGAGATTAACCAACCACCTTAAAGTGTTTCAAGGAGCCGTGAGGAAATATTAAATTATTGATTCATTCTAATCAGGATAATCCCTCTGAACACCACATTCCAGAAATGGTTGTGATGCATCACCAACAAGTGGTAACTTAACACAACTACTTTCCATCCTCCAGTATTGAGATTAGGTGTCAAGTGCTAGGTAAGCAGGGGAAATCAATCGACGAGGCTGTGAAGTAGCTACATCGAACGAGATGGTAAGGACATGTGTTACGTACGGCCTGGACATCACCTTCCTCGACAATGGGCAATGTTAGCTGACATAGGGTCAGTCTAAAAAGAGCTAGCGGTGGTCACACCAAAAAAATGGCACCAGTCAATGAAATCCACAACAGTTAGTTTAAGCCAATCACGTAGGAAGGTTGGGGTCCTCGGGACGGTAAACACCAATGACTGCTGGAAACAATTGGTGATATGGCTCAAAGTGATCGTTCTCAATGCCTGGCGCAGATGCACCCACACCTTGTGACTTGTGATTTCCAATGAAACTATATTGTTCTTCGTTATCACTATTCCTTTGTCTCACACCTCTGTTTACTGTCTCTATTATGCATTTCTTTTTACTTTCTTCTCTTGCTTTGTGTGCTACATGGAGTGTAGCGACTTGAACTGCTGCACATCAGTGCAAAGTTCTATGCCGAAGACAACAGTCATCCTATAGTATAACGCGTTATGTGCTGCTGACCACACCTATCCAACTAATCCCACACCTATATTAGGATCATGAAACAGGGAATGAATTCAGAAGCATGTGTTCAACCCCCCCCGCACACCTAAAGCCATGGATCTCAAGGAACAAAATTATAATGACACACAACAATTCGTGTAAGAATAGAATTTGAGAACTAAGGAATATCATAAATTTCGGATAGGTATGGGGGGTATGGTCCCTTTTTAAACATAGCATTGGACTAATTAACTCACTGGTCAAAATTTTCATATCCCGCCCCCCCCCTAGAAATCGTACGATAAGTCCTCAGGAAAAATCAGTCTGATATTTCATTTATTATATACAATAAATAATATTGATGAAAAATTACTTACTATCTATGTTCTGTGAAGTCACCACACGAGATGAGGATGCTAACAATGGCAGTGATTTCATGTCACTTGTTGTTTCTGATATTTGAGATGCTTCTGCTGGATAGAAATGTGATGGGAATGATTGAGTTAATTCATTCAATGTTTCCAGGAGAACACCTGCAACAGAAACTGCTGCTTGTGGATGAATTATATATCGAACAGGATTATTATTGGTTGAATTTGAGCCTATAGTATGCGACTCATCATTATTCTGTGGATGACTAGATGCAACTGTTGGATTTTGAGGCACAGGATGAAAAATTCTAACCCAACAGCCTAAAGCAGCTTCAAATCCAGCATTGAATAAGGTATTATTCTTATAATTCGATGAAGATTTCTGAGAATAATCGAATTCACCTTCGACTGTTGATGTAGTTGAAGAAGACGATTGATTGAATCTACTTGAATTGGTTATCATTTCGTAATTGTCTGTAGTATGAGTCAATCGTAAATTTGACAATGGCTTTTCGCACAATCCACTAAATAAGGATATAAGTGTATTGACAATCCAATTTCGTGTATTAGTATGACACGCGAGATTACGCAGAACCTAGACAGTGAAATGTTAGAAGAAATGTGATGGTAAAAAAAGAGATTATCATATAATCAGTACAATACGCAGTGGAAAAAACGTGTTCATCTTAATACTAAGTACTATATGCAAGATAGTACACAAAAATATGTTCCATAGATCAAATTCACAACTTACAGCACACTTCGAAATGAAATTTAACCGAAACTAAATAGGGTAATCAATCAATCACAACACACACATCACAACCAGTAGTAGTGACGATCAGTCCGAACGGAGTGACCTTCTAGATACCGAACAGCAGTTCCACGCATTTTCCCATGGTTGATCCAACACTTAGAGATAGTTGAATCAGTTCCAACCGCTTGACTTGTCACTGACTACCTACCTATATGGGCAAAATGGAAAGCAGCCCATAAACGAAATCCGCAATTTACACAGAGGTGAGATTGGCTTTTGCCGATAACTTACAAATTGCTAGGATGAATATAGTTTTACAAGATTAAAAAAAAATATAAGTAGTGAGTATGAGGAAATTATTCCTTTGAACTCAGTTATGAGCTATACACAGTCCCCTTCAGGCTGATGTATGCGGAGTAGAATTTGATTTTTATAGATTGCTAACCATATAGCAAAGGCAAGGTAGTCTGCACCTCTACCTCTAAGTGGTTTAAATCAACAGTCACACACTTTGTGGGCTGAAGTAAGCTTTCGGTTTGAGCACCTCATGTCAGATAACGTTGCCCGGTATGGAAGTCATGAGAGTGACAACCATCACAATCGATGCAGCTTCACCAGCTCATCATCATCTCACCTGCCCTCCATATCTCACACTTTGTGGCCAATCTTTACATCACCATTATACTATATATCACTTAACATGAGATACAGAACGCAAATCCATGCCATCAAAAGCAGTTAGCCTATTTAAGTCTTAAATCGTTAAACTAGGATTTATTATTGTTCCCTTGGGTTCCTAGTGGAACATACGGCAATGAAATAAAAGTAGGTACCACTTTATTGTGCAAAAACTTTAGTTTTTGCTTTATTATAGATCTTTTGGAATCTCTTTAGTTGACTATTGTTAATATATTCAGTGGGGCAACGTAAACTGTTGCTCTTCTGTGTAACGTTTTATCCTGCAACTCAGCTAGTCAAAGTTAGCGTTTCATAATGACTTGATATGTGAATATAAGGGAACTACAGAGTTCTAATAGTCTTGATGCATTAGATTGCAGTATCTTGAAGACACCAGCTAAGCAATCTACACATGTGTGTGATTCAGTGACTTCATCGATTGACGTCAGTTTTTTATTTGCCTATCTTCAACCATTTCAAAGTGTAACCTTACTTTAGTCAAGATTACTTGTCATAGCAAACGTTGGCTTTCCATGCGTAACATATGCGTATTAGCTATGTCCATAGATAGAGCTTTTTAACTTCATCCGTTCACATGTCTTCCTTATATTATTATTATTGTTCCCTTGGGTTCCTAGTGGAACATAGGGTTTCAATTGCACGTCTCCACTTGCTTCTGTCTTCCTTCTGCTGTACTTTTCACTTCACCTGCATGCATGCTAGTCCATACTGACTGTTTCAACTCCTTATCACACCATCTCCTCTATGTCACCCCTGCACTAACGTCCCACTCGCCGCTTCCCATTCTGTCAGGTTCCACTCGAGCAGTGGCCTGACGCAAGCGCGATGTCACCCAGTGACTTCCTCACCTCAGCCAGTGTCTAATCCATCACAATCCACTTTCTCCTGCATATTTGTTGGTTCTTTTTCTGTTTGTTCCCATAGTTTCTTGTTGATGATTCTTTCAGGCCCGGCCATCTGATCTTCAGTATAGAACCAGCGAAGACAGTTGTTGATTGATAATGGTCTGTAACAGGCTGTTGGCCCCGTCGGCTAAGTTTCTCATCCGTATAGAAGAACTGACTGACTTGACGTTGTTTCTATTTAAGATCCAAATTTTGTTGTTGATGCTGAGTGACAAAGATTTCCAGGTTGATGAATGTGTTTATCACCTTCACGATTCTCGATTTGACATCCTCGTCCATTCCGACTTCCTGTAGTTGAGACAAGACAATGCTCCCTAAAACTGGGATTTAGTGCACACCAGTCTTGCAGTACCATCTTAAATTCCACAAGAGAAGAAGACTCTGCAGTTCACCGATTAAGACAACATTGTCTGCATGAGCTAACTGAACAAAAACTTTTTTTTGGTTAAAAGCTTATCCATAAGTCACTAAAGTAGACTACTAGGCACATGCTCATTAATACCTCTCTATGATGCTATCACTGACTGAATGGAAGAATATAAAGGCAGTTAAAAGCCTATTCAACTATACGAAACAATATTATTAACATATTAAGCATGTCCCATTCTTACCCTTTTGATTGTTGGTACAATATGTTTTTTATGATAAGAACATGTTGACATGGATATAAGTACAACAATTATACATGTTAATCCTTCATGATCAACTAATTCACGACCACATATACCGGCAGCTGAACGAACACTTAATGAATTATTTGAACCTAATGAACCTCCAACGCTATCAAGATGTCGTAGAAACTGATTAATGGAATTAAATCGAACATCCCACCGTCCATGTCCACCGATTAATCCTGACGCTGTGGTGAAATTACGCCAAATATCTATCGGATTTTTGTAGAAAAACAAGAAAGCAAAGAAAACTGAAAGTTTAAAACACACGAGAGCAATGACACCTTTTTTGAAAGTTATGGAAAGATTTATTTTACTCAAGTTTGAACCCTCATTAAAGCCATTCAATGACCCCAACCAGTTTTCCCATAAACAGAGTAGGTGTACCTTAGATGCCGCTGTTGTCCTACATCATAGCATAGTCTCTAGTTTAGATAAAGGAGCTAAATATGTTCGCTGTGCCTTCCTTGATTACACATCTGCATTTGACTCTGTTCCTAGGACTCTCTTGCTAAGTAAGCTTGCTGCAATACAGGCTGAGAGCTGGATAAATAAGTGGCTGCATTCCTATTTTTCTGATAGGAAGCAGTACACCGTCCACAATGGAAAGTCCTCCACTACCTCACTTACTTTGGCTGGTGTTCCTCAAAGTACTATTCTTTCTCCTTTTTTGTTTTCGTTTTTTTACATAACTCGTCTCATTCTGATGTAGCCACTTTTGTTCAGTATGCCGATGACCTCTCTGTTTCTATGCCTGTCAACTCTCAGTCAGATTGTTCCAAATTAAATAACTTTCTGTCGGAAATTAGTCAGTGGTCCTCTTCAAACGGTCTTAAGCTGAATCCGTCTAAATGTCAGGTAGTCAATTTCACTTTCAGACGTAAACGTGACCTACAACAACTAGTTAGCTCACATGGCCCCACTATCATTGACGGCACAGAGGTTGAAAATACATCTAAAGTCAAGTACCTTGGGCTGAGTTTTTCCACCGATCTTTCCTGGTCCTCCCACATCCTGCTAGTTACTAGAAAGATGTTTCGATTAACGTTTTTAGACAGTCTGGCATAAAGCAGTCTATGCTCTCTCAGTTTGTAAATTCTTGTATTCTACCCATCCCCCTTTACTGCTCCCCATCAATCTTTCCTGGACTACTTAAGAAAGACTTTGCTTTGCTGAGAAGGGCAATAGAAACCGTTAGTAGAGCAAGTGGGATATCGCTAAACCAACTGGTTAGGGTAGACATATAATGTCATGTAAGAAACTAGCGAATACAATATTGTCAGACCCCGAGAATCCTCTCCATACGCAGCTCTCTACTTGCATTTCATCTGGTAGAACAAGAAGCAGCTATAGGCGGCTATATGCTAGGACTACCAAGTACAAAAACTCCGCAATACCATATCTGGCACAGCTGTTATGTGATGAGAAATCCGTTAGGTATGACACAATAAACTTACTGCGGCACTCTAACAAATAATCCCATTAATTTTTGTTTTCCTTCCCTCGTTACTATTACACTGTTGTTCTCATATTTCTATCACACATCAACTTTATATTTCATATCCTGTGTTGCATTGTTTAAAATGTAAACGCAAAGTTGTTGTTTTTATTTAGTTTTTATCTTTATGTATCTTTTTTTGTGTTGCTTTTTTATTTTAAAATCTTATAGAATTCATGAGGTAATTAGATGCAATATACTGTTATGCACGCTGAAAATTCAATACCCATACCACAGATACCGTTTGGAATAAAGCTGATATTAATATTATTAAAACTGGGATAGAAGACTAGATATATATGCCGATGATAATTCAATGGTAAAATACTGCCAATCACACTGGACGTTCAAGTTTGATTCTAACTAGCGATCAACGAAACAAGGATCTAAAAGTTACGGGACGGGTTTGTGAAAACGTAATTTAAATAATTTAGGAAATATCACATAATAGTCACTTACGATCAGGTCTTGTATCATTCGAATGAGACAGAAGGCCATTTTGAACAGCACGAGCATAACGTTCTTCATGTTCACGACGTAGTCGGTTAGCTTCAGTGACAAGATGCTGCGGTAGCGTCTCAAACTGTGACTCCTCCATATCAGCCAAAACTTCACGTAGTACTGAAGGCGGTAAAGAAGCTAGGAAAGCTGTATTACTATCAGTATTACTCTGTGAAGTTGCTGGTTGAGTAAGTTGTTCACTTGGATTAGTGTTAGTCGATTGAGTAGTTGGTGGTTGTGCTGAAGACTGACGTTGTTGTTGTTGTTCTTGACGAAATTGTGCCAATACCTGGAAAACATGAAATTTGTGTATTTTTGTGTGTTAACAGACGAAAAGAACAACATATTTTAACAATAAGAACCGTATATCTCGTTCAAAACGTTCACACACACACAAGGGGTGAAACACCCCTTGACCTCTGTGGTTACATGAAGCTAATTCACTTTCCCTCGTTAACGATAGATAGTTGAACAAAAATAAACAATTTTTTGTCAGTTTAAGCGGTGCACTTAGGAGTAACTAACATTACACACAACCATCAAAGAAACAAAAATTCGATAAACTGGTAGTATTTAGACGAGTTATTATACCATACATCGACGCAGTTGGCAATGAGCCTGATTGTTTTGAATTAGAACGCATCATCCACCCACCCAGACCAATGGCAATGAGTCAAGGCTCCATATCAAAATAGGAAACAACTACAACAACTTATATGAATTACCTCTTCTTGGATATGCGGTGGAAGACCAGTCAACCATTCTGAATTAATATGCTCCGGTAATGACATTGAACTGATCTGCTGTTGAACTTGTCGTGCATATCGATGATCAGCGATTACTTCTTGTCGCATTTCTTCAGGTAAAGCATCTAAAAAGGACGGATCCATTCCACCTTCTACTAATGACTGAATAGTTTCTTCGTCAGTCATCATTACAGGTGGTCTAGTTGGTGCAGTATTTGATACCACAAGATTAGATATATTTTCTGCTGTACTAGTTGTAGTAGGCTGAGTTTCACTCTGACCAGCTGTAGTATTAGTAGTAGTATTCGACGATTCTCCTAAGTTTTTTGAGTAAAAAAAACGTTGAAATACAACAAACAATTAAAATAAGTAAACTTTTTAACTCAATACAATATTCTTACGATCGTATAACATACATCAAAAGAAAAAACAGCACAGGAAAGCCTTTCTTATAAATATGCTTTCGCGAATTATAAGGGAGTTAGAATTCGCGGATACATTGAATACCAGAGACCACGTGACGAAATGGTCAACGGGCTTGGTCTCGGTCATACGAAGAGTCCAGGTCCGATCCCTAGTGAGGTTGTCGGTGTGTAATAATACTACAGTCTCCTAAAACGGGGCTGGAACAGCTACCTAGTATTGGAGAAAAAAACACAATCTAGACTAACTGAAAAGGATTTCCGACAGACTGCCAATTTTTTATTCAAACCTGTATTCGGTGTCAATAAGCAGAAAATCATATAACACGCGTCAAAGAGGATAAGCAACAAGCAACTATGGCAGCCGATGAGCTAAAGAGCAGACGGATCGCAAATACACGAAAGGAACTGTTGAATGATAATCTTATACGCCAGCGACCCAAAATAGGCGTAGATCAGAGAGTAAATGAGTAAGTGATACAGAAGACAACATGTGGACGGGGAATGAAGAGACCACTTGATTCTTAGAGGAGATAGGCACAAGACGGTGAAGAATGCAATACAAAGGAGATGCACAGCTGAAGCCTTCATGCCCCACTGCGAAAGGCACGAGACGATTATTAATAATGATAATAATTGTCTTAACTTAAAACAGTTTAATCTCAACTAAACACTTATTAAGGCTGGATACATGGTTGTTTGCTTTGGCAAAATCCAACAATTCTCAGTGACTAAGCTTTTTTTTTACTGACAATTACACTATCCAAATTTATTAAGAGGATTAACCATTTCAAATTCAAAATGAAATAGCTAAGTATTTCCTATATTAAAAAAGGTAATGCAAAATACCTCCATCGAAATATTATTAATCTGAGAGCATAAATGAATACACGTAAGAATGTAAAAACCAAAGATCAAATAACACATTTATAACGATTGGAGTACATATATATTTACCGAATCTGTTTATTTTAACATAGTCCATATTGCCACATATAGAAAACCTACTTTTTGTGAAAGGTTAGATTGTTATTATCAAGTGGAAAACGTGACTCACCTTGGTCACCAGTATTAGGTACTTCACTGTTTGATGAAATTTCAAGCGTTTCAGCCGGGCTTACAACATCTGGAGTCAATGGAATCTGAGCAGTAGTTGTACATTCTGTTGGAGAATCTCCTGTATTTTCAGAATTCTCGAGAGTTACTATCACATTAGTGACTACTGGATTAGTAAAAGTGACAGCAGGCTCAGTTGTGGACTTGCTATTAGATGCTAGCGCGGGAACTGCAACTGTTGGCTCACAAGGAGAGCTAATAACTACAGGTGAACTAGTACCCACCTCACTTTCAGCAATACGTAGCTTGAACACTTCATGACGCCTTTCTTCAAGTACTTTATAAATATGATGGCGACTGAGAAGAATAATATCCATTATTTCGTGCCCAAATAACATTCGACAAAGATTAATCCATCGTCGATAGTGTGGTGGTAGGGCATATCCTGCATATGGAATCAGTTGGGCATGATTAATCCCCTAGAATTAATATCCATCGCTCCCTGTTGAATTCTATTGAGTGGTGAAAAAAATCTAGAAAAGATAGCTGCAGCTAGAGCAGAATTAGCAGGTGAAGGTTGATCTTCTGCAAGATTTGATAACATTGACCATACAAGTTCATTAGCTTCAGTTCCATAACGATTATCTCGAGCATCACTGGTAGCTGGATTACGAGAGTGACTGTTAGATCCAGATGAGGTTGCATGATCTGCAGCATCAGATTCTGTACTATACAATCGATTCATTATGGAGTGATAACGCCACCCATCGATACTGGAAGAAGGGTGAAGCGCAGTTATCCGATGACGGGTACCATAATGAGGTGGAACATGTTGTTGAGGTATTGGTGGTAAGTGTGCCAGTACGCGATTTGCAGTTGACATGGTATTGGTCACTATCGGCCGGCTAGTTAAACGTAAACCATTAGAACCTGAATTACGACTAGATCCTCCAATATTCACAGTATGCGTTGAAGGAGCAGAATAAGAGCTAGTACTAGAAGTAGGTACCTTGAATGATAAAAAAATATTTACAAATGAAAATAGAATGACCAAACCATTTGTTAAAAATGCTATTATGTACTCGTCGCCAAATTATTGTTATCTACTGGTCGAGAATTTAATAGTCCTGACGCAAGAAAGACGGAAATCAGAAGACCACTAGGTTTGCGATGATACCTCTATTTTCCAAACACAAGGAGAATATAAGTCAAACAAGAGTGTGAGGGCAAAAATATATATATGAACGTCCGAACAAGTGTGTGAACAAATCAATAGACAGTTTTAACATGATTGGCTAATTATAATGGAATATCGATCCGTATATACATAGCAAAATATATCAGACTGTCAAACAAACACACAATTTATATGGATACACGTCACCAAGAACAGACTGTCAGAAAAACACACATTATATATATATATATATATATATACGCAAATAATGCCAACGACTCTGCTAATACTAGCTACTCTATTCCGAAGTTAGTTATTATCATTATTATCACCAAAGACAAAATGATTTTCATCAAATGATGAGAAAAATCGTCCAATTTTAAACCAAAGAAGTTTTATCGACGTTCTGGGAAAACAAAACTATTAAGATTGACTGATTGAATGGTAGGTAACACATTTATTAAGTACAACTTTAGCCGTCCACTTAGAACTTTGTTTTATCTAAAGGCAGCGGTACAGATGAGCATGATATAGCCGAACTGAGGAGAGCCGGACACGTGTCCTTTAAACTGGTCTACAGGACTTTGGACAACGAACACCATTCAAATTTCCAACACTAATGTTAAGTCAGTGCTCCCCCGTATGTTTCATAGTCTTCGCGGTTGTGTCACTTGTGTAGGTCACTACTACTAGCGGTTGCATCAGTTAGTGAACCAATGTGAAATCTAGGAGTAGCGGACATCTGTTTCATCCTAGTTTGTAACTTTTCACAGCACGCACCCATTAGGCTTCGACCCCAAGACTTTTAAAGTTACGAAGCAAGCTGATAGGTCATTAGGCCGCTGAGACCTGACCCGATGATCCATAAATTTCAACCTCTGCCCAATCCTTGCAAACCACTCTTTATTATTACTTTACGTTTCCAGTGGAACTATAAGGCTTCAAAGCAAGCGTTTCGGTAGCCCTGGTGTTTATTCTTGAAGGATGTGATTGCTAGCCTCAACTCTAACCATCATTTTAGAACAGGCTTAGTGAAGTAAAAAAAACGCGTCGGCCGGAGATCGAACCCTGAACCACCTGCGTGGTAAGCGAGCTCTTTATGGCTGTGCCACTGATGCAAACCAACACTTGACAATTGATCTGATGCCCACTAGCAACTGGCCCTATAAAGGAAGCATCCGGGGTTACACCAAGAAGTCGTAGGCAGCGGTATCCACGACGTCAAGCAAGAGGAGAGTTAATCGCGCGTGACATTGGTCGTCGGTTGCGCTAAACGAATTGGCAAATGTTGGATGCATGAACTAATGGGTCGGGTCTCAGAGACCTAATGGCTTACGAGCTTACCAATGAAATCCTAGCAAACCAACACCTGACAACTTATTTATTCCCAACGAATAAAAAGGGGGAGGAAAGGTGATGGATATGATATATTCTGAAAAGACCTACAAGTCACGTTACATGCTGACAATTCGACTGGTATCACAATAGGAAGCGACAAGTTGAATTGGCGTCTGAAGGTGACAAGGACAAGATTGTGCAGGGAGGAGATGGAATCATATGGGTGCTATTAGGTAAAGCTAGGTGTAATCAAAGTCGTCAGAGAACCGAGTCCAAGGGATATGTGCTGTTGAAGCCTCATGTCTCATTTGGAATGCATAGAATTTAAAAAAGCAATAATAATATACTTGGAACAGTGAAATAAGATTCTGTACTAAGTTTTGCCACGTATGTATCACAGCATTGAAGTTTCTGCACAGATTTGGTTGGTTTTACTGAGGGAAGGGTTACTAGCTTCACGCCAAACTTCCGTGTATTTCCAGACTCAGGACCCACTAGTAAACTAGACGAAGTTGATGCGTGATCAAAAGTATCTCCGACAGGCTTCAGGCTTCTAACAGCAGCTTCCTTGGCTCTACAGTTAAGATCAGATAGCCGGTCAAAAATGATAGGTAGCAAGGAAACCTAGCAACAAACGAACCAAGAACATATCGTCTAACATGGAGATGATAAGGGGTTACGGGCAACAGTGGATTGAGAGAACTGCAGCAAAACTAGATAAAACCGACACGTGCTGTTATAGTACCACATTCGACTTGGAACCTTAGGAAAAATTAATGTAATAATCGCAATGTGGGGGGCAATATCAGAAGTGACTTGATTATGTCGGTCATACCCAGCGTTCGCTTTTCAAACGTATCACTGAACATCTCTACCAACATGGTTTTACAAAGCAGAAAATCTATGCCCCTTGCAGCTGCATCTTAGAACATCTGATAGAATCCAGACACCAAGCTACCCTCCAAACAAACATCAAAAGTCGTCTACAGAGTAAGAAGTAGTCTTTCTAAAGGTGTACGAGTCAGACTTATTCAAACTGTAGAAGCAATGGCGATTCACTCGCTAAATCCTGAACTCTGCATACAGAAGAAGTTCGTTGAATCACTGCACTTGCAATGGACGTAATCTATCTTATTGCCCGACAAGTAAATTCTACCTAATCTTTTCTTTCTTCTGAGTCTTCATTAGTATTATTTTGTCTTCTCAATCGCAATATTTTGCATTTTCAACTTCCTTGTTCTCTACCCCCACTCGATTAAATTTCTACACCTCACTACCACTGTTACTGATTTGACCAACGCTTAATTTCTAGTCATTTATGTTAGCAACGTCATCCAACTTATTTGCTCAATCTCAGTTCTAATTTAAATGGCATTATTCTCTACCCCACTTCTACTAAGTGTCAACCTGTAATTACCTCTGTTTCTACCCCGACCTAAGTTGAAACATTTTAGTCAATTATATTACATCATGTAGCTAACTGACTCAATCTTACTTTAGTTGCTGTCTGATTAACCTTGTTTCTATATTAGATCATTCTTGTATTACCTGATCAATTATCGAAACTTGACAAACCTCATGTACACACACAAGTAATTATATATAAATGCGCCGAAAAGAGTCTCTTCGCCGAACGTCTTCTCTTTTTCATATAACTCAATGGGGATTCTCAAGCTACTTGAGTAATTGTTTAATTACTTCAACATTTATCCAACCTACAAAACGTTAGATACCGTGATAACACCATAATACTATTACTAAAGGAATTACTAAAAATATTGTATTATAAAAATAAAGCGAACCTGAAGCAAAGGATGTTGATTAGCTATTGTAGCAGTTGGCAATGTCTGAGGCGATTGAGGCATCTGATTATTCATAGAAGAAGCTGCATTGCCACCAGGATTGATACGGAAAACAGTAGTACCTGATAATCCACTATTAGTAGTGTCCACGGCACTACGTCTAGGACCATCACCACCGGCAATAAAATTAGTAAAACTTGGGAAAAGCAGATCCCAATTGCCTGAATTACCACCTCTAGGCTGGTTAATAGTAGATAAACTATTTGTTCCAATGTCTCTAAGGCTATTAGTTGTTATAGCACTCAGAGTGGGACCGACAAATCGACGGAGAGCTTGTTCCACAACAGTTGACGCCGAATGACTGCCACGTGATCCACGATTCTCAGGATAGAAAATAGTATTACGTACCTCAGGCAAAATGATGGCCACATCTTCTCTAATCGTGTCGTGAAGTGCTTCTGAATAGTCATCAATATCTATCCCTGCGTAGCTTCTAGCGTCCACAACATGAGTATCGTCATGAAGTACAATATTGCCGGTTTCCTCATGCAGCATATCTCCATTATCATCATCATTATTTTGAGATTCAAGATTTTGATTATTAGGTCGACTTGTTGTAACAGTCAAAGAAATAGAAGTAGAATCTATTCGATGAGGACGATGACGACGACGTCGACGAGGACTAGACAAACCAGAAGGTCGAACTCGATTAGTCGTAGGCCTACGATTTCTGCTGAGCACAAACGAAACCTCCTCGTCATCTTCACCGCTAACATCTAAATCGACATCATCGCCTATTACCTCAGGATCATCATCTTCTTCCTCATCCTCTTCGTCATCGTCGTCATCATGTTCGTCATCTTCATTCTCCTCCTCCTCCTCGTCTTCTTCTTCTATCTCCAAAACATCGTCTTCCTCCTCCTCCTCCTCCTCTTCTTCATCATCATCATCTTGAGTATTATTGCCTTCAACGCCTTGGCCAGAACTGCCTTCGTCGTCTTCTTCTTCTTCATCATCATCATAGACAAATATTAACGATCTAGCCTCAGGATCTGAGGCGTTTGAAACACGACGCCGCCAAGGTTGACGAATATTATTATTTCCACCGTGATGATGATGGTGATGGCGATGATGATGATCTGTAGCAATTACCACCATATCAGCTTGAGCAGCCAATACATCACTAAGAACACGACTAAGATTGGAAGCAGGCGATGAAGAAGAAGCACCACCCCCGTCACCACCAACAGCACCCCCACCCCCACCACTAAACGCTGTTTCAACATTCTGTACTGGATGTGAAAATTCTTCTTCTTGATGATGATCTAACATACTTATATCATTATCCTCTTGATCTTCATCATCTTCATCATCAGAATCAGTTTCAAAATCTCTGGAAGTATTATGATTACTACTACCACCACCAGGAACACTACTAATTGATGCATCAATCCTTTGCCTATTTATTGATGATGATCCATGAACTATAATACTACTACTATGCTGAACATTATCATGAGCAGATGATGAATTCGTAGATGTGTTCACTTGTTGTTGTTGTTGTCGACCACCACCGCCACCAACAGAATTATGATTCCCTACTGCTGCAACTCCTCCTGCTTCTGGTCGTTGTTTCGACTGTGCATACAACAATTTACTATATTCACGATGGACTAGTGTAAAATTTTCTAAAGCCCGTAGCATATAGTTGATTGTCGATTGTGTATTAGCTAGATTACATCCAATGATAGCGTATAATCTGGCAATATCTGCTGAAATTCTACGTTTATACAATAAGCGTAGTATAGGCATAACTAGTGGTTTTGGTAAAGCGAGTATACGAATTAAAAACATCATATGTGAACTGATACGTTCATTTTTTAACGATGGTGATGATGATGATAATGATGCTACGCTGTCTGATTTGTTATCATCTGCATAGGATGAAGATTTAACACTGATACGATTCAACGAGGCTTTGAATTCATTAATTATTAAACGTTGAATAGATTCACTACTAATGATAAGTAAATTTTCTAATAATGACATTGTAACTTCATTAGTGTTGGCATCAGTTAATTCATAACTGAATAAATGGGATAGGAAAGAACATCTTGGAGAGGAGGCCGACGATGATGACGAGGATGCGGTGTCAGTGGTTGACTTGCCAGCAGCAACAACACTGGGTTCGGTGTGTTTTTGTTTGTACATTGCAATAAATTCAGCAACAGATTTATAAGTACCAACTAAATCAATTAGGTAGCGCAAGGCATCTAATTTGCCAAGAACAATTAAACCAGTCTTTTGTTGTTTATTAGCATCACTACTACTACTACTACAACAAGGCATAGATGATTGTTGTGGATGATTAGTAGTTGTTGTGCTGATTGTTAACCCTGGATGTTGACGACCATAGGTACCAGTTGACGACTGACCAGTTGTAGTATTTGTAGTAGTAGTAGTAGTAGTAGCAGTACTAGAGCTACCCCAATTAACTGTTGTCGTACTAGAAGCAGGAGACATTGTGTTTATCAATGTAGGATCGAGTGTAGCCGTCATAGAAATGAACGTATCATCACCACGCGCATTTGTGTCCTGAAAAAGGAGACAGAAGTCGAATATAACAGTTAAAACCAATTTTCTAAACAAAATTAAGATAAGAAAAGCATTACAAATTAGTTACAACCTCTATTTTACTGTCGAGTATTCAAGAAAGCCAATGACGATCAGCACATATATATGTAAGAGAAGAGCTTTTTTAACAGGGGAGTGTTGCTGGGCCCACGCCCTATTTTCACACAGCCTGGAATCAACTAGTAAACTAGCCAAGATTTAAATCTCATCAACTAAGATCCGAACCTGTGTTCTTTTCACTCGACAGAAGTCGACGAAGTGTTATCAGAAGTGCAACGATAACACTGATGATTGTGTGAGAATGAAGAGGTATGATCGCATATTCGTTTTTTTTATTTGATTTTGATTATAGCTTGATTCCACACAGTATTTTTGGTACAAGTGTGAAATTTTCAGCATGTGATATCGGTAGCCCAAATTTTAGCAGGCCGACCATTGATATCAGGTGTACGTCGGCCGGAGATCGAACCCCAGATCATGTGCATGGCCGATGAAAGTTCTAACCACCACTGTGCCACCGGAGTAGATGATTTTTACATTACAAAACTTTATTATTTTTCAAAATCAGATCTCATTGTTAGTGTGAAGATAGATCAGTCACCGAACAAAAGGCACGTATCTAATTAAAATATGCAGATGAATTTGTTTGAATACTCAATAATACTGTCAATAGGAACGATGGAAAGAAATACTAATTCTCTACTACTCCACTCTAAACATGTTGTTGCAGAATACTCCCATTACCACAGTAGATAGAAAGACAATCTAACCTATTCTAGGAGGTAAGTGTTGTGCGCAGGATTCAGAAGTTCAAATCAACTTACTAAACATCTATGGCAGATGGTGGTGGGGAAGTGGAACATATGAGAAGATCAACCGTGTCCGACCATAGATTTTACTGTTCAACCTGCCATATTAGATGAACCAATAAGATGAATGATCGTAGGGTCAGACGTAGAGCGTGGAGATAACGAGGGAAAGCCAATCAATGAGGTTCTGGGGTTGCATCAGTTGAAATGGTGGTCAGGACATGCGTAACACATGCCGAGTCATCACCTCGTTTGATGAGAACTCTGCTAGTTGATATGAAACTAAGTGAAAACGGTGTTTACAATGGTCAGAGCAAAACATGACAACAATTCATCAAGTTTTTCACTCTTGACTTGACTGTTTTTAGGTAGGGATATCGATAGGCTAAGAAAGTGAAGTCGCAGAATGTTGATGACATAACTAGGAAGCATTGAAAGTAGCATACATATATTCTTTTCTTTCTATTATACTGGCTTTGTAATTCTGCTTTAATCGCCAAGCTAACTGTTCTTTTCTCTGTTTAACCTGCCTACAATGAAATTTAATTCAATACTCATTATCTAAGGAGATTCTGAAAGCAGGATGGATGATCTGCAAAGCCGAACAGGAAGTTTATAACCTGGGGCACTAAGGGAAGCAGGATGGATGGTTGTGTGAAGTTAGCATCCATTTGGTTCATTATAATTCCCTGGATAGCGTCCGTGATATTATCTCAGAGCATGACGGAAAATCGAAATAAAAAACAGCAAACATGCTATAGTTCTCTCATTTCATTCTTTTGTGAAATAACCGTCAAGTGATAATCTCTCCTTGAAGGCTCTTGATAAATAAAGTATGCGAACCAGTTCGTTCCTCGATCATTCTTTTTTTTCATAGTAGGGAATAGGCTAATATTCCCGCAAAAAAAAAGAAATGATATGCAGTTTTCATGCTAACACGCAATAACTGAATGAATTCCGACACATGAACTTCCATGGAATTACGATAGTTCAAGTTGTCACAGTTCATGTCACACGGAAAGGTAGACAAAAGAGAAGTAAAGGTATGAGTCATTGGTTCTTAGCATCTTAACGGCATCAACCAGGCAGTCTATGTGGCTAGGTCACATACCAACTATCAGAGACTTTATGGATTGATGTCAGGTTTTGAGTTGACCACCACTAACTCTTCTCCCCTACCTAATCCTATATGGGATAACACTGATTGTCAATAAAGGGGATGGTAAAGCATGCACAACACGTTCTAATGCTTTCAGTCCCTGTTGGTTGCTTCACAACCGCATATATAAACCTAACCTAATTAATTACAATTTTACGCCTTACCTCAATACTGCTTACTACATTATATCACTTAAACACATGAGACACAGGACACAAACAACAGGCATGATGTGCATCAAAGCAACAGGCATAAATAACAAAAACTTACTTCAAGATATGTTCCTATTCCAGTTGTAGTAGACGACGACGACGACGACCGATAATCTCCTTTTACTTTCAACGCTGGTGGAGACATTATCAAATCCATTAATTGTGTTAGCAAGTGTTTTTGTCGACTAGTAAGTGGTAATAGTGTAGCTCGTTCCGAAGTATGACCAGCTTCTTCGACAGTGTATGTTTTTGGGTAGGATTTAGCTAAATAAAAAAGTATTAATGAGATTGAGATTTTCAGGTGATAAGAGCAAACAAAGATTTAATGAAATACAACATAAGCTCTGTGACTGATTTAGGTATTCTGTAGTATCTACATCAAAATAGGTAATCAACTCAAAGCTTGGCTATTAAACAGTGAACACACAGACCATCAAACACAATTTAAATTAGGAGAAGCACATGTGATTGATACAAATCATACTGATGTCTGTAACTTGTGTCTACTGGTCGAGGATCTAAAATCAGAAGACAGCTGTCTAGGTAGTTACTAGGGTGTAAGTGGTCGCAGATCATAAAATAAGGACTTTCTTCTGAAGCTTTGCGAAGATAAAATTTTTAAGCAATACGACTATCATTGTAGTGACCACTTCTGTCACTTAAGTCGGGTCCTATTGCTATTAGCCACCGATGGTGCGTATACTGCCACTCTATTCCTGGTTCACTTCTCCGGATTCCGATCAGGCTTTCAGTGAGAGCTAGATTTATCGTGCGACTTGGTGACCATCAACGTTGTTTTCAACAGATCGATGTGAGTAAACTGGAATCCCCTGTTAATTTTGCAAAGTTTCAGACAGATCTGTACACTACGACAACCAAAGATAGTAAAGACGAACATCAAGCTGTACATTTAAGACGTTATGACATTGGCGAGTAAATGTGATTGCAGCTTAGACGAAGTCAACCTAAAAACTACTACTTGTTTTCTGCCAGTTTCTTTTAAGTTCTTGAAGCTTTTCATTTCATTTCTCAGGATAAGGGGTTAAAATCCGTGTAAGTTCCTTAGGCATGAAATCGAACATTGTTCACGCAAGAGCAGCACATCCTGGTCAAAATGTACGAGATGGAATCAATGGTTATATCCGACAATAGTTCGCAGCCATGATTAAAAACAGTGACAAAGTATGTACATCATACAACTAACTGTCACCACTGTTCTCATCAATAATAAAACTAAACATGGTCATCCGATCTCATCTTTTCTCACTAACATTTCCAATGATGAGAGAGTTGTCAAAGGCGTGAGTTATAGTGGTGTAGAACAAATGACCTTGAGTATGCACACTATATGGTCTAGATGTGTGACGACAAACAACGTGGCTACTCAAGTCTTCCCTAACCAGTCAGAGATTAGTATTGCACAGTACTGTAGCAATACTGGTATTAGTTTATACATGGACTCGCACTCTTTCAGGTTGACCACATGAATTTGTCGATAAGTTCGTGTATCTATGTAGTTGTCGGGGGTACTGACAGTGTGATAGATTAAATTTGTTATTGTATGGTGAAAGCCATAGCAGTACACAACAGCCTAGACAACCTCTCACACCATTATGACATTAGTCTTAATATTAAAGATCGAGTTTACAATGACTAGACCTAGTCAGTTTCAGCATATGCATTGGAGTAGATGAGTAGCGGCTTTGTGTGTTGTTCCATCATCACTATCTCCATAGGATTATTTGCGTCCACTGGTATCTTCGTGAAAGTGATTCTGAAGACTAACGATGTCGTCTTAGACACAAATGGAATGATCTTCCAATGAGTGATGCCATCTTACGACGCTGTGGATTGGATAGGCACTGACATTAGCTATATGCTAACCATTGGGTGACAAGTTGCGAAATGAAGATATATTCAACATATAAGGCATTGCTGAGAGGTGAAAGTAGTTTTGTTAGAAATGACAAATGTTGGAGCATTTGAGTATGAGAACAATCTTAGTACGTCCATCAATACTTAACCCAAAGCTGTTTAATAGACAATTAACAACCTATATCCCCTCCCTTTTAAATCCTTATAATTACAACCACCAGGAGAAGACCTAAATGAGTCGAGCTAATATAATAACGTCAAATACAAACAAAAGACAACTAAAAAAAGCATACACACTCACTTTCTAAATCTGTTTTAGGTATAGATAGACTAAATGTTTCTGACGTTAATTTCATAGCACGTTGACGATCCTTTGCAAACAATGGTGAGCACATATTCAACAGGTAAAACAAATCACGACATGATCTTGGACCAGCTTCGATTCCCATGAAAGCACTAGGTATGCCATACTTTGACATTTTAGTCAAAATTTCTTTCATTATTCTCTCAGAAGTGGCGGCATCATCAAATACCTTGAACGTAAGGAAAATAAAGTGTATATATATATATATAGCACATAAACCAAAGATGTTACGTAATGTAACAGCGGGATCACCAGGACGGCAGATGTGCAGCCTCCTCAACTCTGGGGATGCTTAGAAAAGATCTGAACCGAAAATTGTACATCACGACTTTGCCCTAACGGCGGTGGGATCTTAACTACAAAACCTACTTTAAAAAGGCTGTGTGACTGGTTACATGCTGTTGTTGTCTCAGCTCTCAGGCACGCAAAAACTAATACTTCTCTGTCTCAGGCATCCTAGAGAAGAAACCAACATCTATAACATGTATATCTGGGATGTAATAACCACCTACACACTACCATAAGTAATTAGTCAAATGAAGAGTAGAAAGATTCAAAAACTTTTGCTATTATAACAAAATCAACAGTCAGAATCAGAAGGGTAAACACAGGTATTTTATTACTCTAAAATGAGTGTGGAGGTTTGTGACATTTAGAGAAGGAAATGCGAAATACGAATTTTGTGAAACATTGACGTCAAGTTAGTGGGGTTATACAAGGTTTAGAAATTCGACATGTCACCCACCAAAAGCTTTATTTTTGAAGCTGCTGTAGACTTCCATTAACAGTTTCCACCATCAATTGATACCGAAAATTTAGGTGACAGACTTGAAAAAACAGACAAACGTGAACTCTGGCAATACATCGTACCATCAGCCTACGACCTACTTATTGTCCAACAAACACACACAGGGAAATTCACATGGATTGTGCATACGCTGATCAGGCTTGCAATTGGTATACCATACCAGATCTTCGAGTGAAAATCAAATGGTAAGTGACAGGGTTGAACGTTTAAGTATCGCGGGGGAATAGATCAGGTGTGATAAAGGAATGAAAGCTTGTGGGCGTATGTGGAGATAATTGAAAGTACAGTAATGAACCAAGTACAACAGAGATCCGCGCGAAACGCAAGAAATGAATAATTAATAATGATAATAAATCACTCTAGATTGAACTCACTTCAGATATAAGAGCACCAACAAATGCTGAATAATCAGCTGAAAACTCCTTAGCATGCGGATAGGTGAATAATACTGTTAAGAAGTCAGATTCAGCTAATTCCCTGGCGTTTTCATAACTTGTAAAGCACAGGCGTAACAGCAATCTGAACATAGCATTTAAACAATCCGATGGAAGAGGTGTTTGATGATCAGATGATTTGAGTAGATTAGTATCAGTGGACGACGATGACAACGATGCGGCATTTGATTGTGTAGTCACAGATGATGTTCTCTTTAATGCACGTAAATGTTGTATTAAAGCTTGGCATAATTTTGAACGTTCTACAGGATTTAAACATTCCGGTACTTCTGTGTTCATCAGGCTAAGTTCATAGGAGGACACTATGAACATAATTTTGGGTGGAAAAGTACGAAAAGAAATAAAAATAAAAGCAAAACTATTAAAACGAACTTACTCTGACATTAGGCTCAAAGAATTAACAGATACACAATAAAGGTGAGAAGTTTACACAAAAGTGAACTTAATTCAAGTCGTCACACCTTACATAACATATTTAATGCGGGAGAGAATAAAATATTCAGGTAAACAGTGAGAATTTAATGGATTTTGGAGATCATAAAGTCTAAATACAATTGAACCATTGAGAACGATACTGAGCCACACCATCAACACTTTAAAGCCATTGGTTCACAGCATCCCCGATCAAGTACAAAGGAAATTTAATGAAGATCCTCACCCACAGAGTTAGAGCTATATTTTCAGAAGAATTAAGCATTTTATATGATACTTTGATCAAAAATAGCTATCCTGACAAATTTATCAAGAAACACATGACAAAAAAAGCGGAAAAGCACTACTGACTCACTATCTGTAAACAAGAGGCCACTTTATATACAATTGCAATTCAAGAGCGATATATTTCAAGTAAAATAACTGCGAAGACACTACGAAAATCAGTTCAGGAGATTATTAATGCTGGGGAACTACACTTCTTATTCTCTACACGACCGATAGTAATTCCTCGGCTGAAAGATGAAGAACCTAGACTAGCTGGCCACTTCAAATTGTATCTAGCAATTCAACTGCGCCTGTGGAGCGAGTGAAACGAGTCATTGTTCTAGAAATCTGATTTTTCGTGTTCGAGAACATCTCTCAGTATGGCTAAGCAAAGATGTAGTGAGAACCATTAACAATTCGATGTGAGACCATCTGGTGCAAACAGGCAACAAAACCAGCCAGCGTGGAAAAATCCTTCTCTATAATCCTACTGGGTGCCTAATAAATTGCCAAAATCATCGAAGCACCGCATGCTCAAAACAGCAGAGGCTATTGCAATTCGCCTCAAACAACCAGTGCTCTGTGTGTAAAAGAAGCAAGTCCAGCGAGCCACTACTACTGCCCTGGCCAGCTTTCATTAGAAACTTTAAATTCATGAATTTGTAATATTATCTTCCCTAATTTTTTTGACATTCAGCTTATTTGACATTTCTGCTGTTGAGCTGTAATCCATGAATATAATTGATTCGATATTATTTAAACAAACATTAATGTTTTTCATAACAATAATTCACTCATTCATTATAATGTGTACATACATGTAGAGCCTGGTGAAGAATGGGATATGGAAAAGAGTATTCGTTGTTCAGTATCAATTCTTCTGAAAATTTCAGTGGGCATTTTAAATCAGTAAAAACTAAGTTCCAAAAACTTTATGCACTGATATCACGTTTAGCTATGGCTACCACAACTAACTCTTTTCTGGCCCATGTGCTAATTATCACAGTCAATTTAGCTTCACAACTTCATCGATTGAGTTTCCATCCTTACCTGGTATTAAGTTTACAATACATCATACCATTTAACACAGATAGAATACAAATATATCTGTGGTCAAAGACAGTTAGCCTTTCTACATATCTCCTAATATCAGTGACCACCTCGGACAGCCATAAAAGAAGGCAAACATGACTACTGTGCATTAGACACACACCTTGATCGATGATCGGATATCATGTCAGAGTCAGACGCCACGACGTCGTCGAAGCATCCTCGTATAAAGGATGCCAACATGTCGACAACAGAGGTCAAGTGTTTTGGTCTAATCAATCAGCGGGAATTTTACATATCTTATTATAACATAACACACACACTTACTCTGATCCATTGAAGCCTCCGTATTCGTCTCTGTATCCTTTGCAGAAGATGGGAAGAGTAGAACTGGTCGTCTATGTATGCTGAGAAGATTGAGTTGTGTCATTGTTGGAAATTCAACAATATACGGTCTTCGATTAACATCATAAGCGGCAAACAAATCACCTCTATGAAAACGTTTATCGATAGCTCGCATACTTTCATTAGCATAAGGATGCCAAAGTACTGCTTGATTATCAAACCAATACCAATTATGCGAAGAAGCGTATAGTTTAACGCTTTCCTGACGTAGACGCATAGCCTAAGAAAAAAAGCATCAGAGAGAGAAAAGGGAGAGAAACACAGATAAATGCTGAAATGAATTATCCAAAAACTGTAACTATATCACATAAACGGTTAAATGATACGCGCAACTTTCTCAGTTTCCTACCTCACTAATCTGAAGGGGAGAATATAAAAATTCATTATTACACAAGAAGTTGTTTATCACTGTACTGATGCATTTTTCAAATGTCAGTGGAAATAAATAGCTCTGCTGTCTCAATTTCACCCCCACCAAGAGATTTTATTGGTATATATATATATATATATGACTACGTACAATGAAAGCTTTACAGTTAGACGACTCACAGCTCAGAGAACACAACAACATAGTAGTCGAAATATCTGACGCATAGAATACTACAGGATCAATAACAGACATCTTACCAATACCGAGGACTTCGATAAAAATAAGGCCAAGCTAAAAACTGATTTTAAATACCAAAAAAACAACAGTCAATTCATACATTTTACGTCCTAAATGAGTACAGATCCCGTTTCCGTTAACCATTAAGTAATTATTACTTCGCATTTTGAATGAGATATCCTGCATTACTTTGTGGTCATGAAAAAGTATTCGAATATCAACACATCATTCAGCCGAAGTTTAAGTGGCCGGGTTACATAACGAAGCGCTTTGGCAATGCAACCGACCAGCTAACAACAATATGCAGGAATAAATGCAGAGCGATTCTGAGTAGGCTGAAAGCACATTCATGAGACAATGAATGCAAGCAACTCGAGTGGAATCCGAATAGGAAGTGACAAGTTCAGCGTCCAAAGGAGATGATAATATTAGCCTCTTTAAATCACTGGGCTTCCAAATTTTATTCCTATCCATCAAAATGCATCATATATACTGTATTTCACACTGTTTTAACCACCCAACAACCTTCATAAATCTTGATATACTTTGATTCGACACTAGTAACTAGTGTGATGCGTCTAGTCCTCTGATTGGTGTAGACTGAATTCTATCAGTCAGGTTGTAATGTGACCACCATTCTAGCTAGCTCGCCATCACGGTGCACATTGATTTGATGGTACCAGATGGTTGGACACAATCAGCAGGAAGCCTTGGACCTAGGTTTCGTGCTAGTTGGCATTCGTCAGCAAGGCGTATCTGCAACCTTGAAGGAACCCATGTCCTTTCTGAGGACTAGACGCATCACACTAGTTACTAGTGTCAAATCAAAATATCCACTACAGTTCCACAGGAGGTCAATCGCGAGCCCGAATAGCTCAGTGGTAACGTCTCTGACTGCAGCACTGGGTGATGCAGGGCTCGAATCTCAGAAGGGGCATGAGTCCCTTTAAGGTTGCAGATACGCCTTGCTGACGAGTGCCAACTAGCTCGAAACCTAGGTCGAAGGCTTCCTTCCTACTGCCTACGACCATCTAATACCATCAAATCTTGACATACTCTTAATTATATCTTTAAAAAAGCAACGGACTTTTCGAAGAAATTGATGGAGAAAATTCGCCAAGTAAAGAAGTCTGTTTTGAAGGAAACAATAGTGTTTAAAGTGATGCATTTCTCAAAGATCTTGAACATAGACCTTACAATAGGAAAAGTTGAGAATTCTATACTGTGTTCAAAACGAACTACTCAGAATGTACTCAGAATAGGGAAACAAAAGCCTAAGGGTATTCGAGAAAACCAGTTGAAAGTGATGTCAGAGGACCGACTACAAAGTAATGTACGAATGCGGTTGTATGTTCCACTCGGAACACCAGGAGTATATAATCAAGAAATAATATAATATATGTATAATATAATAAGTTTTAAAAATTGGAAAAAGAAGATTTCCCGCGTGAATTATGCATACCTGAATACTTTTTTCATACTGATCCAATATAAGAAAAGCTAAAGTTAACGTTTTATAATAGTCGGTTTTTGATGATGATGATGAAACAGAAGACACATTTTGAGAGACGCCACGTTCACCATCATTCATCTCAACGCACATGCCATGTCCTGCACTAATATGGTCGCTGACGCCGACAATCGGTTTACTAATCACTTCAGATTGACAAATAAACTCTATTAGTATACTGGGTAGTTTATAACTCCAGGCTAAAGAAGCACAGATTGATGGACATCGAGTGAATAACAGCACAAGTAAGTGTAATCCAACAGTCTGGTGATCAGATTCACGATTAACCAATTCTGGATGCTCAGTGTTTAACAACACCAAATCAGATGTTTTACTGTTTTTCACAGCAGTTGTTGTTATTGTATTAGGTGAAATACGCAGATATGATGTGAGACTAGAAATAACAACTGCAAATAATTCATTAATATATCGTTCATGTTCACCACTGGATAAGAATAATTCAGCGATTTGATGTAGAATCTACAATTGATTACAAAAACAAAAGAGAATATATAAATAAATGCATTGATACAGCTGTAAATGCATGAACACCAATCATAGTGTATGTAATTCCATACCAATGCGTTTATCGGTTGTATAACATAAATTTCGAACACAATTTACAATTCACATCGCAATTGCGAAACTTAATTTCTACAGTTCTTGCACTTCTTTTCCATTTGTATTAAGGATAGTAGAATTTCCCAGACGTATGTGGGGCATGTGTGTGTGCGTCGGTGGCACAGCTGTTAGGACGCTCGCCGATTATGCACATGCTTCGGAGTTCAATCCCCGGCCACAGACGCACTCCTTAACCTCGCTAAGCCAGTTGTGAGACTGCTAAAACTTAAAGGCTGGGTATGAGGCTAGCAACCCCGTCCTGTAAAAATGAACACCACAGCTGCTTGAAGCAACCTTATGTTCTACTGGGAACGTGAAGGAAAAAAAAGTGAAACATGTTGAATCATTTTATACAGCTGACTAGATAAATATGGCACACACACACACCACGCTGTTACGTCAGATTTTAAGAATCACTATGCCTCAAATTATTGTGTGAAACTAACTGCATGTAGCGTTATACCTGAGTCTTTTTCTGGACCTAGTGCCATGGTGCTCCACCAATCTAGTGAACATCGATAAAATGCTACATTGAACTATTTATATATTTGAACACGTATCATATTCACTGAGAATACGTACATAGAAGAGAAGAACGAGAATAATCCAAATGGAGATTCGAAGTTGTGTACATGAAATTAATACGATTATGAAGAATAAATTGCATCCCCCACACTTCGTTACCCTGGAAATAATAACATCAACATTTTTTTACCAATAAAGTGGTTATTTTACTTAATCAGTTTTAGGCAATAAGCGGGAGTGAAATCAAGAGGTTAAAGGTCATCAAAACAAATAACTAATAGATGTTAGTGACAAGATATCTAAGTTTCAAAAGAGGGGTAAAAATTAATTACGGAATTCAAGATTCAAGCTGATTTTTATGCTTTAGCAACGAGTTATTACGTAATCAAGAAATTTGTAGAGTAGCAGTGATGACTAAGAAGAATAGGATGACTCAGAAGAGTTACGCAAAAATACAAACAAGTCAACAGAATTAGGTAAAATTGTAAAACTTGATTTAAATCTGACGCCGTTTCGAGGATACACGATCCCAACTTTGAATGTTGTGTGAAAATATATGATTAAAACAGATAGCAGATATGTTACGCCTGTCAAGACACCATCCAACAGCCACCTACCTACCTAAGCGACCAGTACTCGCTGATGAAAAGATATAAGGGTGCAAAAGAGGTAGGAGTGGTTGGACGTGAGCATGGCAGTAATCTAGATAAATTTTCCACTGCTCATTTGAGGTACATACATACAGATTAGGCGCAGATTGTTTCTTTAGGATTATTGAAGTGCAAAGAATGTTAGAGGCTATAGACTGTGAGTGACATGTCTGAAAAAGGTTTTTCCCGTAGTCATAGAGATTCTGAATATTTTCTTTATTCTATGTATGTACATTTTTACGCTGAAACTTTAGTTCGACCCTCGTTGAAGGGTCGCAAACTAGGACGTAACGCCTGTCCAATACTTCCATGTTTTCCAATGGTTCTATAACTGATGTCAGCTCATGATGAAACCCTCCAACCAATCAAACAAAATTTCTGCAAAACCAATACTTGAAGATTAATAATAAGAATAATAACTACCCCCTTCTAAAATGATCCAATTAAAACGCTCACCTGATCTGAATGATGACGTTTAGCTATAGCATAACAAGTTTTGAAAACATTTTGTTTCAATGATTCTCGAGCTTCATTGTACACCTTTTCGTTAAACGGTTCAAGCATAACAAGGGGAAATTTATAGGCAGAAGGTCGCTTTAAATCTTTCAAGTTGAGACTATTATTTGTAGGCAAGGTAACTTCACTACCCGTGATAGCAGGATCGTCTGTATTTATGAGTGTTTCCAATTGATCAATGGTAGTTAGCTAAAAGTGAAATGGTATAAAAGATTACATGAATAATAATAATAACAATATTCTTGAAAGCCACTCTTTTGGAAGATAGAGAAAAGTTGCATTACCGATTAAGCAAAGAGTTTCCAGTGAAACCAAAGTCACAATAATCTACAATGATGAGTCTTCGTAGAATAAAATTTGAATTCCTACATCTTGTCGAAGCCTGAAAATACTACTTAGTACACAAGAATTAATCACATTCCCTTCAACGATGAAGTTCTACAAACATACATCCACCACAAGGTCGTTCCTGGTGGTGGTGGATGTATATGACCACTCGTTCACTGCCTCCATCATAAAAGTCTTATTTTGTTGCCAACACGCCACTAGGACATCCCTGGCAAAAGCAAAACTGGGGAATTCGAACTTCTGCAGCTTAAAACCGAAATGGTGGATATCTATGTCTACACATAGGCAAGCCGGAAAACCCTGATTCGAATCATATGACGTACATGAGAAGTTGGAATTCGTGGGCTATTGCGTTGAGTCCTAGTGGCTGAGTGATCAATGAGATCGCCTCGTAACCGGAAAGAATTGGATTCAAACGCTGGTAGGCGCGTACTGTCGAGTAGTCTCAAACAAGGACGAAACTGATGTTCAATACTCCCTGGTTCTCAAATGGTTCATTAACTTACGTCAACTCGTAGTCATTCTGGTATGGTGACCATGTGTATCATACTGGTTGTCAGTTTAAGTGGTTAAAGACGACTCTGTTTACCATTGTAGTAAAGTTTCATTTTTGCATGTTTGCTAAGTACACAATCGACTTTAAGAGTATTAAACATTACTGTTCTCTGTGCCACAATGATATCTTATCACTGGAACAAATGAATTAACTCAACATTATACACATAAATCTCTTCTTTCTAATGATAGATGTATAGAATAAAGACCATAAACTTACATTGTCAATAAATTCGGTTAGATGTTCATACACGCTAGGCTGAATTCCTGCAGTATCCATATTGGTCTCCGATGAAGTGGACTGACTCCCAACACCAATTTCCCCTGATGTGCCACCACCACCTATCCGATGTCGTTGACTTCTACGAGGCGGTCGAACTCTTCTCAAACCAGCAGTTAAAGGTGCGACAGCATTGCGCATTAGGTCTTCTGGAGGAGTCGCTATCATAAGATTTACCGCATCGTTTGTATTCCATCCCGTTTGCTTGAGGGGAAAAGATAGTGAAAAATATAACAATGGTGACAAATTGGTAAAAAGAAAACAATCACTTATTGATTAACACTATATATATGAAATTATGGTAGAGACTTGGATTATTGTTTTAAGCCCCCAACTTTCAGTCGATGAGTTCTAGGTTCCAGTCTAGTCTCGCACCACCTACTTTACAGTCTGGTCAACTGGACAGTTTCGTAAGCCCTTACACACACAGAGAGAGAGAAGTGTGTGGCATGTAGCCTGGCGGCGCCCATGAAAGACCAGTTCCCGGAAACCCAGTCTAATAAATATATATTCTATATTATGACAATTAAACACTGAAAGCTTACTTCCAAAGCAACCATAGCCAAATCATAATCAAATCCCATTTCCTCCATCAAACGCAAAGCTTCAGGATCGCGTACACCCTCCTCAACACCATCAATATTATTACCGTCACCATCAGCTAGATATGACTCTTGAGAATCCATCACCTGTGAAGCATTATCCGTTGAAGACTCTACAGACGAAGCAACTGCTATTTGATTTGCTGCTTGTGACTGACCTGGCCTTTGGCGTAGAGTACGAGGTAGAACGAGTGGATTTGCAGTAAGGCCAGTCGTAGTAGATGTTGGAGATTGCTGAAATAAGTAAACCAAAAAACAAAAACCGAAAAGAAAAAAAACATCCATGTGATATGAATGCCTTTTTAAATGAAAAGTTGTCTAACAATTACAGCATTCTCATGAGTTTGTTTTGTAGAAATTCCACTAGTTCCAAGTTTGATCACAAACTGATTTCAATTAGGGAGCCGTTCAAAAGAAACCAAAGAGTACTGGATGGTTGTTGCGTCCTCATTCGGCTCTTCTCAGCAATATGCTCTACTCATGAACCTACTGGAGGTTGAACCCAGTACCATCAGATCATCAAATGAGGTCGTATATACCACTTCAGTCACTGGGATGAAATCCAATGGCGATGAATTATAACTTCTATCAATCTGGGGATTTACAGTGACCAACAACAACAACAACAGCAAATGAGGGCAACAAGATCGACTGTCGGTGGAGATGTATCACGAATTGACAGCGTTAGAACACATGAGTCATTTAAATCTGGCCAAAATGACTGACTGAATGGTTAACGAGTTTTGGTCTCCTAACACATAAAGGTTCAGTCCCTTCTGGGGTAGTCGGTGCGCGCATTGTTTTCAAATACCAAACTAAGATGAAACAGCTCTGCAGTAAGTACTCCCAGGTCTTCAGTGATCTCCAACCGATGTTGGTTCATGACGAAACCTATATTGAAGTATAAACTGACTGTTAACAACACAATTGTTCAGCCAGAGGTTTACTATTGCTCAGTTCTGGGAGTAACATCCTACAAATGGAAGTATTATGTTTCATTGTGCTCCACTTTGTCTAAGACACGATACTAGTTCATCTGTTTAGGTGTAGGTTTACACACATACAGAATTCCTACTAGTGAATAATAGTAGGAAGATATGCAAAAAGGAAATATTTCAACATATTACGCCATGTAAATTACAGTTTCAATCACTATATACATTAAACAAGTAACATTAAAGGTTACAGTGGCATGACCTGAGATAGACACGACTGAAAACACACAAGTCCACTTACCTGTAAAGATGCATCTGAGATATCCATGGGTAATTCATACCGTTGTCCCCTGTTAGATGGAACATTTGCCTCTGAATCGGTTGTTTCAGATGACCGAATAGGTTGTGTGGAAGACATCTCATCTTCAAGAACACTAGCTAGTGGTTGATTGCCAGACTGGTTACGGTTGTCAGTGTTGTTCGACTAGAGAAACAGAAACAAGAAGAAAAAAAGGTCACTTGAAGCGGCGAAACCAGCAGCAGTTGGAATTCATGAGTCAGTCACTAGATTCCATCCCTTCGTAATCTGAAGGCACAGGATACCTACAGCTAAGGAGAGGAAAACTGGAACGGAACAACTGCTGCTCAGCACTATCCGGCTAATTCTCAACGTTTCTCCAACGGATATAATTGGGTCATCAAACGTGAAACTACTTGAAGCAGGTGTGAGAATTCTAAGCAGCAGCTGGGTTGAGATCTTAGTATTCCGTAGTTTTCCTTATTCACTCTTCAACTGTCTTTTATCTACTTCTGTTCAGTTTATTCATGAGTCGCCTTTATGTTTCGCAACTGCATTAATCCAGTTATAAAAATTGGCAGATATTGTTATAAACACTATGGAACGTTTACTGGACAGCTGAACCGTTTTAATTGACTAGTGAACACTCTCGCCCAAGAGATTCCACAAGCAATCGAGTCTATGATGGTTAGGCTATCAGATGGGCACGCTATAATCCAGTCATTAAAAGATTCGAATCCAAAAGCCTGTGAATTTCGGCCTCCGATATGACGCTGCAATGTTCCACTGATGTCAGACATATAGTACGAAACGCAATCCCAACTTACATTTATTAAATGTAATTGAAAACTGATATGTATCCATGTATATATATATATATATATATATATGGTGGTCTCTCTTTCTGTTGCTCTCTTAGTCTGTGACCATTTCACTTTGATGAACCTGTGTCCTCTAACAAAGTATATTCCCCATTTATTATATATGATATGTGTGTTTGTTTGACATGTTTGTTATATTTGCTAGGTATATATGTGGATCGATATTCCATTATAATTAGCCAATCATGGTAAGACTGTCTATTGATTTGTTCATTTTGAATATTCGCTCACACACTTGTTCGGACATTCATATATATTTTGCTCTCACACACTTGTGTGATATTGATTCTCCTTGTGTTTGGAAAATAGAAGTATCATCGCAAACCTAGTGGTCTTCTGATTTCCGTCTTTCTTGCGTCAGGACTATTAAATTCTCGACCAGTACATAACAATAATTTGGCGACGAGTACATAACAAAAATATTTATCCCAAAGGCTGAAAGTCACCGCGTTAAATCAATGGAGAAGAAGGAAAGCTTATAACAAAAAATTAACATATGTTAATGACGAAAACTTGTGTTTTACGCCCTCTAGAAACAGTTCTCCTATCTGAATGCTAAAAGTAGCCGGTTGTCATAACTATTAAATACTAAATAGCTTATTTTTGACATTAAACCCTGAAACCATTTTCAAACACAAGCTGTTTTCAACACTTTACTTACTACATACAGCTACAATTTACTCAATTTTCATTTCAATTATTTTGTGCCCATAAAAAGAATGCCAAATGACCAGGCAGAGTTTCAACATAAAACTTTGCACAGGAGTGCGCAACAGTTCACCTTACACAGTCCGCTAAGTAGCACACAAAGGTAGATAAACAGAACAGGCACATAAGAACTGTTACATAAGCAGAAATGCAAGGCAGAAGCAATAGTAACATGGTAGATGACGAATACTTGGGTCTCCTAATAATTAGCAATGAGCGACAGCTATCGGTGTAAAGGTTTCCATATTACTACCCCTGGCAGGTGAACCGGCTTCAAACATGTGGCTTTATAGCTGAAAGCCAACTTTATCCTGCTCAGGTCATCTCCATGCCACTTTCGGACTCATATCCTACTACTCCTCGCTTCCCAGTTGACGGTCCGGAGCGTGTTGTCATTCAATAAGTCGTCTTGTCAGCGTATGTTTAACAACATAAATTCACAAAGCATGATGTAATGATTGAATAAGTGTCATTTTTAGAAGAAAAACAAAAGTACCAGTGCAAACTTACATCAGAAGGATGAACAGCACTGGTGGGAGACGATTCAACATCCATGGGAACTTTCTTATCGTTAAATATACACGGTACTACTGTAACCAACATACTGAGTAAATGTTCAACAGCCTTTCGACTGAGTAAATCCTAATTAAAAAAAACAATTTTAAAAATAAGTGATATAACATCAACATCAGCATGTAATGAGATTTACAGAAGCAATCAAGCAAGATTTAACGCCTTGTAAAAAGACTCTATATATTTATTACTTTGATTGAACAAATATCATGTGTTTAGTCCCTGATGTTGCTATCGACTGAATGCCACCACCAGCCATGTGCTGCAGTCTGGCCACCATGCTAGATGGTTCGCAATTACACTGCACTCTGAATGATTGTTAGAGATAGTTGAAAGTAACCGGCAGGATGAGATTTGGACCTAGCTTTCGTGCTTGTTGGCAATCGTCAGCCAGGAGCACCTGTAATCTTGAAGAAAGTCAAGTTCATTCTGAGATTAGAACCTGGGTCACCATCACCAAGTGGTGTAGTCGGGTCACTAATAACCTCCTCTTGTAGGTCTGTAATGGATACTTTGATTGGACATTAGGAAGTAACTGAAGTCATGCGCCAAGCCTCGGTGTCGGTGTAGTCTTCACTTTATTAGTCAAGAATACATATATAAGATGCCAGTACCAGTTCTCCGGAAAATAACTCAAATCGTCAGAACCGTCGGTACGAAAAACAATACTACAGTAATAACAGAATTAACTTTGAAATTGATTGCAAAAGGAACTGTGTGATTTAAATCTCCTAGTAGAGTATCAATGAAAATCAAATAATCCGCTATTTTTGAAAGTTTTCTTAGTGAGAAGATGAGATGTACATTGATTCAACCCATTTTTCCTAGAAATTCATACAACACAGGCAAGATATAATACAAGCATTAAAAAAATAATAAATTACCTGTAGATCTGTACGAGAGCATAACTGTGCAAGTGCCGGTAGCATGCATTGATGAACACGCGTAGTAATCTTCGCCACATTCACATTATTGGCATCAACATCATTTGCTCGTGAAGCGTCTGAATTTAATCCACCACAGAATTTCGAACTACTCATATGATCGGCACAGACAAGCCATTCTTCTAAGACCATCGACAATGGTTCTGCAGTTATATATATAGTGGAACAAAGAAAAGGATTGAGAAAAATATAATTTCCTAGTATTGGTTTCTAAGGGATTTGATTTGGTTTCAAGCTGCTTGATCACGAAATGACACTAGTCAGAGAAACTATTACTAACATTCAAGTGGTACTGAAATGCCGTTTCTTCATAGGTGGCGACTCTTCACCACCACCAGTAAGCATCTAGAACCACCAGGTCGTCACAAGGCGAGTACATCAACTAGTCAGTTACTGGGACAGATTACAATGTCCCATGAATTCTACCTTATGCTCAATCCGTGAGACACTGTCAATAGGAGATATCTGCCCTCACACCCGACTCGTCACTAGAAATCCAGGCAACTAAAACTTATCACAACTCAGTCACACTAGTGAGCATCGAATCGCCTTCAAAGTACTCTTTGCAGGTCATAACAATCGTTTAGTTCCTCCTGAATTTTGATTGCTTCTCTAAATTATGTCACTTCACGATCAAACTTGAAATTTAGATGATTATTTTTTAAAACACGGATAACAAAAATGAAAGGGAATTTTGTGATCAATGAAACACCTAGTAGCATGTTAGTCAATATGTTAGTCATGTAGGCTTTCTAGGATGAGGAGGAAATTGTTCTTATTGAAAACAACTACACAATTTGACTAGTTTAGAAACTTAATTACAAGCCTAGTTAGTCTACACGTCTCGACTTTCAAATAGGTCCAGACATGGTAATAACTGTATATTATGTACCTAGGAGAAATCAAGAAAGGGTTGCCTGTAAGGGGTGTGTGTCACTAAGTCATTCAAAATACAGAGAATTATGAGCGAACTAGAATTTGGACACATATATATTTCAATGCATCGAGTTGCCAAGCAATATGTCAGTTAATTTCAGTCCACATTCACCATGGTTTTTCACTTGTATTAACACGACTGGCTAGATGATGAATGTGTTGAAGCTTTGAACGGGTAAGCCCACTGACATACAAAGCATAAAGCTTAAGTTATCACATGTTTCATCAAATGGTCATATCAAAATTTTTAAAGAAACCAACTAACTTCGAATTGACGGATCATCCAAGTCAAAACTAATCAATTGACGGAATAATCTGTAATAAAAACGTAAAGAAGCGACACTTAACACATAGGTAGTAACAAGACAGGAAATTGAAAGCATTGTAATTTTAAAGGGATACATTACAACCGCCAGGAGACTTGAGTGATCACATTATCCCTCTTAACGTGAATTGCCCAGTGGTAGTGAAAAAGAGAATTTGTCAAATGCTCAATACCATACTTCTGGACACGTATTACTTATCAAGGAAAGTTGAATTCATTGCGATTCAAACTTATGGGAACTCGGGTGAGCCAAGATCTGAAACCAACAACATACAGTATACGAACCTGTTCCGAATACTGTGAAGCATGCGAAGGCATCTATTGACGTAAATCTGATGTGTTACCTGTATGAATTTAAGTCAACGGTTAGTAGAATAATTCCTTCAAACAAATATCTGCTTCAATTTGGGTGCCTAATGTAATTGTGCAACAGAATTCTTAAAACATCAACCGGGCAACGCTACACATCCCTAATTAACTAGCTCAAATCAACTGTCAAAGACTTCATAGATTGATGCCACATTTCACTTTGACTGATTTCAACTATTCCAACCTTATCCTACGTCAGATAACATTAACTGTCGAAGAAGGCGATGGGTCAGCTTGGGAATTACATGCCCTAGCCATCTCTGTTGATTCGCTTCAAATCGGAAACTTCTGTTGAGTGAAGTCGCTAAAATAAGTTGCCAGAATCAATATGTTTCGTATCAAACAGTATTAGACAAACAGTTTAAAGGCATAGATGAAGATCCGATAACAGCTGAACACCTCACTGAACTTTCAAGAGGTAGAGTTAGATGACTATCGACCTATTACCTGAGACTTATCCACGCAAAACCTTTTCCCTTAGTGCCACCGGAGACTAACTAACTTAGTGTTTTCCATGTAGGACTTTGCACAGATGTGCACTAGTTACAGTGGCCACATTCCCTCCATGTACAACACAAACCAACAGAAGAAAGATCATAAACAGAAGTGTGAGGGAAAAACAATAGTAATATAGAAGAAAAATAGAATTATTATTTGATATTATAAAGCATAAATAGCGAATTTATCTGCGCTTGCCGTCGGTGTTTACCGTCCCGAGAACCGCGACCAGGAAGTCTGCACTTCTCAATGTGGCTGGCTTAAACTAACTTTTGTGGATTTCAGTGACTGATTAAGCCATGTTTTGGCTTAACCACCACTAGCTCCTTTCCAACCTGCTCCATCCTATGTCTGCTAACATTGCCCGTCGAGGAATGCGATGATTAGGCCGTACGTAAAACATATCATCCTAACCATCTTAATGGATATAATATCACAACCTCTGCGATCACTTTCCCCTCCTTACTTAAAACTCGACGCCTAACCTCGATATTGCTCACCCTATGATATCACTTCACACGGGAGATAGTACACAGGCACCAATGATCAAAGACAGCTAGCCAGATTTTTCATGTCTTACACTTTCGATGGTCATATTTCACTCACAGCTGTAAAGGAGTACGGAGTGGATTGCTGAGTGGTGCACACATCCTTCGGTCGACAGTCAGCCGGATATCATGTCTAAGCCAGATATGGCGTCAGTTAGCATATGCCAAACGAACCATGTATATATCCAGGGTGAGATTTCGTCACCGATCAACCAGTAGGTGTTGACTGATGCAACTTCCCAAATAAGAGAAGTGGTCAACACTTCACTCCCTATTTCTAAGCATGGAGCCGACGTAGTCCAGTCTAGTAGTATCACCTCACATTCGACAGGAGCGAAATGCATGCTAAGCATTCGAGATAGCTACCACTAGACATTTGACGACGAGAACAAACAATTTTTTACTCTGACATTCAAGCAATAGCAAAATTGGTAATCGATCACTGTATACAGCTAAATATGAATTGAAAGCTTAGACAATACACTGGAAATTATTTAGAAAATCAAGTGCAATTGTCCCACCAACACCCATCAAACTCTCTTACCCCAGTACTTCATGTACATTTGGAGAATCTCTTCAGTCCCCAGGACGCATCATGGATGGACATGAAATAACCTCGATATTTGATCACGTAATATCTGATACTTTATATTACTGCGAGGTATTTTTGGTAGAGTTACAAGTATCATGGACCTCCATGATATGGTAAATACTGACTTTACTGACTTCCAAGAGAACACTAACAATTGGTCTCTCACAAAACAAAGGACCCCTTTTGGCGATACAGGCTATTGCTGTAGTAGAATAAAAGCCCTGATTTACACATATAAGCGAGTATTAACGCTGAAGTTAGTGAAGTGGGGATAACACACCAAAGCTTATTGGTTGTTACAAGTCAAAAGCTCTACAACATTTAACTAACACTTAGAAGTTATGCCTCATGTCTGTTAATCATAATAGACGCAGAAATAACTTACCCAAAATACAAATTTATTCCATTCAGCTTATAGAATGCATTAATCATTCCCAAGTCAGAATCTCTTTGACTAGAATCATGTAACAATAGATTCGTCAACTGAATCGATGCATAACGTATAGCATAATTTAATGATGCGGCTGCCTTATGACTACGACTTGTTGATGCTGGTTCCCAAGTGTATGCATGCGATAGAATATCGGCTACTTCGATTAAAGCAGGCATTCTCATCTCCGGATGGATTGAATCATTTGTAAATAGTGATGTTCGCCGACGTCTATAGTTCACTTGTGGACGATTTGAAAAGAATCTGCCTAAAGCGGTGAATAATTCTGTAACAGAGTTCACAAGAAACGCTGTCACGTGTAATATCCGATTTAGCGGCTTGACGAGGTCTAAAAACGTATATAAGTTTAATAATAAGGTAAGAATACATCCAAATTTGCTAAAAACATTGCGTAATAATGACAAAACATTTGCGTAACTTCAATGATCAAAGAAAAAAAGAATAACCAACCTGGATGTCTGTATATAAAGGCTGACTGATAGTCGGTAGTAGGCAAAACCGACTGTTTGATTAGTGAATACATATGCAAGGCTTCAACAAATCGAGGCATTGGTTCAATGGGTGGTTTGCCTAACATACTAGGATTCGGGTGATGCTGAGATTTATACAGTTGGGATGATTTTGTATCACTTGGCAACAGATCAGATTCATTAATATCTTTATCACCAAAGAGAACTTTCAGAAGAATGGCAGCTTCCCAAGATACTCCTAAATATAAGTGCCTATAAATCATCCAACAAAGAAAAAAAAGAACAGATACTCGCATTACACATGGTATATGAATGTTCTTCAAAACACCTACAGATTACAACTGATATGTGATCCATGGGTAACTGTAGTATAAGTTAGAAGAGGTCAACTGAAATATACTACATACTGTAAAAGATTACTTGAATGCGTAAACAGATGGGGCAAAGAAATGAACCGAATGTTATTGGTTACACATTACAATCCCAGTATCTTTAAATGATGCAAGCCAGGCACTATCTGATGAAACGATATCACTGATAGGATAAATATGACAACCTAGCTTTATACAGTAACAAGCCTAAAACAAAAAAGACATCGCATTAATTCGTAATTCATTCATACACATCACTCTACTCGAACTCATGCAGCAAGACAGGTGAGGGCTTCCGGCGAGTTGTCATCTGAAGTGGTGACGACTAGTGGTGTCCGTCAGGATGCCCATTATCCCCACTTCTATTCAACTTCATCAATAGACGTACTAATGGACTTAACCCTAACTCACTTCAGCGACCCAGGGATTGACTCGCTACCAACAGGGAATGATCTCGCTGATTTAGAATATGCAGATGATATAGTCCTTGTATGTGAAGGTGACATGCAGAGTCTTCTGAACACCTTGAGCTGCAATCTACGAATGTTTGGCATGCGATTCGCTCCCGCCAAATGTAAGATGATGTTACAGGACTGGACTACACTGACTCCCAGTTAAGAAATAGGGAGGGAAGTGGTTGGTGGAGCGCGTTGACCGCTTCCCTTATTTGGGAAGTACCATCAGCCAGTGCCAACGGGTTGATTTCTGACGAGATCTCTGCACGGATACAGGGGGCTAGTTTCGCATATGTCAGTTTAAGTTGTCTCTATGCGATATCCGACTATCGACCATAGGGCAGGTGTACTGCTCATCAGTCCGCTCCGTCCTCCTTTATGGCTAGCTGTGAGACCTGGCCATTGAGAGTGGAAGACATGAAAAGATTAGCTGTCTTCAATCATAGGTGCCTGTGTCCTATCTTTGGTGTGAAGTGGTATAATAAGGTGAGCAATAATGAGGTTAAGTATCGAGTGCTAGGTAGGGAAGGGAATCAATCGACGAGGCTGGGAAATTACATCGACTGAGATGGTCAGCACATGTGTTACGGATGCCTAGTCATCGCCTTCCTCAACAGGCAATGCTAGCTGGAAAAGACAAAAGACTTTTAATGGGTCGATGGTTCAGTAGTAGACTGTTTACCTACCATGCATGTGATCCGGGATTCAATTTCCGGCCCTCGCACTCGTGAACTTCACTAAGTCAGTAATAAACCTGGTAAATAGGGAACGTTGGGTGGGAGACTAGCAACTCCACACCGTAAAAACACCACTGCTACGGAGACTACAAAGCGCCATATGTTTCTTTCCAAACACAAAAGAATGAAATAAATTGCTTTTGAAGATTTCAAAAATGCACTGTTTCGTCCTGGCTCCCGGCTCTTCAGCATTATACACACACACGGTTTCATTAGGAATTGGACTTAGGAGGTCCAAGTGACCTGACAGACTTGTCGAACTTTATGGGTTCATCTCCTGGTCGATAGAACTTTAATCGCTGCCTAGTTTACTAGTTTGCCGGGAAATCCGGAAAAGAGGAACGGTTGAGAGAGACGTTAGCAATTTCACCTCATAAAACCAACATCTGCACTGACAAAATTCAAAGCTTGAAGGTTTATCTTTCTCTCAGAATGCGAAAGAACAGAGAAGAATAAGGAGTGGTGATGGAGAAAGTTCAGAGCTACCGATGGGGAAGGCGGGGGGAGGGGCGACACACGCAGCTTCACATGAATTTCGGAAGAATTCAATGATGGCCAATAGTGACCTTTCAAAATACCTTTTGTTTATAGTTTGTCATTTGTCACTGTTAAACAGCCTAGACCTTTATTTTGTGTAGAGATGAAACATTGTCGAAAACAAAGGGTCTTCATGATAAATCAAATATGATGAATGGTTGTCGGTATTCAGCTGTCAGTTTCAGTAGGAACTTGTGTGTGTGTGTGTGCATATGAGTAGTTTAGTTTTTTTCCTGAGTGGCAGTCACTCAGGTAAACAATAAAAACACTGGTAGGAGATCGATAAATCAATCAATTAATACCAGTCCAGCGTGGTTTATCTTATCGATCAAATTAACTAACTAGTCCATTTAATAACTAGGCTGACATAATCAATTTAACATCAACAGAATATTTTAACAAAGAAAACTTGTTATTAATGATAAAAAATTCATTGCCCAATACGCAAATTATTTAATTGTAGAAATCTTTTAATGTCAATTCAATCATGTCACAATTTCACTCGATTGATGAGTTGAAATCAATTTCTCGTCTAAAAAAATTAGAGCAGAGGAAAGTTATTAAAAGTCAGCTGATTCTGATTTTTTTAAAATTGATTCAAAATGCACTTTTTATTTCAATTCTGAACACTCATCACACAAAACAATGAATCAATATTTACTATAGTTGATGCATACAAGACAGAATTACAACTGATAATAGATAAGTAGCATAGTTCGAAGTTCAAAATCACCCTTTCTTGGATTTCTCGAGTTTCTTTCTAGTTGGGCATAGGGTTTCATACTTGGGCTTTTCAGTGGGAGTTGGACGCTGACAACTCAACCCTTCCACTTTTCCGCGAGGACTCGAGCTAAGCAACTGTGTGTGCGCCGGGGCCACAGCAGCAGGATGTTCGCTAACTACGCCTCATGTGGTCTAGGGTTCGACCCCGTCCACAGACGCACTCCTTTACTTCGCTAAGCCAGTACTAAGATCGGTGAAAAGGCAAAAGTTGGATATGACGCTAGCAACCCCATCCTGCAAAAACAAATACCACCGTAAGCGAAACTTTAAAGCTCTAGATTGAAGCCCTACGTTCTAATGGGATCGCGTAAATGAATAAAAAAACGCACGAGTTAGGATTGCATCGACCGGAATCGAATCAGAACCTCCATTGTGGTCGGCTGGTAAGCAGATTGTGAATCTGACTGAATTCTTGTAAGAGGATGCTTAGATGAGGCGAAATTTTGTCGCGAAATAAAAAGCATACATGACCAGACCATTTCCTACAAGATTCTTTATTTTACTTTGAAGTTTCCGCAGTGACACAGTTTTCATTTAGGAATTGGATATTAGAGGAACAAGACTCACTGAGGCATCAAGTGGAACTGTAATGGGATGAGGCAACGCCTTGAGCATCTAAGGGTGACGTGAAGATCATATGAGGGGGGATATGAAGGCATGTGGACAATCGTGAAGACAGTTGAGTGTGATGATGGTAAGGAACCGATCTCCAATGAAGCCCTACTTTCCACTCGTGAGGTAAGGAGTGGACAACTATAATAGTAATATTTCATCCTTCTTATCATGATAAAGTTTCGAATACAAGAAAAAAGAAAACCTTATAATAATAAAGCAAAGAAATAACCCTTATCTTCAGAAACTTACCCTAATGTGAATAAACAATTCTGTTGTAACCATACAGAAGCTAACGATGTGTGGAACACAGGTTTGATATGTTGTATCATTTGTACGAGAATGCATATTACAGAAGCTAATACCACCAACTCGTGCAGCATTTCGTGTTCCCCAGATAGGTATTCACGTAGAAGTATGGAAGTCATCGGATATTTCGAAGTGTGTAGTGAACACAATTTCTCCATTGACGACTCTAAACACTGATGGACAAAATTTTAAAAACAAAATATTGATGAAATAGTGTGTGAAGTGATATGAGAACAATAAAAAAAGGCATGACAATTGAGCACTACTCGTAGTAATTGCATTAAATGGATGACCTGGGTCCCATAGCTCAGCTGGTATAAAGCACTAAGATTAGTAACTCGAGGTCAACATAGTTTGATTTGTGCAGCGACTCAGTCTATCGTTTTTACCCTGAATCATCACTCCCATTATGTCGATAACTGACTGCTAATTCTAGACATCAGTCTCACAAAATTTCACTATCGAATATGCATTTACAAAAATCTCAGTCAGCCAATGACGCCTGACAAGAACCTGCAGTTCCATCTCATTGGAAATGAGAGTTGGTTGTACTACCTCGGTGTGTCTAGAACAAGGTTCAAAAATCCATGAAGCACATGTTGATTGGAGGTCGAGTTATTTTCTTTTCACCATAAATCTAAGTCTATTCTTCAAAACAAAATGATGATTTGTCAAATTAAGCAATAAAGAAAATACCTCACCATCTCAAAGATAAACTCTGAGAATTGATGGTTTAATGGCCATAGAAGGAAATGTCTACTTCAAACTAATTTGTTCGAAATCTATCACACAAAGGTAATGTAGTCAAAAGATGCTTCAAGTGTTGTGAATTGTAATACTATTACACCTTTATTTAATTAAATTTTAAATCTTCCCAACGATTCATGGAACTGAAGTACTCGGTTTCAGGTTGACATGTCTGTCGGCTTCTTGTGCAGATGCCTCGATGATGTATAGGCATGTAATTAGAAGTTAATTGATGGATGGTCATTAGCAGATGATGGATCCCAAATACGACGAAATGCACATCCTGAATTTCACTGCTAGTTAGCAATTTGTTATAAGTGAACTGAATAAGCGGTCGCTACTTTGTTATGCCTGCGCCTGCTAATTACTGTAACGGTAAAAAAAACTCGACTGATACGCTAATACGTCTGTTTGTCCCGTAGTGCCTTTTGATTTACTGAGTCACGCAAATATCAAAAGAGCAAGGCTTGACTGTGGCTGTGAGATACCGTATGTACTGCACTATATCGTTTAAGAAACATACATTATCTTAACCATAGTAAAGTCGGCTCACTACCGTGAGAATGTCTTGTTCTTATTGGTTGGTGATTAGACAAAGATCCAGGTGAAACGAAAGAAGATGAATTGGTCACACGCTAAATCATAAAATGCATGAGAAATGATACATTGACATAGTAACGCATCATATGACAAATCCCACGATTCGTGAGAGCGGATGACATACTATTTTGTGCTGGGTTATATATCAAATACACAATAATTTGATGTTAGACTTTGGAGCACAGTCAAATAGCAATCAATGTCTTTTGAACTTACACATCCTGTGTCTCTTGAGTCCTATGAACAGAATATTGAGAAAACGTATACCTTAACCACCCACCCACCCACCCCAAACGTTCGAATCTGCATCATTAACTCAGAATGTATTCACTACTAATGTATCTATGGTTAACTTGCCCACTATATATATCATTGACGTTGGTTAGTTAACTAGCTGGAATTTATATTCGACAATGAGTTACACTTGCTATAACACTGGTTGCTAACTGTTAAGGCGAGATTCGGTCCTTAGACTAATTGACCGTAGGCTGGATGCTCAAGGCGATAATAAGCCACTAACTTCTCTCCAACTTAATAGGATAAGTTAGCCTACAAAAGGATTTTGATAATCATAATAGCTTTATTCCAAAACAGTACTTGCGATACAGGATGGAATTCCCAGCATTTTACTACAGTATTGCATCCAGTTAGTAAATTAACAATAAAATAAAATTTTACATAGATTAAGGTTTATCTCAGTTCGTTTTGACAACATATTAGCATGTCGGTAGCAAAGACCAAATTAAACAGAGTATTAGGTGTTGGAAAAGTAGGTTTTAGCATATTTACTGGCGTAAACAGAAAGAAAGAAAGAAACAAAGCTGCACACAACAGAAATTAGAGGGAGAAAAGGAAAAGAAAGAAAGATAAACGTTTTACCTATAAATGATATGAGTTGGAAAGACGAGATCCACTTGTTCTACTCACTATTTAAAAAGTTATAGGTATCACTCCTAATGCTTTCTTTATGTCACAGAACACCACCTAAGTAGGGCATGGTTGAGTTTTGTACAGGCTAGTGCGAGCATTTAGTTTCCTATATAGGCTTCTGGTTTTCCCTGAAGAGATACAAGGGGAGAGTTGTGAATGAAGAGGGTGTTGTGAGTCAGATAAAATGGATTTCGACCATTTTTTCACATGAGTCCATGTGCCTGTCCACCAGAATATTAACAAGATGGCAAAGTGGAACGTTGCTCACCCTGCTGACGACCTTTAATATCCTACGAAATAAGGTATAGTCTTTCTTCAATAGCCCTGGAAAAACTAAGGGGGAACAATAGAGAATAATAGGCAGAATACGGGAGTAACAAATTGTAGGAGTAAGGGTTGGGTTACAGCAGAATGTCTTAACCTCTTGATCTAGAAGGTAAGACGGAATATTTTCTTAGAAATCGTCAAGATATGAGACGACCAGGAAAGATCAGAAGATAGAGTGACGCCTAGGTATTTAATTTCCGACTTGGTTTCTATTTCACTGCCATCTATGTTGCACACCTCGTGAGTGCTAACTAGTTTGTTTAGGTCAGATTTGTGCCTAAAGGTGAAATTAACTGTTTGGTTTCAGTTAAGACCGTTTTCCTTGAACCATTGGCTGACTTCTGATAAAAAGCCGTTTTGGTTTAGCGCAGTAACTATGGCATTTGACAGGCAAAGATACAGTCAGGTCATCAGCATATTTGACAAAATTAATGTCATCTGAAGATGATAGGTCATGTAGAAAGAAAGAAAAGAGAAGTGGGGAAAGTACAGAAACTTGGGGGACACAAGCTTCAGTGAGCACAGCAGAGGAGAATTTACCTTTCTATACGGTATACTGCATTCTGTTTGAGAAATAGGAATGCAGCCAGTTTGTGACCCAGGACTCAGTTTGTGTCATAGAGAGCTTATTTGGCAAGAGACATCTAGGTACAGAGTCGAAAGCAGAAGTGAAGTCGAGGGTTAATTAAGAAGGATGAAGTGAAATAATATCAGAATTTCTTTTTGTGAAAACAAAACTGTAGACTTACTTCAAATAACGGTTTTGTCACCTCATTTACATCTACAGAATTTGCAAGATCTTCAAAAATCTTACACAACGAGACACAAGTTGCAGAAACTGGAAAATCGTACGGTAGGCCAGGCATACGCAGCAGATCACAGAGGACTTGTAGGCCACCTTGACTAACAAACTGTGGACACATTGTCTGAGTAGTGTGTGATACAAATACTAACGGCTTCTCAAGAAATTTACACTAAAATTAAAATAAGAATAATAAATTCTTTATGAAGCATACAACGCGCAGACCACATTTGAATATATACACAGAGGCTAAATAGTATGCTAGCAAATGAATAAAGACAGTGATGATTTACATGACTACATGAGATTTCCAATACTAGTAGTGGAACAACAGAACACAAGGGCAAGACAGACAACAGATCGTTTATACTAAGGAAATCAACACATATTTATAAATGTTCATGTACATTATTATAGATTATTGTTAGCAGATAAACACACAGTTTTCATATTGGTTGTTTCTCAGTGAAAGTTAATCTTTCATCTCTCTTTGTGGGTGTTTGTTGAATGTCGGATCATCCATATGCTAACTCTATCCGCCTACGCACAGTCTTTATTCTTATTTTTCCCAAGACCAATAAGAATGGGACATAAAAATTGACGTAAATTAATGCCTACCAATTTGGCTAGCAGACATCTTTCACAATAGTAGTATAGAGTGTGGTAGAATCTGATTTTTCAAGTGTTGGTTAGTAGGGATTTAGTTGGTTTCAGGATTTCATCATGAGCTGATATTAGTTAGAGAACCATTGGAAAACCAGCTGGGAGTACTGGACAGCTGTTTCGTCCTAGTTTGGAACTCTCAAGCAGTACGCACCCACCAACAATGTTCGAACCCAGGACCTTCCGGTTACAAGGCGAGTTCGTATACCATTAAAAGCCACTGGGACCCGATCCAATGGTCCTTAATATCTAACTTCTGCCAATTCACGACATAGGACGACCGCTAGCCAATGTCTTCGGAGAGTATTTGTCCTCACACTCGACCCACTGCACCCTACTGGTCACGACTTCGAATCCCGGTGGGTGCGTACTGCTGAAGAGTATTAAACTAGGACGAAACAGCTGTCCAGTACTCCCAGGTTTTCCAATAATTCTCTAACTACTGTCAGCTCATGATGAAATCCTGAAATCTGATTTTTCTTGTGACTCACACAAAGAATAGCAAATGTCAGTGGATTTTTATTATTTAGTTATTTATACCTAATACGTAAAGGTATCTACTCTACAGTTTCAGCTAGCAGAGGAATATATATATATATTAAATAGGAGTTCTGGCGATTTTTCAAAAACGACATGAACACCTAGCATGAATATGACTGACTTTACTGCACGACAGAGAAACTATTTTGATATTGTGTTTATTCCCGAAGAGAAACAATCATCACCACAACATGAAAATCAGTTTGTCTGATGATAACTGAGTACATTTCTAAGTAAGAGAAATATTGAATTTATGTGGATTTCATACATAAAGTGAAGGCTAAGGAGAAAAAATAACATGTGCTAATTACTGTGGACTACGGCGCCTTCAACTTTTAGTTTACTTGTAAGTTATGTGAAGAATAATGGCTCGTTGGTTCATGCATTCAACTGTAAGCTAGCTAGTTGGTAGCAATGCCTGAACTCCACACAGTACACACCAACTTCTGGATAGTTAAATAGCATCGCTGATCTGCACAACGCAGAAGCTCGAATACATGAGGACACTGGATTCCATTTCAGTGGCTGAATGGCCAACTGCTTCTACTTGGCTCGTAACCATCTCAAGGTGATGGGGGTTCAATCGATAATACAGTTAAAGGTGTTAGTTTTTGAAGAGTCGCGAACTGGCGACGGAGGACAATGTTGGTTGTCAAAGATCAGGTTGGAAAAGAGCTATCCTAATTGGGCGGAGGGGGGTGGCTGGAGACATTTGGTGATATGGCTTAAAACGGTTGTTTTCAATGGCTAGGGCAGATGCATTCACTCTTAACGATTTATAATATCCAATAAAATTCTACTGTTCTTCCACACATTACTATTATTTTGCCTCATAATCCTATTTATCTCCCTCTCTCTCTCTTTGGATTCTCCTTTCTACTTTCCTCTCTTGCTTTGTGTGCTACATGGAGTGTGACAACACAAATTGATTCATATCTTGAAACCCAAACTAGGACCATCAACTAGACAAGCCATCGCTCGAGTAGGACCCGAAAGGGAAGCGGCGAGTTGGTCGTCAGTGTTAGGGTGACTTGAAGGAGGTCATGTGAAGAGAAGATGAAAGCATGTGGGCACACTTGGAGCTGAGTGAAAAAGTTGGCAGAAAACCGAAGGCAACGGAGACGCGTGGCTGAAGCCCTATGTTTCTCTAGGAATTAAAGGATATAATAAATAATAATAATAACTCACCATATTTAGCATAAAGTCGGATAAAAACATGTTAGGTGGTGATACAGGGAGATGTTCGGTACGATTTTTGTTCGAGCTGTCTTCTGTGACTGACATTCGTCTACAATCAACAGATGTTTCTAAAGTAACCATGGGTATCATCACTGTGTCGGAGGCAGTATTTCCGGCTTGTACATTAGCCGAACGGGTATTCGTTTGCCTATCTTGATTAACATCACTATCACTGTTGTAGTCATCGTCATCATCATCATCGTCATCTTCACCGCCGGATAGCATAACTGCATCCTCTTCAGCGACAGCAAGAGAACGTCGGACACCACTACTACTCAAACTTAAGGTAGCATCTGTGCTAGGCTGACTAGTACTCGCTGAAGACCTCTGTACCACCTGTACCGAAGAATGTGATGGTTCATCACTGGCATCAGTTGTTGACATAGGCCAACTGGAACTATCACCACTTCGTGTGGAATCTGACATTATGCTTGAATGACTAGGAAAATATGACATATTTTCGGATATTAATTTTGCTGGTGTTTGGCCAAGATTCACAACATGACGTAGACACTAAAAAGAAAACAAAGCAAATAAATAAAATGGGATTCACAATCATCAAATGAAATTTTATTCAATAACAGCTGTGTATAAATTCGTTATGAGTTTTTCACCCATACACACGTGAAACAAACAAACAAACAAACGTTATTATTCAGTGGAAATATGAATAGCCCAAGGGAAGTGACAGTAACCCTGTGATGACAAACTCTGATCACCTTAAGAAAAAGCATCCAAAATATGACCAGCTGGAGAGTACTATGATATTTCTTTGGATTCCACCAAAATGGGATTTATAGTTTCAGCGACACATCTTGAATTCACTCTGTTCATCACAGCACAGTCGCTTTTAGCGGGGGATCTACGATACCCTACAGCAAGCTTTGCTTAATCATTCGTAAACCCACATTCCAAATCGCCATTTCCTACACACTTTGCCTTCTTTGGTGTATGTGAGTGAATTCACTCAATGTTCTCTCTTCAGAGTATGCCCGGTCTACCTCCATTTCCTCCTATAAATTAGTTAGGCAATAAGTTTTTGCTCCGTTGGTTGGTTGGTTGCCAGAATTCTTTGTTACCTATCCTTTTAGACCACTTGAGCATCATCAGGGTAGAGCGGAATGAGTTATTGATGAGAATCTGTAGCTAGCTGTTGTTAGTGCTTTCGTGATGTTGGGCACGTCACACATCCCTGAAGCACAGAGGAGTAATAATAACTTCACATAAATAATGTTCAATCATATTGTTTAGATTGTGCGTCGGTGGCACAGTGGTTAGGACTCTCGCCGACCATGCACATGGTCCGGGGTTCGAGCCCACACCGGCGCACACCTGATATCTATGGTCGGCCTGCAAAATTTGGGCTACCGATATCCATGCTGAAAATTCCATACTTGTACCAAAAATACAGTGTGGAATCAAGCTGTAAATCAAAAATAAAAAATCAAATCCCTCAAAATCACAGGTACTCCTTGCTGACGAGTGTCGATAAGTACGAAATCTATACCAAAGGGTTTCTGCCGATTGCTTCCAACCGTCTAATAACAGTTTATCATTTAGTTTGCAAGGTCGTTGAAACTGTTTATGTTTTTCTTGATGTATTGAAAGCCTTTTCATACTCGATAAAGTCGAGGTAGAGTTGACTGCCACATTCTATACTCTGGTCTATGATGGTTGGTGTGCAGTGTTGCAAATTGATCCGCAGACAATTTGATTCCCTTGAATCTAGCTTGTCCTTGGAGGCGTTTCGCCTCCAACAGAATCGGTTCACCTCATAAACTCACAGACAATTATGAAACGAATATATAAAGGGTCAGATAGATTACTTGTTAGAAAAGTTAATTCAAGTTTATGCACACATATTATAACTATCCACCTACAGAAATTGCATATTTAGAAACAACCGGTTTCAATTCTGAATGTGATCGTAGTAATTCGTGAACAGCATTACTCATTTGACCAGCTGTCAAATTATTTGCTAAATTCTGTCCAACACTGCAACGCATATCCAATGGTATTTGTGACATAAAGTCACGAACACGTCTAGTTTTCATTGTTGATAAATATTCTGGTGAAACTAAAGTGTTCAGATAACGACCAATTACACCACTGGAGAGAATTGCTTCAATACCCCGAGAATTCAACGCCAAAGTATTTAATAAAGCTGGTAATTGTACAAGGAAATCACGATTTTGGGGCAACGGTTGTTCTGTTAGAGCTTTCAAAATATCTGTTGTAATATTTTTATCCTAGAGGTTGAAAGGAAGAAAGCATTTAGGTATATCTGTATCAATAACAAATGACTAGAGCAAGCACTTTTTTTAATGATACCATCATCAGACAGACACAGGCGTACAGTTGAAATCTCGAAAATTTACTTTTTTAGAACCAGTGACAGTTATGGATAGCAACCTATTCATCAATAGGTGGATTACGAGACAAAAAAACAATCTAGTCACCAAATTATACTCACTCAGAGTGACGTATCTTATTAGGCATAAAAAATTCAGGTACGAGTTAAATTTCTTTTGCGCCAAGTAGATTTTATAAATAAGAATACGATGTGCATGACCTTATAACAAAATGTGCGATCTTATGAACACAGCCTGGCACTGCCGATCATGGGAGCACTTCCGTATTCTTATCGAAATGCTCTCTCATGAAGCCAAGCCTCTAACACGTAAGTCCTACTCACTGCCTTCACAAAACGGGGGTTCCCCACGGAAAGTGAAATGGTAAGTCTAAACGTCTGGCACCTACAACCAGACTGGTGGACAGGCAGGTCTGACTATAGGAGCTACATAACTCTGATTTCAAACACATGGTGTACATAGGCTCCAGAATCTGAACAGATCGAATGGTGTATGAGCTGGCTTGGGACACAGGAAACTACGAGAACGTAGTTCTACTGCCGTGTACATCAGTCAAAGCCTTGGAAAACGGCTTCTTAAGACAATCAACTGCTTCAGTCTGGATACAGGAGCAGTACATCCTACCCTTCGTATAAACCACACTGTCATTCTATGAAACTTGATAATCTCAAATCAACGTTGTTTAACTTAAGATTTCAAAAGCACATGTGAATACCTTTTTTTTAAAAAAAAACCATTCGTCTAGACCACTTATCATGACTGTGCCCTCTGTTCTCTCTAACACGTAATGCATGGAATTCCCAATTGATGGGTAGATGGGTTATTATTTTTTAGTTTTAATGAAGTAGTATTTAACTACCACATACATAAATACATACACACACACACAGACATCGAGAAATAGCTTATTATCCTCTCCCCCCCCATTTGAGTAGAACACATGATGCTTTATTTAGACATCTACTAGTACACAAAAAGTGCACATGTCCCACATGAACATACATATAATACACACACGCACCGGTTTCGTATTAATCAACCGTTAGTATGTAGGACACAACAATAACAAAGACGATGCGCTATTTATCTACACAATGTAATTATACAATATCACACAAATCATGTGACGATATAAGAACTCAAATACTACCACCACTACTCATCATATCTATGTTTTAGGTAGGTATGAGAAGAGCAATAGACAAGAAATAGAACATATACAGAGAGTGAGAGGTTTAGCGAGTCACATGTGTAATGTGAATGTATTAATTAGATCAATAGCTAAAGCATGAAACAAACAAAAGTAGCGAACCTTTTAGGTCTCCTGAGTTGCTGTTATTCCTCTCTTATTCCATCACACTACACTTTACGATCTACCTATCCCCACCCAATACATATATATATATATATATATATATAATATATATATCATCATTATTACTATTAAACTAGAAGGCCAACATGCTGAAAAAGTACCAGTATGTGTCTATATTTGTGAAAGGATTACTTAAGCTCAAAATGGAAATATTCAGAATGATATCGTATTCGACATAATCGATAATGATGCAAAGAAACTTCTGGCTTTTTAAATGTAGTGCTGATAGTAATAATAATAATAATAATTACTGTTGTGATGAATGCCACGAGTTCGTTCATTTCTTTTGGTTAACCATGACCGCATTCTCTTTATGTTGCATTCCCTTGCACTGTGAGTGGAACGAAGACTTCAGATTTCGTTAACGGTGATGGGTATTTTCCCAACGCGATGGAGTTGCTAGTCACATACCACCCGACCTTCCCGTCCTCTTCACCACGCTTACTGTCAGTTAGATGGGTGGTTTAGAGGCTGTGTCGACTTGACACCAAACCCGGGGCACATGGGGGTCTAAAGGCCACATTAAAGACCGCGCGCCATTTATTTATTATAAGTTTATCATGATATATAGTTGAATCTAGAAGCATCAAAAAGCATGCGTTTCTAATTGTCAAGATAAATCTTTGCATTATTCAATGATATTACTGGCACTTTAGTGTGTCAGTTCTACTCTTGCCTTATGAAGGCTAATCAATAAATAAATCAGCTGTACACAATAATTAGTCTGAATTCAAGGAAAAAAGTACTCAAGAAAGATAAAGTACTTTTAGCTCAACACAATAATAACTGAGCTATAAACACACATGACAAATATGCATAATGAAATGCAAACTTATCTATTGATTTTTAACTACGGAAGTGCTCATAAAGTAGCCAGTTAGCCTAATATCATCTATCCCAGTATATCAGAAACAAGCTGAAAGGATTACTGATATTTATATATACAAATGATAATTGATTATGTACATCACATGTTTTCAGTTATCCAATGTAAAATACGGAAGAAGTTTGCACAGAAGTGTGCATTTAGCTTAAATTAAGATGTTGTCAGTACTACTTATGAACACTTTTTTCAGAACTATCCGTCAAAAAGACAAATCTCATAAATAATTGATTGTAGAAACTAAGGTTAACAGACCTATGAAATAAACTACATAAGGAGCACAAACGTGTTTTAGCACGGGCAAGTCTGTCTCTGTATGTCTGGATTCAACATAGAACATGGCACCGAAGTGCAGCAGTTCCAGTTGCCACGTTCCAAATAGCACGCAGAGGTAGACAAGATAAGTGAAGAGAATCAATACAGTCTGACAAGTATAAGAGTCAAACAGAATGGGTAATGGTAGACAGGAATATGAAAGATTACAGAGACTGAATACATCTGCGCTGGCCATTGACAACGATTTTGAGCCAATCCAAACAGAACGAATAGCACATGAACCTGTTTTGGTCACCGGTAACCATGGAAAACGCTGCTTCACCCCCTTGTCAATCAGACTTCAAGTTGAAGGTTCGGTGTGGGGCCTCTTGAGACAACCACCAGCTTTGACCTGGGAGTCTAGGTAGTAGTATCCCAACGCACGCACAGACTATGAGATTTTGTCTGGCGATTCTCTTGGCACCCATTATGTACCAAGCTTGTCTTAAAATAACCACCAACTGCCAACACTGTGTGCTGTTGACAAAAATGCACTGTAAGAAACCGAAAAGTCCCTTGGTGGCAATAAACTAGTCAATATCACCAACTGTTCATTACAAGTGATTAGGCTTCGAATCAGGACATTTATACCACAAGCATTTTTTTAAGAAAAAATGGCAGTGTCGTTTTCCTTTCTTGTTTTCTACAAACTACTACTTCCTCAAGCGTATCAGAGACCTGCTGGTTAGGAGAAAGGTTAGACCGAAATATTTTACTCCCGTTTCCCTGGAAAACGGGCATGCCTTCATGGAGCACTGAAAAAATGAAAATAAAGATCAACAAAATAGTATTTGACTAGACCCATTGGAAAGGAACAAATAGTCATAGTAATAATCTTAAAATATGCAATAAACGATTCGTTAAGTTCAAACTCTGAACAAATAGTAGTAACTAACTGCAAAAACAGCTTTATTTACCTGCATAGCTGATATGCGCGACGGGTAGGTGTACAAATAGTTAGTAATTGTTTCCATGGCAAAAAGTGATAGATGTGGAGTAAAATGACTGGAACCATTAAGGAAAATCTGACGTAAAACATTGGGAAGGTTATCATCCATAACTGAGTGCAACACTTCGCCCCATTCTGAATCCAAGCAAAGACGTTTAAGCAGATTGAGTATAGATTTCATGAGCCCAGAACGCTGTGTATTCAAAGGTTGTTCACCATCAGAGTGATCCGATTTCTAATGGATAAACATTGTTTAGTATAACAAAAATCGATATGGAAAGATTTAGAAAAGAAATGGATTAAGCTAAATCTAATGTGTTTAAGTGACAACTATGACTACTAACTTTATTTATTATTTCCTTTAATTCCTAGAGGAACATAGGGCTTCAGCCACGCGTCTCCGTTGCCTTCGGTTTTCTGCCAACTTTTTCACTCAGCTCCAAGCGTGCCCACATGCTTTCATCTTCTCTTCACATGACCTCCTTCAAGTCACCTTAACACTGACGACCAACTAGCCGCTTCCCTTTCGCGTTCCACTCAAGGGCTTGTCTAGTGATGTCAGAGTATGGCCAATCCATCTCCATTTCTTCCTGCCTATTTGTTGCACAATCGGTTCCTGCTGTTTTGGTTCGAGCATTGCCAGAGATCCCTGTTGCTGATCTTTTCTGACCGGCCATCTGATCTTGAGTATTGAGTGAAGACAGCTATTAATGAAGGTCTGTAATTTGTTTGAGGTGTTCTTAATGACACGCCAAGTCTCTGATCTATATAGTAAGTATCACTGACTTCAGATTGGAGTTGAAAATCCGGATCTTATTTTCATTTTCATGCTGAGTGCTGTCGACATCCACACAGACTTAAGAGTAATGAAAGCTTGTCTTGGTTTTCCCATCCCTGCTTTGATATCCTCGTCAGTTCCGCCTGTACTTCAAACGATGCTTCTCATGTAGGTAAAGGAGGTTGTTTCTTTCAGGTTCGTTCCATTTATACTGATTGTTGTCTGTTGTTGCCACTGTCGCTGCTGGCCAGGAATCTTCATCACCTCTGTTTTATCTATGTGTACCTGGATTCCTATATTTGATGCTTCTTCTGCCAACTTGTTGCTTTTCACTTGCATATCTTCCAGTTTGTGGGAAATCAGACATATATCATCGGCGAAGTCTAGATCCTCCAAGTTTTTTGTGTGGGTCCATTTTATGTCTGTTTCCTCATCGCCTGTTGTCTGTCACATTATCCAATTTACTGCAATCAGGAAATCATTGGTGATAGTAGACAGCCTTGTCTCACTCCCGTCCTCACTTCGATGGATTCCGTAAGTTTCCCGTTGTGGATTACTTGGCATGCATCATTGTCGTATAACTGTTGGATGGGATGTATAATTGTCGATGGGACCCCGTAGTAGCGAAGTAGTTGCCAAATCACCTCTCGATCGACGCTGCGCTATCGAAGGCCTTTTCAAAGTCGAAGAAGTTGAGATAGAGAGGTGACTGCCATTCCAAGCTTTGTTCAATGACGATCCGTAGTGTGACGCTTTGATCAATACATGACTAGTTTCTCCTGAATCCAGCTTGTTCCAGTCGAAGTTTTTCATCCAGGGCTTGTTTGATTCTCTCCAGGATGATGCGGCTTAATATTTTCCTTGGAATGGACAGGAGCATAATTCCGCGCCAGTTTTTACATTGACTTAAATCTCCTTTCTCTGGCAGTTTGAATAAGTAGCCTTTCTGCCAATCCTCGAGTACTTTGCCCTCTTCCCACACCTTCTCCAGTAGTGGTGTCATCAAGTCCGCTGTTGTCTCTGGGTCCATTTTCAATGCTTCTGTTGGAATTCCATCTTGTCCTGCTGCTTTTCCGGTTTTTAGCATCTCGATTGCATTCAAAACCTCTGATTTCGTCGGAGGGTCGATGTTCACTGGTAGTTCTGCTTCCGTTGTTGGTATTGCTGGGCGCGTTGTAGGTGGTGGTCGATTTAGAAGTCTTTTGAAGTGTTCAGCCCAGTATTTCCTTTGTTCCACCTCTTTGGTGATTGACTTTCCATTGTCATCCTTTACTGGCTTAATCTGTGTCGAACTTTTGCCCGATAGGTGCCTAGTTGTTTGGTAGAGTGTGGCGAGGTCTCCTTTGCCTGCGGCTTGTTCTGCTTCACTTGACATGGCTTCATAATATTTTCTGAGCCAACGTCTGCTCCTCTTCTTACTTTTGTGTCCAGTAGGCTGCGCCTCCACTTCCTTCAGATTGAGATGAAGTCAATTTGGTTTTTGGTTCGCCCATCTGGTTACATCCATGTTATTATATGGCAATATAAAAAATGACTGATCGCATTTTAACAGAACACTTAGCATAAAATTGTAGCACTTCAAGTTATCACACTCCATGTAGCACACAATGGTAGGAAAAAGAAGTCAAATTCAAGAGAACTTTACTCAGCAGAAATGTATGGTAAAAAGAACAATAAGATGGAAGAAGATGGGGGTTTAGTGGACATGGGAAATGGATACAAGATTGATACATCTGCACTTTTGAGAAATTTGAGACATACCAGTAAAAGTCTCAGGTCACTGAGGATCCCCACCAGGCAATCTACGCCTCCCTATGAGCTTGGCCCAAACCAATACTCAGAGACTTAATGGAGTGTAGTCGCCTGACAATACCCAACATTTTTCAGCCCAATCCAATGTCAGACAACACTGATCGATGGTAAAAGTGGCAGCCTAACATGTGTCTTAATCGATGCGGCGTTACATCCTGATCGACCGAATTCCCTTCAATATTTTTCATAATGCAGAATCCCTCACTAATCACACAGAGACTCACGCTAAATGAATGGATGGAATCCGACTCCTTACATTATAAATACAAAACAATTGAGGAACTATGTGGTAGTGGGATGCTTCAGATGAGAAGCATCTCATTGCTCTTCGACCATCATTATAACATAAATTTGATAATATACTTACACGACCATAGTGAAATGCTTTATTGACCAACTCAACAAGTATATTACTATCGACATCTATGTCAAACCTTAACTCATTTCACCACTTTTTTAAATGTCAAGATTTGATTTAAATGCACAAACTAGTAGTCATAGTTCGAGAGTTACTTACATTCAAAACGAATATTATCGTAAACACACACATATTCACGGATATGCCCAAAGATTATTTAGGTATGGCATTTTTAAAATAGAAATAGCTTTAAAATAACTTACATCTGCAGACGTTGATGTTGATGCACCTTGAAGAACAACTCCCACTTCATAACTCAGTCTGTCAACCAAAATACCAACAACATGTTGACGACTTGAAGAAATACTCATCAAGATTTGATCAGTCACACGGACAGCTCTGGTGACATAGCTTAAATAATCATTATGCGGGAATGCCAGGAAATAAGCTGCATCATTGTGTCCAAAACACCACTAGAGCTAAGAGGTGCATTCTGTGTATTTCCTAAATTTCGAATGACAATAATTACATTTGAAATAGATGCATTTACCTGGACCCGAGTTCTCTTCATAACAAGCTAAATGATATAAGAAAGACAGTAAAGCAGTTGTGAAATGCTGATTTGTACTTCCAGCAGGAGCTTTAATAGTACCATCTACAAGTCCTTGGACCCACTTTCTAGTCAGATTAGGTAAAATACCATGATAACTGGATAATCCAGTGGATCCAACCAACGAACCCCAACTGGAAATGAAAAGAACAACGGAAATAACTAGTTAATAGGATAATTAAGAATTTAAGACTGTGTTGACCCTAGAGCTTGGACACATCAAAGTGCTACCACCATTGGTTACGACTTCTGCCACTTCATCCCTTTGAGACTTTTGCCTTCCTTTTTAAAACCCTTCATCAGATATGAGACGTAAAAAGCTTTACTCAATGAATTAATCAGTGCGGTTTCACGTTGGTCCGACTAATTACTTCTGAAAATGTTCTCGCTTATCTTTCCTACTCACCCACATTTCCTATTTTCGACGTATATTTCAATACTGACACTTTGTTGTCGCTCCAGTTTCCCTCTGCTAACATTATTACACTTACATGTTGGTACAAAAAGTTGCAATTTGTAGCAATTCACAAATACGCTAGATCTTGTACTTATAGTTAAGACTTCGTAATCTACATTACCGCTAAGTGCACGACTGTTAGCTGTTGCTATTCATTTGAACTCTCATGTGGGTTGCCTAAATCTTCACTGATATTTAGTCATTCTATTCAACCCAAAACTTTATTACAGTTGAACTGTTTCCATCTGGCAAGTTGCTACAGTTAGCGGATAACGAATGATGATGGCGAATCAAGACTATGAAAAATCTTTTTCAATGTTTAGAAGTATGAACATTTTTTACAACTAACTTGCTAGTTCAACTTACTTTATGCCCCATCGATGAGAATTAACTATAGCAGTCAATGTTCGGAGAGCACACGCTTTGATACCCAAATACTGACCATCTGGTAAGCCAAGTACTTCAACAAGTTCATCTAACAGGCTAGGATACAAATAACGTTCGTCGACTTCGAAAGTATACGCTTTTAAAACAAAACAAAACAAAAAAGGGATGAAATCCAGTCCAAGTAACTGAAACATAGTGTTAAAATCTGCTAGAACACAGTTCAAACTCAAAAACAAAGGAGACCAACACACAGAAAAGCTTATAGCCTCAGCTGCATGCAGTTACTGCGTCATGAGTTCAGCACCTATCTACAATATTGCATCTAATTTCATCGTACATTAAAAAGGAGTATTACAAAAAGATATATATAAAAAAACATGGCAAAAATAAACCAAAAGACGAAACTCAGAAATAACAAAGAAAAAAACAAAAGAAAAGAAAAAAAGCAAATGAAAAATACCAAGTAGAAAGGAAGATAAACACTAATATTGAAAAAAATATTTCAGTACTGGGTAATGGAAGCTATGATATGTTTATGCGTGGTGAACAGTAACAGCTATGATCAAACAAGAAATTATGAGATGTTCTTAAGAATGTTTATAGCCAAGATGATCAGTTAATTTGATTGAACAACACTAAACAATCATAAAATAAACACTTCAGGTTGTTTTTTTATTGTCAGCACTAATGCAGTGTTAGTAGTGGTAGTGTGAGTAATCATGCATAATACAAATTTTTTAAGATGGTGATAGTGGCGTTCACAAACAAGATTGCCAGTTAAATAGTGCCGAACAAAGAACAACCACAAAACTAATATTACATGATGGTTAATGACAGGACAATTTTTTTAATAATCATAGTGATAATATAGTCGGACCCGGTAGATATACAAAAGAAGGAATAGAGTAAAGTACAAAAAAAGTAAGCCAACGATAATTAATTTTAAGCAGCTAAGTATGTTTAAGAAGGTTGTTCACTATAGAGTACAAATAATAGAGTATAAGGGGGAAATAACAAGGGCCAAAATTATGTTATTAACAACAAAGCATCATAGGTTTCACGCTTAACGTTGTCTCTGTCACTTAGAACACGGGCCAAATATGGTACCGTTGAGTTCCTATACTTGGTTGTACGAGCATATATTATTTTGTACTGATTTCTGGTTCTACCTGATGAGATACAAGGAGAGAGTTGGGAATAGAGGGGGTGTTGGGGGTCAGAGAGTACGGTTTTAGACCATTTTTCGCATGTATTCAGATGCCTTTCTACTAATGTAGTGACGAGCTGACTGAGTTTGCACCACTAGTCTACTAACTACCTTCAACATCCTTCTCAGGATGGTATAGTCCTTTTTCAGTAACCCAGGAAAGACTAACGGGGAACAGTAAAGTAGAATAGGTAGGATACGAGAGTTGACAAATTGTGAAAGCAGAGGTTGAGGGACTCCAGTTAGTCTGAGTTTCTTTATGTAGTAGGTTAGACGAAACACTTTCTTGGAAATCATTTGGATATGAGATGACCAATGTTAACCTAGCAGCTAACCGTCACGCCACGGTCTGTCTGTTTTCGACATAGAACTTTGCACAAATGTGCGGAAGTTCAAGTCGCCACACTCCGTGTAGCACGTGAAGCAAGAGAAGAAAGTACAAGAAAAGCATAATACAAACAGGGAGTAATAAAGAAGAACAAAACAGTTTCATTGAGATCATAAGTCACAGGGAGTGGATGCATCTGCGCCACTGAGAACGATTTTGAGCCATGTCACCAATTGTTTCCAACCATAGATTTTTACCGTCCCGAGGACCCCAGCCTGGAAGTCTACATCTTCCTACATGGCTTAGATCAACTGTTGTGGATTTCATTGACTGATGCCAAGTTTTTGTTTGACCGCCGCTAGCTTTTTTCCAGCCTGACCCTATATCCGCTAACATTGCTCGTCGAGGGAGGCGATGACTTGGCATACGTAACACATGTCCTAACCATCTCAGTCTTTGTAACTTCACGACTTCGTCGATTGATTTCCCCAGTTTACCTGGGGTGCCACATCATGGGCTGGCTGCTGCTCTGTATTTTTAATCCAGTCCCAGGGCTAGTAGACAGCAAACCGTATGGAGTATATGACTACACCACCAAAGCCGGTGTTCCAAGGTGACCACCGGGCCCTAGCATGTTCTCACATCAAGAGATAAGATACAGCGTTGTCATCGACTGTAGTTTAAGTTAGCAAGTCTTCACTCTGGCAGCATGTCAATTCTTGAGATGTCGAAGTCTACATCACATCCACAATTGTAAGCAATTAAATTAGATGACATTTCGTAAGCTCTAGCATGGTTGCATTAGTTACAGTAGTGTACCATGATTAGCACTGCATACTTCTTCAATATATCCTTCACAAGTGTACCATTGCCGCAACAGTTCTCATCGGTAGTGTAACTGCATCTTTCGATCAAGATGTTTGGTAACCTCACCGGTAGGAACTTGCATCCCCAGTTACAGAGTTAAGATTAAATCAGTACACCTCTGGTTTAACGTAAGGACGACGAAGGCTGCAATGTTTTATTTTATTTAGAAACGTAAAACCTGGTATAAATATAGGTACCAAGAGATGTGCCACACAATAATGAAAACGCTGACACAAGAAGTGAACAGAATAACAAAGGGATAGCATGAAAACAAGCACACTTATTAAGAACATGCAAAGGAGAGCTCATTGCATCACACTACTTCCAGAAAAGGAAACAAAGGGGGAAACTGCAGCACATTGTTCATCAGTTTCGTTCCTGAGCCACATCTGATAACACCTCGAGTCGTTGAGTTGCATAGTCCCTAGGACGCAACCTGGGAAATGCTAACCCAATACAAATTTCCCCCACCTCACAGTGACGAATCATAGACTAACCACTCCTACAGCTTCCACCTAGTCCCAGAGCTAGCAAACATTGGGCCGGAATGGAATCCATAGAACATTTCCAAAGCAACAAAGCTGGAATACCATCATGAAGGTGAAGCTTGTGATTACCCTTGCCACCCGGAGGTGTAGTAGCTGGTCTTGATTTCATTTTGATACTTGGCAACAGCAGCGGGTAATATCAGTTTGCTTACGTCAACATGTTGAGGACAATGTTTATGATCATCAAACAGCAAGAAGAACCTTGCGTTGACTAAAGCATGATCGGAATTAAGACAAATACTTCGGAAGCAACGGCGGCTCTGTATGCGTATCCATCACCAGTAGCCGATAGCAATATGGACTGACTGGTTTCAACTTCAACAAAACTTTGCACAGATGTGCAGCAGTTCAAGTTGCCATACTCCATGTAGCATCCAAGGCCAAAGAAGAGCATAAAGAGAGCAAATAGACAGAAATATTAAGCAAAATGAATCGAAATAAGATTGATTTTAATGGATATTATAAATCACATAGTGAATACATCTGCGCCACTGAGAATCATCTTGAGCAATATCACTGTCTCTAGCGACTGGTAACCAGACTTAAGTAACAGAGGGACGACCCTGAAAAGCACACCACCAAGATGGCAGTATTACTTCCAGACAGCTTGTGACTTTCGCAAGGCTGCAGAGAGTAACTGTAACCCGGCCTGCGACCACCTAGTTCTCGATAACTACCTAAGCAACTGCCTTCTTGTCCTAGATGCTGAACCTGTACACACAGGTTTCCAAGCAGTAATACGATATCTATGGAATACAAGTAGTCGAAGAGAACTCATCCTTGATTGCCTCTGGACTCTTAAGCAGAGATTAGAAGGGAAAATTCATAACAGAAACATGAGAATACCTAGCTTTGAGGAAGAAAGATGAGTATGGAAAGTAAACATAAGCTTCGTGTTTACTAAGCCGTTGGTACCTACCGAGTAACAACCTTAATTGGGATACCTTAATTATGCATTAACGAGAGTCCAATGAGACAGATGCTTGAGGTCGATCATACGCTGCTTATTTAAATGGGGTTTTGTACATTGACAAAAGCTTTACTAGCTCCTAGGCATCGCCACAGTTATTTGAAATATCATTTTTGAGAATGATTTTATGGAACCAGTTTTGGGGGATTACTGAACTACCCAAGATCTTCATCCACTTATGTTGGATTATTAATATCCTGTGTTGCTGTCGTCAACATTCACATTAAAGATAAACTTAGAACCGCTAGTGATGCAAGCTATGTGAAGTTTATGTGAAATATACATGGGCTTACACAAAATAGACAATGCTTGCAGTCTAGCACGTATACACTTATGCCGCTGCGTAGGGTCTGAAAAGTAGGTTGCCAACCGAACTCTGGAGAAAAGAGCCATTTGACGAGATACAGGTACTGGATGTTGAGCCAAAAGTTCTTCCATTATTTCTGATGGTGACTGATTTCTGCGATGGAGAGCCTGAAGGACAATAGTTCCCAAAGTATTTGAAGACGTCGATTGGTCGCCTGGATTAGCAAGATTTTGATTAGTTGATGACCGACCACCATGGTCTGGTCTGTATTCAAAATAAACATTTCCAGCAGTCTCTGGGAACTAAGGGAATCATAAGATGCTTTGAAAACTTACATGCTTTGGGTCACAACATTCTGCAAGTCCAAACCCATTTTCTGCTCCTCCCCAGGTCTAATATTCAGAGTTTATAAAATACTCGTACTTACTTCAGCAATCGAGACTAGACGTTCAAGAATCATCTGCTTATTTGTGGAATCAAGCCTGATGAAGAAATTGCTTCGCTTGCTGGGAGTATATTTATAAGAAGTCAACAAGAGTTACCTGAAGTTGTAGGACAATCCAAGAACAGCAAGTAGAACGTCAAGATTAGACGAACCAAACAGAGCAAGGATATGAGGCCAAGAGCCGTACAGAAAACGGTAGATGCTGTGTTCAATCAAGTGACCCGTAAACTCCAAAATAGTCACCACCTTATCGACAAGAGACGAGTTCCCTGGTGTATCAAGACGCAACATCCACTTCCCCGTTTTTGTCACCGCATTTTCCAGAATTGCATCTAGTCTATCTAAAACATCGGCCCAGAGGCCGAGTTCACACTTCCCATAGTTCCAAACATTTATCTGCTTTAATTCTGATATTAGCATATCATCTGGACATGCTGACAAGTGCTTAGCAAGCAACATGCATTCATTCTGGTCATAACCACACCTATTTAATATCTTTTTTCTGTCAATTTTCATCTTCGCAGAAGCGGAAAGTCTTTTTGATGATTTTTAGGCGATGTTCATTTGCACATAACAACTACCTGAATTGCTGGGATAGTTAAATTCAAAGGCCTTCGGCAAGCGAAAAGAATCACGACTGAAATAAAATATGAATAAGGCGCTTGGGAAAACAGCGTCTTAAAACACCATTATCCGTCAAGTAGAAGTAACGAAATAAGTATTCGTTTGGTTTTAATTCTAAGACACATAAAATAAGTTTATGTAGAAGTTGCTATGCTTCTTGTTTTATTTTGGTCATCTGAGTTGAACATTTTAAAATTTGAACATACTTTTCAAATTTCTGCTTTTGTTCTACTGGTCACGTCAAAAATGTAGTCGCCAAAAAGGGATACACTTTAGCAACTCAACTCAGAAATTTTTATCACAAGTAAGATTACCATGATCTCTTCCTACATTCAAAGCCGTAAGGGGATTAAACTTAAGGCAGTCGATGCGAACCTGTGAGCCTCATCAAACGTTTCTCAAGTAGCTGAAAGTAAGTATGTCAGGCCTATCACCTGCGAGTCTCCAAAGTGGCCTTCATGCAAGAGGTAATGCCACTCAACTTGACCCACGCAGTAATCATTTCTGTCCGCGGTATAGTAACCAAGTGTTACCTTTCATCCCACAGGACTATTCATCCTGTATACGTCAAAACTAGTTTGTAAAAAATAGCAATAAAGAAAGGAAGAGATAACTATTCTACACTGCATAGTATGACTTCCGTGGAAACACCACCCGGATAACATGGGCCCCGTAGTTGTAGTTAGCAGGTTATAGCTAGGGATTTGACGAGATGACACACTCAAGTGGTGATCAAAGTGACAGGTTTCAAACTCATTGGCAGCCTGCTGACTTAAAATTCTCACTCGGGCAAAGAAATATGGCAACTATCTGACTGTCCAAATGACGGCAAAAAACTACTTCAAGTTACTAGACCCTATCATATGGTCGTTTTTCCTGCCAACAACGGCACCTTTGCAATAATTCGGGTGAGTCAATCACAATTCTCTTCTTGGCTACTATTTTTCATAATTTTTGCTTTCTAGCAGATGTTTCTAATTTCTAATTCTAATGTTATCAAAATGCTGATGCATGATAGATTCCCTTGAAGAAAATGAGGTGACCCATACAAGTGTCAATCTCGATATTTTGTTGATGTTCATTATGAGACTTTCGCCAGTTATACATCTGCGCCACTGAGAATCATCTTGAGCAATATCACTGTCTCTAGCGACTGGTAACCAGACTTGAGTAACAGAGGGACGACCTTGAAAAGCACACCACCAAGATGGCAGTATTACTTCCAGACAGCTTGTGACTTTCGCAAGGCTGCAGAGAGTAACTGTAACCCGGCCTGCGACCACCTAGTTCTCGATAACTACCTAAGCAACTGCCTTCTTGTCCTAGATGCTGAACCTGTACACACAGGTTTCCAAGCAGTAATACGATATCTATGGAATACAAGTAGTCGAAGAGAACTCATCCTTGATTGCCTCTGGACTCTTAAGCAGAGATTAGAAGGGAAAATTCATAACAGAAACATGAGAATACCTAGCTTTGAGGAAGAAAGATGAGTATGGAAAGTAAACATAAGCTTCGTGTTTACTAAGCCGTTGGTACCTACCGAGTAACAACCTTAATTGGGATACCTTAATTATGCATTAACGAGAGTCCAATGAGACAGATGCTTGAGGTCGATCATACGCTGCTTCTTTAAATGGGGTTTTGTACATTGACAAAAGATTTACTAGCTCCTAGGCATCGCCACAGTTATTTGAAATATCATTTTTGAGAACGATTTTATGGAACCAGTTTTGGGGGATTACTGAACTACCCAAGATCTTCATCCACTTATGTTGGATTATTAATATCCTGTGTTGCTGTCGTCAACATTCACACTAAAGATAAACTTAGAACCGCTAGTGATGCAAGCTATGTGAAGTTTATGTGAAATATACATGGGCTTACACAAAATAGACAATGCTTGCAGTCTAGCACGTATACACTTATGCCGCTGCGTAGGGTCTGAAAAGTAGGTTGCCAACCGAACTCTGGAGAAAAGAGCCATTTGACGAGATACAGGTACTGGATGTTGAGCCAAAAGTTCTTCCATTATTTCTGATGGTGACTGATTTCTGCGATGGAGAGCCTGAAGGACAATAGTTCCCAAAGTATTTGAAGACGTCGATTGGTCGCCTGGGTTAGCAAGATTTTGATTAGTTGATGACCGACCACCATGGTCTGGTCTGTATTCAAAATAAACATTTCCAGCAGTCTCTGGGAACTAAGGGAATCATAAGATGCTTTGAAAACTTACATGCTTTGGGTCACAACATTCTGCAAGTCCAAACCCATTTTCTGCTCCTCCCCAGGTCTAATATTCAGAGTTTATAAAATACTCGTACTTACTTCAGCAATCGAGACTAGACGTTCAAGAATCATCTGCTTATTTGTGGAATCAAGCCTGATGAAGAAATTGCTTCGCTTGCTGGGAGTATATTTATAAGAAGTCAACAAGAGTTACCTGAAGTTGTAGGACAATCCAAGAACAGCAAGTAGAACGTCAAGATTAGACGAACCAAACAGAGCAAGGATATGAGGCCAAGAGCCGTACAGAAAACGGTAGATGCTGTGTTCAATCAAGTGACCCGTAAACTCCAAAATAGTCACCACCTTATCGACAAGAGACGAGTTCCCTGGTGTATCAAGACGCAACATCCACTTCCCCGTTTTTGTCACCGCATTTTCCAGAATTGCATCTAGTCTATCTAAAACATCGGCCCAGAGGCCGAGTTCACACTTCCCATAGTTCCAAACATTTATCTGCTTTAATTCTGATATTAGCATATCATCTGGACATGCTGACAAGTGCTTAGCAAGCAACATGCATTCATTCTGGTCATAACCACACCTATTTAATATCTTTTTTCTGTCAATTTTCATCTTCGCAGAAGCGGAAAGTCTTTTTGATGATTTTTAGGCGATGTTCATTTGCACATAACAACTACCTGAATTGCTGGGATAGTTAAATTCAAAGGCCTTCGGCAGGCGAAAAGAATCACGACTGGAATAAAATATGAACAAGGCGCTTGGGAAAACAGCGTCTTAAAACACCATTATCCGTCAAGTAGAAGTAACGAAATAAGTATTCGTTTGGTTTTAATTCTAAGACACATAAAATAAGTTTATGTAGAAGTTGCTATGCTTCTTGTTTTATTTTGGTCATCTGAGTTGAACATTTTAAAATTTGAACATACTTTTCAAATTTCTGCTTTTGTTCTACTGGTCACGTGAAAAATGTAGTCGCCAAAAAGGGATACACTTTAGCAACTCAACTCAGAAATTTTTATCACAAGTAAGATTACCATGATCTCTTCCTACATTCAAAGCCGTAAGGGGATTAAACTTAAGGCAGTCGATGCGAACCTGTGAGCCTCATCAAACGTTTCTCAAGTAGCTGAAAGTAAGTATGTCAGGCCTATCACCTGCGAGTCTCCAAAGTGGCCTTCATGCAAGAGGTAATGCCACTCAACTTGACCCACGCAGTAATCATTTCTGTCCGCGGTATAGTAACCAAGTGTTACCTTTCATCCCACAGGACTATTCATCCTGTATACGTCAAAACTAGTTTGTAAAAAATAGCAATAAAGAAAGGAAGAGATAACTATTCTACACTGCATAGTATGACTTCCGTGGAAACACCACCCGGATAACATGGGCCCCGTAGTTGTAGTTAGCAGGTTATAGCTAGGGATTTGACGAGATGACACACTCAAGTGGTGATCAAAGTGACAGGTTTCAAACTCATTGGCAGCCTGCTGACTTAAAATTCTCACTCGGGCAAAGAAATATGGCAACTATCTGACTGTCCAAATGACGGCAAAAAACTACTTCAAGTTACTAGACCCTATCATATGGTCGTTTTTCCTGCCAACAACGGCACCTTTGCAATAATTCGGGTGAGTCAATCACAATTCTCTTCTTGGCTACTATTTTTCATAATTTTTGCTTTCTAGCAGATGTTTCTAATTTCTAATTCTAATGTTATCAAAATGCTGATGCATGATAGATTCCCTTGAAGAAAATGAGGTGACCCATACAAGTGTCAATCTCGATATTTTGTTGATGTTCATTATGAGACTTTCGCCAGTTATACATCTGCGCCACTGAGAATCATCTTGAGCAATATCACTGTCTCTAGCGACTGGTAACCAGACTTAAGTAACAGAGGGACGACCCTGAAAAGCACACCACCAAGATGGCAGTATTACTTCCAGACAGCTTGTGACTTTCGCAAGGCTGCAGAGAGTAACTGTAACCCGGCCTGCGACCACCTAGTTCTCGATAACTACCTAAGCAACTGCCTTCTTGTCCTAGATGCTGAACCTGTACACACAGGTTTCCAAGCAGTAATACGATATCTATGGAATACAAGTAGTCGAAGAGAACTCATCCTTGATTGCCTCTGGACTCTTAAGCAGAGATTAGAAGGGAAAATTCATAACAGAAACATGAGAATACCTAGCTTTGAGGAAGAAAGATGAGTATGGAAAGTAAACATAAGCTTCGTGTTTACTAAGCCGTTGGTACCTACCGAGTAACAACCTTAATTGGGATACCTTAATTATGCATTAACGAGAGTCCAATGAGACAGATGCTTGAGGTCGATCATACGCTGCTTATTTAAATGGGGTTTTGTACATTGACAAAAGCTTTACTAGCTCCTAGGCATCGCCACAGTTATTTGAAATATCATTTTTGAGAATGATTTTATGGAACCAGTTTTGGGGGATTACTGAACTACCCAAGATCTTCATCCACTTATGTTGGATTATTAATATCCTGTGTTGCTGTCGTCAACATTCACATTAAAGATAAACTTAGAACTGCTAGTGATGCAAGCTATGTGAAGTTTATGTGAAATATACATGGGCTTACACAAAATAGACAATGCTTGCAGTCTAGCACGTATACACTTATGCCGCTGCGTAGGGTCTGAAAAGTAGGTTGCCAACCGAACTCTGGAGAAAAGAGCCATTTGACGAGATACAGGTACTGGATGTTGAGCCAAAAGTTCTTCCATTATTTCTGATGGTGACTGATTTCTGCGATGGAGAGCCTGAAGGACAATAGTTCCCAAAGTATTTGAAGACGTCGATTGGTCGCCTGGATTAGCAAGATTTTGATTAGTTGATGACCGACCACCATGGTCTGGTCTGTATTCAAAATAAACATTTCCAGCAGTCTCTGGGAACTAAGGGAATCATAAGATGCTTTGAAAACTTACATGCTTTGGGTCACAACATTCTGCAAGTCCAAACCCATTTTCTGCTCCTCCCCAGGTCTAATATTCAGAGTTTATAAAATACTCGTACTTACTTCAGCAATCGAGACTAGACGTTCAAGAATCATCTGCTTATTTGTGGAATCAAGCCTGATGAAGAAATTGCTTCGCTTGCTGGGAGTATATTTATAAGAAGTCAACAAGAGTTACCTGAAGTTGTAGGACAATCCAAGAACAGCAAGTAGAACGTCAAGATTAGACGAACCAAACAGAGCAAGGATATGAGGCCAAGAGCCGTACAGAAAACGGTAGATGCTGTGTTCAATCAAGTGACCCGTAAACTCCAAAATAGTCACCACCTTATCGACAAGAGACGAGTTCCCTGGTGTATCAAGACGCAACATCCACTTCCCCGTTTTTGTCACCGCATTTTCCAGAATTGCATCTAGTCTATCTAAAACATCGGCCCAGAGGCCGAGTTCACACTTCCCATAGTTCCAAACATTTATCTGCTTTAATTCTGATATTAGCATATCATCTGGACATGCTGACAAGTGCTTAGCAAGCAACATGCATTCATTCTGGTCATAACCACACCTATTTAATATCTTTTTTCTGTCAATTTTCATCTTCGCAGAAGCGGAAAGTCTTTTTGATGATTTTTAGGCGATGTTCATTTGCACATAACAACTACCTGAATTGCTGGGATAGTTAAATTCAAAGGCCTTCGGCAGGCGAAAAGAATCACGACTGAAATAAAATATGAATAAGGCGCTTGGGAAAACAGCGTCTTAAAACACCATTATCCGTCAAGTAGAAGTAACGAAATAAGTATTCGTTTGGTTTTAATTCTAAGACACATAAAATAAGTTTATGTAGAAGTTGCTATGCTTCTTGTTTTATTTTGGTCATCTGAGTTGAACATTTTAAAATTTGAACATACTTTTCAAATTTCTGCTTTTGTTCTACTGGTCACGTCAAAAATGTAGTCGCCAAAAAGGGATACACTTTAGCAACTCAACTCAGAAATTTTTATCACAAGTAAGATTACCATGATCTCTTCCTACATTCAAAGCCGTAAGGGGATTAAACTTAAGGCAGTCGATGCGAACCTGTGAGCCTCATCAAACGTTTCTCAAGTAGCTGAAAGTAAGTATGTCAGGCCTATCACCTGCGAGTCTCCAAATTGGCCTTCATGCAAGAGGTAATGCCACTCAACTTGACCCACGCAGTAATCATTTCTGTCCGCGGTATAGTAACCAAGTGTTACCTTTCATCCCACAGGACTATTCATCCTGAATACGTCAAAACTAGTTTGTAAAAAATAGCAATAAAGAAAGGAAGAGATAACTATTCTACACTGCATAGTATGACTTCCGTGGAAACACCACCCGGATAACATGGGCCCCGTAGTTGTAGTTAGCAGGTTATAGCTAGGGATTTGACGAGATGACACACTCAAGTGGTGATCAAAGTGACAGGTTTCAAACTCATTGGCAGCCTGCTGACTTAAAATTCTCACTCGGGCAAAGAAATATGGCAACTATCTGACTGTCCAAATGACGGCAAAAAACTACTTCAAGTTACTAGACCCTATCATATGGTCGTTTTTCCTGCCAACAACGGCACCTTTGCAATAATTCGGGTGAGTCAATCACAATTCTCTTCTTGGCTACTATTTTTCATAATTTTTGCTTTCTAGCAGATGTTTCTAATTTCTAATTCTAATGTTATCAAAATGCTGATGCATGATAGATTCCCTTGAAGAAAATGAGGTGACCCATACAAGTGTCAATCTCGATATTTTGTTGATGTTCATTATGAGACTTTCGCCAGTTATCTACTTTGAGGCAAATCTTGTCACCTCATTTTTGCTAGTTTTCCAAATCATAACGAATAATACTGCTGAATGCTTAGGTTGTTGCAGCGTGCTGACACGGAAAATACGTTGCATTAGTATAGCCATGATCCAGTAGAGCCTCAGTTTGGCATTTCTTCTCTTGCTTTGTGTGCTACATGGAGTGTGGCAACTTGAACTGCCGCACATTTGTGCAAAGTCATATATCAAAAACAGACAGACAGTTTAGCATCATCGAATTAGATGACTAAGACGAAACATGCAGCATCAGCTCTCTGCCAAGATGATATATTTTAATGTTACTAAATCTGTGAGATGCTGCGTGATGAATGTTGTTTATGTATATGGACGACAAGTGCTGTGTTAATCATAGGTAAAGAGGTCATTCCTAATTTGTTAGACGGTATCTGAATCTTATTAATGCGTGAAGTAGTAGCATTTTAAGAGCAGCACTGATCATGCCGGAAATTTGACAATTATATGTTACTAGGGATGATGTTTCAGTGGTTGACATTTGTCATTGGAGGTGAACATTGAACGTTGTTTTAGGAACTGGTAGCAATTGGTGGGCAATTGGAAGGCGCAAATGGTTCGATCGTGTAAAAGTTCGAAGATGACGACCAAAAACGAATAAAAGTACATAATAAATTTGTATAAAACCTTTGTTTGTAGACTTGTACTGTTCCATGATTTAATTGCCAAACAAAACATTAATAATAAATTAATAATAAATTTTATTTTCATATAAATATAAATTTACATGAAAATGGATGCAAGTTTTACAGGCACGATCTAGTATGGTATAATGTCAAATCTTAGATTGTCTACAGGTTAACGATATTTCAACTGTTAAATATTTGTTACATATAAAATTACACTCATTGTCTGAACCAGGCCGTATAGTTATTGAATTGTACAGTCGTCCTACAGCTTGAGCGGGAAAATCGACTTCGTTTCGTTTTCATCCCGTGGTTGTAGGCATACGATAACCAACCAATATTGAGGTAAGTACAACGTTTACAAGGGATTGGAAGCTGTTTTAGAAAAGTTAAAGTGCTAAGGTGAATCATTAAAGTGTAATGAAATAAGTAGGTGCAAGTATCATTAATAAATGCATTTATAAAGGAAATACAATGGGAAACCACATAATCCCTAGGCTGACAACGTTCATTTGCAATGTATAATGCTACCCATATATGTCTTACTATCATGATGCCCACTTTTGGCTTTAATACAATTATTTTCAAGCCAGTTGTTTTTATTTCATACCTTCTTATCTATTTGGTGCACAACCGTGCCCTACAGAGAATAGGAATAGAATAAGTCGAATCAAATTCATATAGAGCTATAAAATGTTAGGTTTAATGGAACATAATGAGGATCGAGTAGAGACGTTATTAGAAAATGAATGAGATAAGACATTGTGAAGTGGTATTTAAAGATCTGACAATGGACAGCAAGCTAATTTATAAGATGCCTCATAAATCTGTGCAGAGCCCACGTGGTCGCATCTCAACAATAAGCTGAGCGAATGGTATATATTTAAAGGTAGAAGCACGATCTGTCTAGGCGTTCATTAATATCTTTTCAAGATAAAAATCTAAGCCCTCATAAAAATCAGAAATATCTCGAGCCTTCAAATTGCATATTGCTGTTCCTGCAGAATGGGGCGATTCACCTTAGTGACCACCACCATATCTACTGATCAGCTAGCACCACCCTCCCTCTTTTTTGATGTTAGGCTCTGAGACTATGATTATTATGGCTACCGCAAATATATTGCTTGGTACCAGACATGTTGGTACCCCATATTCCATGTTAATGGAGTTGAAGATTGAACGATCAATTCTTGGTTGTTTGCTTAAAATCAACTTCCCCAATTTCGCGGAGGCGTCAATACGACAGTCATCGTCTCATCGGTCGCTGTTCAGAAAGAAGAGTGAAACAGCGTCAGAAGTAATACAATGATTTATCATTGTAATATTTGTTTTTAGAACTTAGTTCGCTTAGTTCGTTTATTCCTTTTATATGTTGGTGTAACAATAAAGAAATAACAAGCAGCAGATCGGTGTTTTGGTTTTTGCGTCCGTTATTACTAACGTAACGAGAGCTGGGCATTAACGGTTTATGAGACTTGACTGACAGTTTCTGACGATAGAAACAGATCTGGCGGATTCAAACAGTTGGTGAAAGTTTGGATAGTCACCGTTCATTTTTCCTGGTGCCGGTCAAGTCCTCTTTGAACAAGCAATATCTGGAACGTTTTTGGAATTGGGTCAAGTTCAACAATGCCTGGGTCAAAGAAGGGACAGAGTGTCTTGGATGCAAACAGGAAAGTAAGTCATTGTGACTTGTCTGTTAATTGTAACGATGTGTCTGATGTTAAGTATGACATGGTTGATGTTACTGTTTCGCCGTTCAGGGATAATAGGAACATCAAACTCCCTAAATTAGAACCACGGTGTTTTGATAATAATAATAATAATAATAATAATAATAATAATTGCTTTATTCCAAAAACAGTACTCATGATACAGCAAGGAATTTTCAGCATTCAGTACAATATTGCATCTAATTTACCCAAAAACGACAAAAAAAAATTAAAAATACACAATACATAATAGTAATAAAACGATTGTTGTAGCAGCTACGTAGCAAAATACTGTGTGCCATACGGAGAAAAATATGTATAAAGTACAAAATTGTAGTAATAATAGTAATACCAACTAAAATAAAATAGCAGAGTAACGATTTAAACGATAGAAAGTGTAACACCATAAAATACAGAAAGATGAACGATAAAAGGGTCGATTCACTGTGCTAATTACATAGTAACTTGTAAGTTTCACGTCTAACAGAGTCTTCGTCACATAAAGTACGCGCTAAATAGGGTATTGTAGAATTTCTATACTTAGTAGTACGAGCATATATCTTTTTATATTGACTTCTCGTCCTACCTGATGAGATACAAGGGGACAGGTGTGAATAAAGGGGGTGCAGAGGGTCTGACATTATAGCCTTTGCCCATTTCGTACAGGAATTTATATGCCTCTCGACTATAGTATTAGCGAGCTCATGCAGTGGCAGACCACAAGCTCTACTCACAGCATTTAATACTCTTCGTAATATGATATAATCTTTTTTGAGCAGCCCAGGAAAGATTAATGGAGAGCAGTAGAGTACAATAGGTAAAATACAGGAGTTTAAAAATTGCAAAACTAAAGGTTGGTTGATACCTGATTGTCTTAACTTTTTAATGTAGAAGGTAAG